GTCATGATCGTGAAGATATCATTACTAGGATCAAGGGCAGAACAAATAATGCGCGCCACTGGAGCCTGATCGTGTGGATCATAACCTGGTCTAGATGCATCTTCTCGAGGGACTGACAGACGATGCCATCATGGAATAAAGGAGAAACCGACTTACAGGATGTCGGCATCAAGTCGAAGGAGAATTCTGCAGCGTTGGATGCCACCTATACTATGGCTTCAATCGGCTCTTATTGTATTATGCGTGTCTTACATACACACGAGCGCGTACACACCAGAGATCGCAGCATGGGGAGTACCAGGCCCTGGAAATTGCTCTAGAGGTTAATGGCCGATATTCCGCAGCTCTGCTTCTTGGCGAGTTCCTCGATAGCCTTGTCGCTCAAGGAGGGCGAATGCAGCGAGTGCTTTTACCTTCACATGGATGCGGGGGCTTGTGCAGATTGTCTGTGTTGTGGGTAGCCTTCGTTTGGGTCACGATTTATTTGCATATCAAGAGTCTGAGGGGGCTGGGGCGAGGGACTTGAGACTGGGGTTGCGTGCCCAGATGGCCTGTAGTAGCCACTTGCGCCGGAGTTTGGGTAATTGATAGATAAACTGAATTCATTGGACATGTGTGTAACATATGTGTGGATGATGGGTAGGACCTATAGTGGTCTTCTCAAGATATTATGAGGGCCCGAGTGTTGTGGGCAGAAGTCTGCCATTCTGCCAATGGTTATTGCCAAGCGGCAATTGCCGGCAGTAGGTCGAGGGCCTTTGGGCAGCTGCGCCATGGGAAGGGGAGGGGTAGAACCGTTTTTGCAACTCCGCCAGATCGTTTGAACCTTTTGCTTACACGTGACATCTTCTCGGAGTTTTGCCCTACTAAAACGAAGGTTTTACTCTAAGACGAAGGTATTCAGCTCAAGGACGAGACCGGGACACGCAAATTCGAGCAATAGACAGTACCATTCGTAGCGTGAAGACCTTGTGATGAGAACAAAGGGAGGAGCCTCAGGAGCATCACCCCGATTTTCAAGACGACCAACTTGCAGGAGAGTCGCAGCATCCAGTCGAACTTCGAATGCCTATCCACCATCCCTCGGCTCCAATGTAGAGATGAGATATACCCTGTGAGCTGGCTTGCTCACATGATTGACTGAATTGCGTATTACTTGCTGCCGCGTACAGTGTTGTGCTAAGCCTGGACCAGCGAGGGAAGGTGACGATACACATTTTGCATTTGCGGTCCGCTGATCCCTCAGGATATTCGACATGTGCACATCTGTGAGCGTCGCAATGTTAATAGCAAGGCCTTTGTTTGATGAGAACCGATTTAATATCGAAGAGTTTATCGATCATTTATTTACTAGTGCTAGGAGCACTGAGCAGTGACAGTAAGTCCGAGTCTCCCCGCTACAAGAATCAAGATAGGTGCCGGGCACTGCTGGCTGAGGCGTTGCGGGTTGATGGTGTCAGTTCCCATGATCTCAGGCATAATCAAGCATAGTACTATTGAGATTAGTAGTAGTCCGCGAGATCGAGGAAGGTGATACCAGGGCCTGTATATGATTTGAAATACACCGGAATATGGCAACATTCTCACATACTGACTGTTACACATAGACAGCTGACAAATGGTATAAAAACACCTTCTTGACGTATCTCCACAACCCCAAGCTTGCACGCGGTGATATTAGCCCCACTCAATTCCATTTTATTTTTCTCATTTTATTTTTTAGCGAGTGAGTGTAGATTGCTGTGGGGAACAAGAAATAAAATGATATAATGGACTGCAGGTATGTTGTTCAGCACTCATCATTGCGGAGTTTCAACAATGCGAGCGCGGGGATGCTACTTGTCTCCAGTACCTACAATCATCAATGCATCATACGTCATGGCACATCTACGATGTCTCGGACGCAAGCCCCTAAAGCACCATCAGTCTACAGCTAAACAACTTGAGTTCCTGGCCATTGCACAACTGGCTGCAGCAGAAGATGATGACAACGAACTTCTTGGCCTTGCACTGGCAGCACTGGCCGCAGACCATAGATGGAAATCGCTCAGTAAGAAATATGGCATATGTGGAGAATACAACCACCCAAAATCTAAGGATTTCTTCGATATTCTGCTTGGACACTCTAGTGAAAGACAATTCAAAGCTTGGTTTTGGTAAAGAGACTGTTCACTGATGTGTTCCATCTTCTCAAAGACTAACTACAACTGATCAATAGAATGCACAGAGATTCGTTTTGGCATCTCCACAACTTGATATCTGGTGACCCGATTTTTGTTTCGACCAGCAACCGTCCTCAACGCCCTGTCTATTACCAACTAGCCACGTTCTTATGCCGTTTGGGTGCCGAGAGTGGGCTCAAAACTGCGGGCGTGATGTCAATTGCAGAGGGTTCAGTATACATCTATTGCTATCGAGTTTGCCAAGCAATTCAGAATATCCGAAGTGCTCATCTAGCTTGGCCAGGCGAGCAACGGAGGCAGTTTCTCTCTGCAGAAATGGCTGGCTGGGGTTTTCCTGGTTGTATTGGCATTGCTGACGGCAGTTATATTTGTCTCGAAAACAAACCAACAGAGAATGGGTTTGCATATTGGTGCCGCAAAAAGTTTTATGCAGTATGTCTCTGTATCGTTGCTTAATACTGTTTAATAGTTGAATTCTCGAATCAAATGTTAGATTATTGTTCAATGCCAAAACAAATCTCTGTGCATTCTATTGATCAGTTGTAGTTAGTCTTTGAGAAGATGGAACACATCAGTGAACAGTCTCTTTACCAAAACCAAGCTTTGAATTGTCTTTCACTAGAGTGTCCAAGCAGAATATCGAAGAAATCCTTAGATTTTGGGTGGTTGTATTCTCCACATATGCCATATTTCTTACTGAGCGATTTCCATCTATGGTCTGCGGCCAGTGCTGCCAGTGCAAGGCCAAGAAGTTCGTTGTCATCATCTTCTGCTGCAGCCAGTTGTGCAATGGCCAGGAACTCAAGTTGTTTAGCTGTAGACTGATGGTGCTTTAGGGGCTTGCGTCCGAGACATCGTAGATGTGCCATGACGTATGATGCATTGATGATTGTAGGTACTAGAGACAAGTAGCATCCCCGCGCTCGCATTGTTGAAACTCCGCAATGATGAGTGCTGAACAACATACCTGCAGTCCAATATATCATTTTATTTCTTGTTCCCCACAGCAATCTACACTCACTCGCTAAAAAATAAAATGAGAAAAATAAAATGGAATTGAGTGGGGCTATTGCTTCCCTCATCATCACCCCAATTAGCTGAATATGAATACGAATTTCTGAATCTGGCTGTATTTGACAGGTTCACTCTAATGTGCATTTCAAGGACCCTAGCACATTAATGACAAGACTATACAAAACTATAGCCTGTAGCCCGAACTAAGTATTTCAGAGATGCCTTCATGAGTGCAAACAGTTTGGAATCTGGAAGGTCCACAGTGGTCAAGTCCATTGGCAGGTAAGCACAGAGGACAAAAAAGCCGGTTGAATCATAGGCGAGTAGCGCCTCCAATAGGTCGGATGACCAAACCAGCCAGCCTGTCAGTGCACGAGACAGACAAACTTAGCCCAAACCATCTGCAGCCTTTCAGGCAAGCCTGAGGCCAAGCTTGGAGGTCGCTACATCAATTGACGTGTTCCAGATGTGTAACTAGTCGAAAAAATGAGCTCATATGTGGTATGGCATGACAAAGTTGAAATCTAACTGATAAGTTTGGCACAGATGAACAGATCTACCAACCTGCATGGAGACTGCCAGAAATTTGGATTCCCAGACTTGCTGTAAAGCCAGCCGAGGGTTTCTTCATAAGGTGTTGCAGTGTCTCATGACGAGTTTCTTGCGGACAAGATTAATTGCTGCATTCTACGGTGTCCACCAGTCTGTTGAACTTGGGAAAAGTAGCATTTCGATGAGGGTGTTCAGAAGCTGGCCTCCAGACTGGGTAGAGTTTTAGAGTGCGTCTTTTCACGCTATCATACACCACTGATACATTAAACTGTGTGATAGTCTAGAATCATGGTGTGAACCTTATATTATCCACTTTCTTCACTCAAGTTCAAACCGAACACGGGTTGCAGAACAATTTGTAACTACTTTCAACTTGTATTTTGCGCTCGCTCACTGGCATTAAGACTGTCTAGCTCATCATGAATCTTGCACTACCACGTATACCTTGATGGCCAAAACCCGTGGACGAATACCATCGAACTGTCTTAGTCATTGATTCAATGCCAGCAGTCCGACCATATCCAACATACAACTTTACATCAGTATAAAACAGACAGTACCAACATTCAAGTGGCCAACAACCTCTCCATCAACTGATCATCATGTTTATTCGCCCCTCTACTGTTCTCGTTGTGCTCCTCGGCCTGTCAGCCCTTGTCAGCGCTGGAGCGCCAGTGGTAAGCCTCGCCTCGTCTTTAATTGTATCATATTGTCACACAATGTTCACAGCATGCTAGAGCAAAGGCCCTTGTAAGCCTCGTCTCGCCTTGAATTGTATCATGTTGTCATACAATATTCACAGGATTTTGAGAAGCGCAAGGAAACCCATGTACACCTCTCCTCGCTTTAAATTGTATCATACTCTCACAATACAATGTCCTCAGGCTGCTAGGACTGCTATCATTGTGAGCCTCACATCGCTGTAGAGACTCATGCCTCTCATTGTGCAATATGGCAGTTTTCACTGGGGAGTACATGGCACGAACTTGTAGCATCACTCTGTGTGCTACCTGCAGCTATCTCTATATGAGGCGCAGCTTTCCCGCACAACGCGCGCCATGCGCGCGTACCTTTCCCGCGCTTCACGATGTATATGCGCGCGCGCTTTCCCGCGCTTGAGCGCCCTATAGCGCCAGCCATCCGGAAGCATCCATCCACTGTCCACCAAGTTCCCTAGTGCGTATATTTCCATTTCTCACATTTGCATATTGTTCCATCTTTATTTTTATCATGGACCCTTACTTACATATATCTTTACATACCTTACTCGGTAGTGCTTCGGCTCCGCATGACAGCGCTTAGGCGCCATACTTAAGCGCCAGCAGTACATACTTACTTACAGACTTACTCTCCCACCAGAACGACAGAGGACTTACTGGTCACTACCCACTATTTACCTAGCAGAACATAGTAGAAATCTATTTGTTTACACCTTGCATCTCCCTTCTCTTGTCTTACATCATATTATCACCTAAGCAAACTCACTCTTACTCTCTCTTGTTTCCGCATACACGCGCGCGCATTCCCGCGCTTCGCGCATTCTCGCGCCTTGCGCGCACCTGCGCTTTCCCGCGCTTCGCACTGGCCAACCAGTAGCGCTTTCAGCGCATACCTCTAGATCCTTGCTGCACTCGCTTCCCCTTTAGGGTCGAACGCACTTGTCATCTCAAGTATAGCAGACTAGGCAACGCACGACCTTACAACAATTATAGATACAGTCAGGAGCACTGTTCGTGCCTCGCTGTATCGTCGAACCTTCATCGCCTTCAATCATATCACGTTCTCATGCAATGTTTCCAGGATGACGACAACGAGAGGCGCAGGGCAGCCCCCGTAAGCCTCTCCTCGCTTTAGATTGTATCATACTCTCATAACATAATGTCTTCAGGCTGCTAGGACTGCTATAATTGTGAGCCTCACATCACCTTTGATCATATCATGTTCTCATGGAATGTCCCCAGGATGATGATGACGAGAAGCGCAAGTAACCCCCTGTAAGCCTTGCCTCTTAAATTGTATTATATTCTCATGCAATGTCCTCAGGCTGCTCGCGTCACAAACATCAGAAGATGCCAAAAAATCCTGGACCTCACTTATCCACCTGAGGAGCCTGAATTCAGCATATCAGTAACTTCAGACATCCAGATTTCTTCTGGAATCTGTAGCGTCCATTTCTGAATTCAGTCATCCAGTTATTCAGACTGATTAGACTTTCAGTCATTATAATCATCCAGTATATCAGATGTTCCAGTGAGTTCAACCACTCAGGTCATCAGCCATCCAGTTGTTTCGACATTCCAGACTCATCAGTTCTTCAGTATACTAGGATGATCGGCATAGCAGGTATTCAGTTGACCAGGCTATCAGGTATTCCAGCATAACCAGTAGACCATTATTCCAATAGAACAGTAGCCCAGTAGCTGAGTATTTCAAGTCTGCAGTTCTATAGTAGCCTAGTAATCTAGTAGTCTAGTAGCCGAGTATTCCAAGTTCATAGCTTCCATAGTAGCCTAGTAATCAAGTAATCTAGTGGTCTAGTAGCCGAGTATTCCAAGTTCACAGTTCCATAGTAGCCTAGTGTTTCAGTAGACTAGCTTTGCAGGAAATCAAATATCCCAACTGATTTAAGCATTCCACAGTGGCAGTCAATTCTCAAACAACAGTCTATCAGTCTGCCCAAGCACCAGAATACCAAACAAAACAGTCCATTCATAGCTGTAGTAGACCTGACCATACAAATTTCTAACCTACTACTCAGACTTGGACTCGGACCAGACTCGGACTCGGACTTGTAACATAAAGCCCTTCCTGATAATCCTGCTCCACCTGTGTAACATTGTTGAGCTCATATGGACTTGGGCTTATGGGCCCCAATGAAGTGCGCAGCTCCTTCGAGTATTTTTGTCCATGTGCGAGGTTTGAGTTTGTCGATGGATTCAAGGACCTCTTGTGTTGGAAGATTCCACATCGCCGACGAAAATTTATCATCGAATGAGCCCTGGACTAATTCACCTGTAGCCCATTGCTTCCATGCTCTCTCGACCTTGTGAATACACATGAGACAACTGTGGAGGAAGACATAAAACAAACATACCACGACAGTTGCAAGGGCAAGTGCAGCTTTGGGGGACGAGGTCTTCCGGAGGCTGTCAGGTATCGCAGCTATACTTTCGAGATAGAAGGCAAATGTATCGAGGATTGTCTTGTGCTGAAACGGCCCCTTCCCTATCTAAAACACCAGTTAATGAATTTGCTCAGTTGAGAGCTAGCCACTTACTGGATTCTCAGAGTCGCTCTCGTCAACATTGGCCCACATGAATGGGAAGATCGGAGGTGGAGCGTTTCCTCTGCCTTCATCATCATGAAAGGCCTGAGTTTGGGGGACGGCCCATTCAACGTATGCTTCAATTTCAACAGGTGTATCAAAGCCTGTGACCTGCCTGTGAGATGAAGGCCGTCACGGCCTTTTCGCCACGTGTTGCGAACATGCTGCGCCAGTTGTACGTGCATTGCTTGATCTGCAGGAACATGAGTAGTGAGAACATGGAAAACAAGCTGCTTACTAGGAAGAACACCGGATCATTCTTCTTCTGGAGGGTGTGTGAGTGACCTGTAAAACAACGGTCCCAAAGTCATTGCGCATCTGGAACTCGATCTGCTATATCCCAAGGCTCTTCAAATCATGCAATGAGCTCGAACCACATTGGCATAAAAACCGTCCTAAAATGACGAATTGTTCCAGGTGGAAGATCCTCGTTCCGAAATTTTTGGCTCGGTTGGCGTTTACGGTGGTGCATCTTTCCTTGGACATGAGCGGTGCTGCCACTTCCATCAAAGTCTGTGTCATTATCACGGTCTGTGGCATTGTCATCAGCTTCGCAGGTCGCTAGTCCACGTCGCATCAAAGACTTCTGCTTTGACTTGGCGTTAGCCGTGGATGATGTCTGTGAATTTGAACTTAGATGATTAAGCACAAAGGGGACATCACTTACCTTGGCAATGGCGAGGGCCATCATACCCTGTAAGTTTAGTGTAAAAATGTTAGTTTGTATTTGCGCATGTAAATGAATACAATTACCTTCGACTGGGCGCTATTTGCGGAGAGCTTATCTTGTGAAATTTGAATATGTGTCTTGAAGGCATAGCGCTTGAGGGACTGGACACTACGTTGCCTGGAAGAATTGGGTTTAAGTTGTATTTTATGCTCCATAGTTTTGCGGTTGTTCCTGTCCTTGCACCTCAAGTCGCAGTCTTCCCTGTTATCCATACTGACATCCCTATTCTCCTTCACAAGAGTATCACTCCGATCACTAGCATTATCGTCAACGTCGCTGGGGTTGTCATTGTTGGGACCCTCAATGTCGCTGAGGCGATTGTCGATCTCAATGGCATTATTGTCAACGCTGTCAACGGTGTTATTAGTATGATCCATATCGTGATTGGAGCTGGGCTCTGGGTCGACTTTGGATCTCTTGCTAGGCTGGGCAGACATTGGGGCGTCCATGTCAACATCGGACCTGAACTTAGAGTCACTGTTCTTGAGCTGAGTGGACGATGGGGCATCATCGTCAGAAGAATCGAGCGGTACGGCGAAGCGAAAAAGTGACAGTGGCACTGTCCATCATGTGGTTCCTTGTGTCTTGCTCTCCGATAAGCTCTGTGACGATGTCCTATCTGCACCGCTTGGAGACGGATCAGGCCATACTCGATCTCCTTGCTCCTTCGACACACTTGACGAGGTGGCAGGCCATTCTGGTATGTAATCAGTACTCGTTTGCCTCTGTGCCTCCCCTACACTGTCTCGAGGCGAAACACCACATGTTGGAGCTCTTTGAGATGACAATTTCTGCTCCATCTGAGATAAGGCGACAGTTTGAAACAAATTGATGCGACCTACAGAAATAATTGGCTTCTGCACCTTGATGATTTCGACGTCTGGAGGAACATTGGGGAGATCAGGATGATCATCGAGTCCTGAGAAGGGATTTACTGAGGTGTTCCTGCCTGAGTTTGTGAAAATATACTAGATGTGTCAGAAAGACGCCTTAAATCACATACCTGATGTGCATGAATCTGTGGACAAGCTGTTTGGAGCTGGCTGCGAATGCTGAACTAGTGAAGCTATTTTTCCGTAGGGAAAAGCAGGTTTCTTGTTGTGATTTGGCACACTAGCTTCCACAATGGAAGACCAGCCAGGGATGACACCAGATGTAGCTGGTTGAGAGGTAGAGCGAAAGGTTGACACTGCTGAGGCTTTAGTCTTTTTGGAGGGACGACATCTAAAATAGTTGATTGGTGCGCGTATAAGGTCCATGGTGGTAGTGAGGGCAATTCATGTTTAAGCGCTGATTAATTTCAAATAGAGATAGCTTACTCAATGTCATCAAACTCCGAGTCGTTGCCTTTCTCCGAGTCATTGAACAGTGTGCGTTTGGTGAGCCTCACATTCTCCTCGCGACTATCCTTTTGACTTTGCGTTGCACAATTCCCATTTGCAGTGTCCTTGAGGCTTGCATCATCATCTTGATTCATCACGGTTGTGTCTGTGGTGTGTGATTGCAATTAACAGTAAACAAAAGTAAGGTGCGCACTTACCCCTTGTATGATTCTGAGTCATCGGTTTTGTTGTCTTCAACGGTCTGGTTGTTTTCAGCACACTGGGTCCACGCAGTTGACGTGCCTCCGCTCTATCTTGAGTTTCTTTGGCACGTATTGCCTCCTCCATCTCGACGACATTGTTGGATGTCTTACCCTTACTCTTTTTCTTAAGGTCAGCTGCCTTTCTCTTTTCCTTGAGGATCTCGTCTTGCGATCGACGGGGAGGCGGCCGGTCGACTAATCCTGGGTGAGCATGCTTGTTTGCTTTACGAGTGTCCACCATGCTGACGTGTCTATGTGCAGTAATTTAATGGTAAAATAGCAAGTTCGTTTGCTGACCTACTATATACACGTGAGTGTGGAAATTTCCAGTATCAAGTCCTAATTTTCCCCGTCAGTTTTTGGTTTATTTTATTGCAAAGTCGGCTAATTAGTAACCCAGTGCTCCTCAGATCAACGTGAGCCTCAAGTACAACACTTGTGAAGTCACTTCTTGTGACAAGAACACATTGCATACATTTATTTGATATGTAACTAATATTCGTCAAAAACACACATGAAACTAATTGCCCTCGCCGGTGTATAGGGCATAGGTAATCTCCATCTTGCGCGGATAATGCCTCAACGACCTACCTACCGACCACGCAAGTTTTTCTGCGCCAACCCTATCAATGCTCAGTGTCGCAAGGGATTTTTGACTCGTGCAGGCCTCGCCAACCACAGAAACGCTGTGCACACCAATTTAGTACTACCCCCTTCTCGTATCCCTCAACACCAACTGCAGCCCACGGAGCATCATCACTTCGACAACAATGTTGGTCAACAACCCGACACAGATGTTGATAGCAGGAGTGACTCCAACAATGCACCTCCGCTGGGTGCATACTTCGTACGGCACTCTGTGATTGATGGTAAGTAATTGTTAGTGACTATCGTCTGGTCCAGTGGCTGACCATTCATTGTCCATACAGGAACTCCTTGTGATATGGACGGCAATCACCTCGATGGATCACAACCTCTCCCTCACGAGAAGCCAAAATTACCATGGCATCCATTTGCCAATCGAGGTCACTTCTCCCTCGCTGATTTCGTCTTTCGACATAACGAAATGCCGGGGACTCAGTTTGACGAGCTGATGCACATCTGGGCCGAGGTCAATGGGAGTGAGGGCGGAAGTGGGAAGCCCCCTCCATATGCTAACAAAAAAGACCTCTATGATACCATTGACACGATAGATCAGGGCGATGTACCCTGGCAGAGCCTCACCGTCCAGCATGGCGATGCGAACAGTCTCACTGGTGACCCGTCAGCACCTCAATGGAAGCTTGCTGAATATGATGTGTGGTTTCGGGACCCACATATGTTGCTGTGCAACCAGTTGTCAAACCCTGACTTCAAGGATGGTTTTGACCATGCTCCACGCCAAGTGTATGGTAACAACCATGAGAGGGTCTTCGGTGATTTCATGTCTGGAAATTGGGCGTGGAACCAATGTGTATGTTGAATAGCTAGCAATCCTATAATGTATACTAACGACCTCTTAGAATGAACTGTCAGAGGACCCTGAATGTCACAGCGCAATGTTCGTTCCTGTCATCTTGGGTAGCGACAAGACGACCGTGTCAGTTGCAACTGGAAACAATGAATACTATCCGCTGTACATTTCAAACAGAAATGTACATAACAATATTCGACGTGCTCACGTTAATGCTGTTAGCTTGGTAGGGTTTTTGGCTATCCCTAAATGTAACTAGTAGTTCGTGTACTATTGGACAGACAATTTTGATAACCATTGTCCTTCTCATTCAGCTGATCGAGAACATCAAAATGATCAAGAATTTCGCGACTTCCGCCGTCACTTGTTCCACAGGTCACTGGAGGCAATTCTCTCGTCACTTCGACCCACAATGACTACACCAGAGGTGACATTATGTCCTGATGGACATTACCGTCGCGCAATTTATGGGCTCGGACCATATATTGCCGATTACCCCGAGCAATGTTTACTTTCCTGTATTGTTCAAGGCTGGTGCCCGAGGTATGCAACAATGTCTCTATACTGTTTATTTTTTTCAGATGCTGATTTTGCGGTTTTGATTAGGTGTACTGCCTCAAGAAAAGACTTGGACGAGAAGAATGCAGGTCACCTCCGAACACATGAATTCACTGAACTATTGAGGGACACATATGCATGGAAAGTGTTATGGGACAACTGGGGGATCGTCAATGATATTATGGTAAGTACTACTATCTCACCTCCGATGAGACATTGCCAATTCATTAAGTGTTTTAGCCATTTACAGCCTCGTTTCCTCGGGCAAATATTCATGAGTTGTTGTCACCCGATCTGCTCCACCAGGTGATTAAAGGTTCGTTCAAGGACCACCTTGTTACCTGGGTCGAAAAATATTTGGCGAAGACATTCGGAACATCTAAGGCTGCAGCAACGATGGCTGAGATAGATCGAAGGTACGTATCTCAATCAAGCTACTATATGTGATGTACTCATGTGCTTCTATCATATCAGGGTTTCTGCTGCTCCGTCATTCCCTGGTTTAAGATGCTTCCCTGAAGGTCGACACTTCAAACAATGGACAGGTAACGATTCAAAGGCCCTGATGAAGGTAGCGGTGTTGATTCACTATGATAGCTACAATTGAACTAATATACTATTATTTTGTCATACTAGGTATTTCTTCCTGCGATTACCGGCCTTGTTCCAGATCAAATGGTCTGAGCCATTTCCGCTTTTATGGAATTTTGCTATCTCGCACGTCGTTCTACCCTCAGCGAGGCTGACCTAGATGCACTGGACAATGCTTTGGCTCGGTTTCATAAAGAGCGCAACATTTTCATTGACTCGGGTGTCATGCCAGACGGAATATCACTTCCACGCCAACATGCCTTGACGCATTATTGAACACTTATAGAGCTTTATGGTGCCCCAAATGGCTTGTGCTCGTCGATCACAGAGTCGAAGCACATCAAGGCTGTCAAGAAACCCTGGAGGTGCTCGAGTCGTCACCTACCTTTAGGTCAGATGCTCTTGATCAACCAGCGACTCAATAAACTTGCCGCATTCAAGTCTCACCTTGCTGCCCACAGATTCCTAAACCCAGCCTCGTTGGAACCTGCTGACATTGATCAAGGTGACTTTGAGGATCCTGATGACGAGTTTGATCCTGAGGAGGCTCATTTTAGAGATGACTCCAATCTTGAGGATGTTGAGCCAGATACTGAACTCACTAGGATTCAAGCATCTGTAGAACTGGCCCAGACTCGAGGTAAGAGCACCAATGATTTCTCTACTAGCAATATAGTACTTACGAGAGTACTCAGCGATGGAGTACCCTCGTCGGCTTCCCGAAATTGCTGCATTTATCAACTGCCTGAATCTTCCTGAGCTAGTGGGCCGCTTTCTATACGATCAGCGCAATCCAAATGCTTCCATTCAAGCAGCTGATATAGTAGATGTCAGTGTTCTTCCAGTTATCGAGGGGAGAGTAGATGTCTTCAACTCGGCTGTTGCAACATTCCGCGCTCCAAGTGACATCTGTGGAGTTAACGCAATGCTGCGCCAGCGTATTCACAGCTGCAGGTCTTGGTACAATGGTCCTGCTGGACATGACTGCGTATTTGCCAAAAAAGACCCTCTCTCCCCGGATTTCAGGGCCTATATGTCGCTCAAGTCATCCTCTTCTTTTCTATCACTTATCGTGGTCAGCTATATCCATGTGCGTTGGTTCGTTGGTTCGCTCCTATTGGCAATGAGCCATGTAAATCCACTGGCATGTGGATGGTAGAACCTGAATTGGATGATGGCAGCGGTGAGCGGCTTGTGTCCATCATTCACTTGGACAGTATCATGCGTGCAGCACACCTGATAGGTGTTTATGGTTCACAAGACATTCCCCATCATCTCAAACACACTGATTCTTTGGTTGCTTTTTCAGCTTACTATGTTAATAAATTTTCAGATTATCACGCTTATGAAATCGCTTATTAACCACTAGGAGACTGTACACTATATGTTGGTCTTCCTTACTATACTACTATTATGTACAGACTGTACTATGCTCCACAATAGTCTCCTCACAAGTGCTGGCATGCTGGACACGGCAAACTCCGCAACTCCTTTGACAGCACGGCTCGGAGCTTCTGAAGCCGCATTTGTATATATATAAGCAAGCTAACACATAGTAAGGTGTCAATCAGGCTTATCATGCCAACCTCCCTTACTCTACCACTCAGAGCACAGAGTGTTTACTATGATTGCAGTCAAGCATGGAAATATCAACCCTCCACACCACAGCAAAAATGATACTCCCCAACAAGCGGCCCTCCGCTGGTCAAACGTCATTCAACACCCTCGGCAAACCGCTTGGCCATTCAATCTAGTACAGACACCTGCGCACAATTTGAAACTAGTCTTCAAATTTCGACACTCAGAGAGCCATCAGTTCATGAAATCAATAAAGGTGGTAGGTTTTTTACTGTGTGTAGTGTTGTATCCTTTGTTAACCTTCTTAAACAGTTTGGCACAAGAAAATTGTTGCTGAAATCAGAGGGCGAAGACATGGAGTCCACGATTCCCAGGTATGAGAATATTCACACGATAATTTCGCACAGGCCCGGGCTGACTCGTGCAGAGCTTCTCCCATGTGTCAATCGATGACTATGAATATATTGCGGAAGCCATCGCCGGTGATGATGATCGGTACAAGTAAGTACTAGTATTATCCGATAATCGCCATCTAACGCCTTGCTTTCAGTCTATCATACACCCCCTCGTCCTCACAACTCGTTGTAATCCTGCCTAGCCCAATTCACAAGAATTTTCTGATGCCGTTGCGCAAATCCATGGATGCTGTATTTGCGTCCATGGGTATCGCCCCAGAATACGGTGAATTCATGATCCAAATGAACTCCACCCTTAACGAGCGTGGGACGTCAGGGTCCCAAGCGAAACCACTCGGCCAGCCTGACATACTTGTTGAGTTCCACGATAAAGAAAGCGGACGGCTACAACTGTGGGGAACTGAGGTGTCCTACTCTGAGACACGAGAAGATGTCTTATTCAAACTCCAAGATTACGTCGACGGTGCCCCGAATATTGTCGCCCTCACGTTGTTCAATATCAAGGAAAATATACGACACTTACCGCCAAAGGAGTCATCAAAGACGTTTGATACGTTGAATGAGGTGGAGTTAGTAGTGCCATTCCACAAGTGGATTCGCAAGTACAACAAACCATTTCCCGGACCGGTCACCGTGTTTCGCCACAACTGGGTGTCCGCAGTTACAGTCACTGTCACTATGTGGCTCCGTCGCCCTGCCGGACAACTTGATCTGAATGACCACAATAATGAGTTTTACCAATGTGCGGTGAGTGGTCTCCCTCATCAAGTAGTATCGTCTGACATCAATAATAGGAGCTGACTCCAAACGCTGACACCACCGGCCTTGCAAATGTTCAATGTTTGTTTCAACACACCCTGTTGAGAATTTGGGATACGACCCTCGATCACATTGATCAGCTGGCAGCCGAGGATGCTGCAGAGGAGTCTAGCAGTGACGAGTCCAACAGTGACGAGTGCGTTTTTTCAAAAATCATGCTGCTGATTGCTTACCTCATCTTAATAGACCCTCCACAGCCGTCATGGACCCTTCACTACTGGCTTGTCGCACATGGGTTCCTCCGGCGTTGCTCTTCGATTGGGAGACGGTGATGCCTTACTTGCAGAGGGGGTTGAAGCAGACCAGATACGATCGATATTCCTCTTGGCATGAGAATCTACTCAAACACAAGGCACTGGAGATGGAAAATTTATCGGGTGGTGGATCAACCAAGAGGAGCAGGAAGGTTTGACAACCACGGCATACTGCAGCCCATCACGAAAGAATGCCAAATTGTAGTTCCAGCCACGTCTCTGTTTCATCATTTTTTCATCGCTTTTTTCTTCATTGTTGTGTCGCGCATTGTTCTACTACTAGTACTATAACTGTTGTAGTACTACTGTAGTAGTAGACTCGGACACTGTCCGAGCCCATGTACTATTCTTGTCACTGTTACTACTAGAATCATGATGACGATCTTCTTGCATAGTATCGGCTGTTGGAGTCCGAGCGATCCACTGAGTCGTTGGCCGACAGATCCGAGATAGGAACGATGAGGGAATAGCATGTTACGAGCGCATCCCGAAAGAGCGACGAAAGAGCGACGTTTGACGTCAGCTCGTGCTCTCCAATATACGACTACAATTTTCATTCCTATTCTATCCGCACTTATAAGAGTTTGCATTTTCGTAGGAACATCTCAGTCCGTTTCCAGAGACTGAGATGTGAGTACATACATCTACCTACCATTGACAAAAGCTAATGAGCCGTAGATACTTTGTCCGTTTAGGTACATAGTTTCTGGCCAATGTTAGAGTCCGTTTCCAGAGACTGAGATATACTTTGTCCGTTTAGCTCTCTCCACGTCGTCTACGCGCCTCGAATCACTATATTGGCAGCTGAGTGTAACATGGTCAGACTGCCGCCGCGCATAACCATTACACCAAAAGGTGAAATACTGAAAGCTTATGTTTCAGTATCAGCGACGGTATATGTACTGATTATGAGAACTCAGGTAAGCCAGTGTGCTCACACTGAGGTGTCAATATCTGCTTTAAGACTAGTACTAAAATCTGGGAGCTCTGCAAAACTAAATGTCTGAACTACTGGGTGTGCTGGGCGACTGAAACGCTCCTGTATTGTTGAACTACTGAATGACTGAATGTATCTGAACAATCTGGGACATCTGGACAGGATAATGTCTGAACTACTGATCAACTGATCAACTGAATCAATCTGAACTACCTGAACCACTAAATGTCTGAACTACTTAGTGACTGAGTGAGACTGGGACAACTGAGGGAACTGAATGTCTGGACCACTGTGTATCTTATTGATCTGATTCACCGGGGGGACTGGATGTCTGGACTACTGTGTATCTTATTGATCTAATTTACTGGAAAGAGTCTGATTTCAGATGTTCATAGTGCTGCCGCGGTCCGGTCCAGAACCATGGTTCGAACCGGACTTTTGGTCCGGTTCTCTGTGGTTCAGTCCATGGTTCCCTCACCAGCCAGAACCGGACCGGAAAGCGGTTCTGGGTTCTGGACCTTCACTAGTGGTCCGGTTCTGGTTCGACTTTCCCGAACCTTCCCGAACCGTTCCTTGACCTTCGAATTCCCTCGACTTCGACACCAACCACGATGACGTCGGTGTCCATGTCGACATCAAAACACCGTCTTCGAGATTTGCATTATTTGTTAATCAGGCTACTGTTAGCCTTTTTGAAGTTAAGTACTAATCAATTTATTCTCAAGACTCTGACATATGTTTACCTATATCACAGATATCTACTTGTTCTAGTCTATATGCTTCCTGGATAGTCATGATCCTCCACCGGTTCTCAACTCTAACAGATCTCCTTGGATATTGTCGCTCTGTGGTGTTAGGCTATGTGCCATGCATAAAACAGGGTGCCGACCAAAAAACTGTGAGTTATTTGCCTGACAATGTCTGAAGACTGCTGTGCTCTGAACGCTGACGGCACCCTCAAGGATGCTTCTGAAATTACCTTTTTTAATGATCCTGACGATAAAGTACCATTGCCCCAGGTCGCATCTTCTGCCCAGCCATCCTCTTCCACTACATCCGCAAAGGACGCCTTCTCCGTTCTGCTCAAGGCTGGATGCACCCCAGCAACAGTTGCAGCTGGATCTAGGCGCTCTGGCCGGCCCTCAAAACCATCGGCTCGTATTCGCGATGCTGACAATGCCTGCGGTCTGTCTTCGTCAACTAACTGAAGGGGCAGTTCCATTCCCTCTGAACGCGCTTTCTCCAGTGCGGGCATCACATCAACTCTGCGCTGCAACGCACTCGCATCATCCACTTTCTCCGCGCTACAATTGATGAAGGCAGCCTATAAGAATGGACATGTGTCAGCAGCCAGTAGAGGCAGAAGGGTATGCAGTTGGTATGCAGTTAGACTAGCTACCCAATGTCATGTAGATGTCTTGTGAATGTTTTTTCCGTTGCTTGAAAAATTTTCGGTTCGGTTCGCGTTCGGACCAGACAAGAACCGGACCGGACCATTGAGAACCGTTCTCAATGGTCTGGTTCTGGGTTCGACAATTTTAAAGAACCGAACCATGGTTCGGTTCTTGGTTCTCGTCAAGGACCCTCTGAACCGGACCGAACCGGACCACGGCAGCACTAGATGTTCAGGTACATAAGTTGTATAAGTTGATCCAGGTTTTTTTGACATTTACTGATGCATATTTGCGCAAATTAATTTCATGTGTACTTAGGTATGGGATGAGGTTGAACGGTGTCATGCTCGAAGGGACCGAGATGATATGTTTCTGCAAAATGCGGAGAAAATCATACTTGGGCCCACAACCTCGAAGTGTCACCCCTCCCCCTGAAAAGGTCCCCTTGTCAGCTTCCACCGTAGATATGTCATCATCATCCGCGTGGACCACCTGGACCGACAGCTCCAAGGATGTTGTCATGGCCGGCAACCCTTCATCTAGCCTCCCCTCACAGGCTGCTGCACCCCACCCCTGGAGTGTCAATATCAATGACGTGCTGGATAGCATCAATGTTAGAAGAGAGGAACCGAAAGAGAGTAATATTTTGCGCAACATTTTTTTGCGCTCAAAAGTTTGGATTTACCTATTATTACCAAAATTTCATATATGTATTGTCAAATTTCCTCACTGAAAACCTCAAATATTCACAGGACTCGAAATTTTTGTCAAAATGTGCCATTTTGCATTGTCATATCACCGTTCATACAAATTTCTTGATTTTCTCAAGTCAAAATTTCAAGTCAAAATTCTTTATTTACCAATCTCAAATCTTGCTTGTATCAAAACTCCGAAACCGCCGATGTGTGATAGGATAGGCGACTGTGTGACCTGGCAGGGCCAATTTTTTCGCTGTGGTTGCACCGTGACAGTCACGATGCCAGTGCGAGCGCCATCCGACAAGAACGACACTGAGTGAATCCGACTTGTGTCCCCACAAAGGCTCACCAACTGAAAGTCTCGTCGCTGCATACCACAGCTTGATGGTGGTGAGCCAGTGACGATGTGAGTGACATCTGGCGAGAACAAATTCGAGTTGACTAAACCAGTTTACTCCCTTGAGCACGGGCCATCTGAGCAGCCCACCCTTGCAGGTGCACTTGGTCGCAAAGCTTCCTCCCTCCCATTTCTTCTATCTGACCCGGACACCACATCTCATCTTGTACGCTTCGTCAATGCCACTGGTCGCTTACGCTCGACATTCGGTGAGGTACCTCTGCCTCGCAAACCTCCAGACTGAATCAGTGCTCAATTTACAGATTTGTGATCCTTGTGATAATACGTTCAACGCCGACACACTCCTCATTCAACCTCTCTTCTCTCGTGCTTTGATTCATGTAAGCGGGTTCTGATGAGCACATATAGTCATGCTCAACAAATACCATTGGATGCTGTACTTCCTTGTAACTGCAATGTACCCTCGCTTCCTCATCATGCTCGATGAGAACCTCGAGAGCAAGCCCATCACTGTTCGCATGCCAGGTCAGGTAAGTTCACATTTTTTCCTCTTTCATGTCCCCTGCAGTTTATCTACAGGCTGTGGACGTCATCGGCCAAGCGGGCAAACTACGAACGATATCAGGCTTCCAAACGCACCAGACGCCTGTACAACTGGGGACGACAGAGCGCGCGGAGTTAACGACGGAGGAATTCATCCCGTATGCGCATGTTCTAGAGGGCTTCGTTGTATTACAGAAGAACCCTGGATGGGGGAGGGAGGATACGATGCAGATGTAGGTATATTACATGCCGTTGTACGTAAAATTTTGGAAAATGGGATAAGGTATCACTTGTTTTACAATCAAAGGCGATGCAAAACATGAGGTGTATTAAATGGAAAATTTCTCTCAGTCTTGGTTAGGTCCTGGAACGCGATCATACATAATTAAAGCTTACCCCCTAAATGTATGTCTTGTCACCGGTAGGGGTACCAGTGATGCGCAACCCTACTATGATGCTCAGTTTCAAACCACATGAGTTGTGCAAATCTTCGAGCCAAAGGTGGGAGGTGCTGATGATCAGCGCGGAAAGCTCATAGTATTGCCTCTTTATTATACTACGGAATATGGAGGAGAGATGGAACATGAACAGGGCAAATTTGTATGATGTTTTGAAATATCAGCCCTCTAAGGCTGCAAGCCTCGCACGAAGTTGCCCGATTTCGGCGTCCTAGTGGAATAGTACCATCAACAAACGAAGACTATATTTGCTGAGAATAACCCACTTTTGCTCAGCGAACTTGCTCGATTTCGGCGTCCTAGTGAAAGAGTACCATTAACAAATGAAGATCATTTTTGCTGAGAATAACCCACTTTTGCTCGGCGAACTCGCTCGATTTCGGCTTTCTGTTGCGCATTTTCAGCCTGCATGCAAATCTACAAAGGCAAGGACAGATCAACAAACAAAGACCATGTTTTTTGCTGAGAATAGTGCACCTCTGTTTGGCGAAGTCGTTCTATTTCGGCCTGCTGGTAGACATGTACCATCAACAAACACAGACTAAATTTGCTGAGAAAACAACTCACCTGTGCTTGGCGAAACGGCTCATTTTCAACCTCAAACTCCATGTGCAATTTCTGTCGATTCTGCAACGACAAGTACCATCAAGAAATGGAGACTATATTAGCTGAGAATAACCCACCTTTGCCTCTTCAGCTTCGTGATAGCACTTTACCTGCTCAAGCGTCTCCAACATCTTTTGCCACTCGAGCTCATAAGCGGCACATACAGCCTTGATATCCTTAGTTGGCGATCCTAATGCGAACCCGCGATAACGCGCGCGTGCATGATGGTTTTCGCACTCTAAGTCTTGATCACTAGGGAACAGCACTTTCAAACTGCCCCACACTGCGCTCGAAAACCAATAGCATTGATTTTCGTACAAATGATATGCCGGGGCCTGGAGGTGTACCAGAGACAGGACGGTGGACACTTGAAGTGCTGAGGGCGCAGAAGATAAAGGAAAGTCAAAGGTACAGAGCCTGCTGTATTGTGTATATCTGACTTGAAGTTCTGGCGCTGCATCGTGGGGGGAACCATAAATAGATACGGAGTCGTACGCGTTGGTGTCGGATGATGAGGGAGAGACTAATTCAGATGATTGTCTGAGGGAACGGTTTTGTCCTTGCATGGCACGGTCTGCAGACACTACAGCCTGAGCGGAGCAGCTATCGATCCAGTGTCTGAAATAAAACAAGAGGAACTCGTGTTCGGGATGACCAGCACACTTGTAGTACTCCATGCGTGCCAGTACACACTTTGCATACAGATTACCCTGGGTTTTGTCCCAAGAATCTGCCATCGAGGAACGCCAACTCAAAATGGACGCACTATTGATATCAGGCCCATCTGGACAGTGAAACTTTAAAACTGGGAGTCCAGGAGGAGGCTCTGACATGAATGCACTACGGAGGGAGGCTAGAAAACGGCTAATCCAGGACCGATTTCTTCGGTCTTGCTTTGAAGACATTGTAGATTGTCAAGGGTTTGAACGAAGGAGGCCGGCGTCAAGAAGATGTAAACAGCTGCAAGCAGGGCTTGTCGCTGACTGGGTCCATGTATGTCATATATACATACTTGTGAAGCCGTCCGCCTCGAGGTTATATGATGCCAGCAGCCATAATAAGTTTCAGGCCTTCCATAGGTCAATCTGCCGTGCCCGCACGTGTCATCATTCTAAAACCCACATCTTGCTCGGCACAGTACACGCAAACAGATTTTCCGTAATCCACAAAGTTCTCAGCTTGACGAAATGGACGACGACGACGAGCACTCGGCTTCACAAGCGCACTCATCAAAAGGTGATCAAACAGATTGGACAGAGGACTCGGACGACGACTTGTATCGATCAATAATATCCGACAATGGTGAAGACTATGTAAGTTCAGTTTCCTTCGCTGATTGCTCCTAGTGGACAAAATCATCATTGCGCAAGATTCACTCCGAGCATTTACCAATACCATTTGTCCCAGTTCATATGGGTCCATGACGGAAGTCAAGTTCAGCGCGCTGGATGGCTTGATCGTGAAGCCTATTGGCATTTATGGGAGCAAAGAAGAAATAGTGCAGCTCTTATTGTCTCTCGGCGTTGTCGACGACTACATGTGAGATACCAAGTTTGAGCTGCAGATTGATATCTTAAATAACTTTTCCCTTGTAGAGCAGCGCAGCTTGTTGTAAACCACAGCGAGACCAGTGTTTCGAAACCAAGCCTTCGTTCTGGACTGTACATCGTCCGATCAGATCGTGAAACTATCTCCAGTGAACAATTGTTCGTCATCTACTGGCTCGAGGATGCCACTTGAAGCGACTCAGCTCCTTCATCCGTGAAACGCAACCGTGTTATGCACTCATGAATCCTATTCACCAGGTGTAGGTGCCGTCTCTGGAGTTTGTAGGGTGACATCCACTCGATTGTTTCAAATTAGGTGTGGGGTGGCATTTCCGGTACTCGCATCACCTTTGACACGTCTGAAATGCCAGAGTCGAGCGAAATGGTTCGAATGATAGAAAACCTGAACCTCCGACGTGCACTGCTAATAAAGCTTTTGGATACACCGAGAGTCCAGGTAATTCAAAGTGTCAAAGTTGAATTGATACAACGCGAAGCAGTTGACCACAATGACTGGCCCCTGTTGCATCTTTCCAATGGTGCCACCCTACACGCAAGGCTGCTAGCCGGCGCTGATACCTTTTAGTGACTGTGTTATAAGCCCAGTGAACACCTGCATTGGTGTCGAGCTCTTTACGCCAGCAAGGTATTTGTCTTCATCTTCCTCGAGCACGTCCATTCATGCTTTCAGCGAATTTACAAGTCGCACGTAAGAAGAATCCGATGGAGAAGGTGGCGTTATCATCCCTGTGAGGGTTCGCTTGGCTCACCATATTCTAGTTTGACCTTGCCTCAATTACTGATGCTATGGCCAACATGGAAGGCGATGAGGATGTTCCTCAGATCAAACTTGGAGACGCTTCATGTGCCGCCCCATTCACATCCAAGCTGTCCCATGTCGCTGCCAGTGAGTTTTTGTACATCTATTGTGCAAGGTTCCTGCTGAACTTTGAACAGTTACCCACATTATCAGGCAAGGTCGCTGTACTTTAGTCGCTACCATTCAGATGTACAGGATTTTGGCGCTGAACTGCCTGATCACTGTGTACAGCTTGTCGGTTCAGTATCTTGGCGGGTTCAAATTTGGTGAATATCAGGTAACCGTTAGCGGAATGTTGATGTCCGTCTGTTTTCTCTGCATCTCTCGGGCCAAGGTGGGTTCTTGTTTGAATTTTTGTAGTCATACTGAGTGTTCGACAACAGCCAGTTGAAAAACTTTCCCAAGAGAGGCCGCTGGGCAACATCTTCAACCTCTATGTGCTATTATCCGTGCTGCTCCAGTTTGCCCTACACATTATCTCGCTCATTTACATTACGAACTTGTCGCATTTCCATGAGCCGTAAGTCTCGATCCCATTCATCCTCACAATATGCTGAGTCCTGTACAGAACTGGTGTTATTGACCTCGAGGCGCAGTTCGAGCCCAGTCTCTTAAACATCGCCATCTACCTTCTGGGTCTCTCTCAACAGGTCTCCACATTTACTATCAACTTCCAGGTAATTTATTTTGCAGAGGACGCTGAAGTTGATCCATTGACGACATCTCTTATAGGGTTGCCCTTTCCGCGAGGGAATCCGCGAGAACTCGAGCTTGTACTGGGGGCTTGTCGGTGCTAGTGCTGTGGCATTCTCTGGAGCTACGGACTTCATGCCTGAGTTGAACCGATGGTACAGAACGTCGAGATGGAGGGATCGGTACGTCATTTTCCCAATTTTTAGCATGACAATCTTATCGTTGATCCTTCATCCGTTTAGTGAGTGACGTTGCAAGTACTCGTGTTCAGGTCAACTCATTTGCAAAACAGTCGCGCCCTTGTAACTTTTATTCGAACACGTGCGGAGGCGCTGAGATGCTCAATTTTGAAGATGTCGAAGAGCGAGATGGTTGGTTTCATTGATATCTTGGTTAAATCGATCGATTAGCTTATGTTTGATTTCAGGTGTTCGTCTCTCGTGGAATGTATGGCCCTCTTCTCGGATAGAGGCGACGCGGACTGTGGTTCCGATATCAGCGCTCTATACTCCATTGAAGCAGCGAGAGGATCTTTCCCTAGTATTATACGAACCCGTGACGTGTAAACCGCCTTGTCGTGCTATTCTCAATCCATATTGGTATGTCTCTTCTCTTCCTTCCTGAAATTCTACTAATGATGCGCCATACAGTCAAATCGTTATTGGCAGAGGCAAACTGTAGATTTGTCTGTTTTTCTTGACCCGCAATCCTTTCCCGCCACATTATAAAGATATCTCTAACACCAATCTACCCGCTGAACTACTTCCCAAGTACACGACGATTGAGTACACGCTATCTCGTCCCGCTCAGGCCCCACCTGTCTTCCTGTTTGTCGTCAATACCTGTCTAGATGCCGATGACCTCAAAGCACTTCGTGACGCTCTTGTCGTCAGTCTCAGCTTGATCCCACCATATGCATTAGTTGGTCTCATTACGTTCGGCACAATGGTATGTATATACACTTGTTCTTTCATCATTCAAGCTCATTGCTTCAACCACTAGACACAAGTTCACGAGTTGGGCTATGCAGAGTGCAGCAAGTCATATGTCTTCCGTGGCGGCAAGGAGTACACACAGAAACAGATTCAGGACATGCTCGGACTCAGTACGACAACTCGCGCCGCACCCCGCGCCGGCCAACCCATGCCCCAACAAGCTTTTGGCGCTGCGCGTTTCTTGCTTCCTGTCCAGTAATGCGAATTTCAACTCACTGGCATTCTGGAGGCACTCGCTCGTGACCCTTGGCCAGTTGCCAATGACAAGCGCGCTTTACGTTGCACTGGTGTGGCCGTCAGTGTAGCCGTTGGACTCCTGGAGGTGAGTTTATCAATTGTGGTGAGGAGAGCGTACGGGTGACAACATAACTCAGACGACTTTCCCTAACACGGGCGCGCGTATAATGGTTTTCGCGGGTGGACCGGCAACGGAGGGTCCAGGCATGGTTGTCAACAACGAACTCAAGGAGCCTATTCGCTCTCATCACAACATCAAACGGGACAGCGTCAAGCACTACAAACGTGCGGTAAAGGTTTGTCCTGAATCAGTGACACAATGTACCATGGCATCATAGTTTGCTTTATTTTAGTTCTATGAAGGTCTGGCGAAGAGGGTATCCAACAATGGCCACGCTGTCGATTTGTTTGCTGGTTGCTTGGATCAAGTGGGCTTACTAGAGATGAAATCATTGCCCAACTCGACAAACGGTGTCATTGTCCTATCTGATTCGTTTGCTACATCGATCTTCAAGCAAAGCTTCCTGCGTATGTTCAATAAGGACGATCAGGACTTCTTGCAGATGGGTTTTAACGAGATGTTCGACGTACAGGCAAGTCATCTCGCATACTCTTCTACATGACCTTTTGATTTCAATATATTTAGACAACCAAAGAACTGAAAGTTTCTGGCCTCATCGGACATGCAATCTCCGCGGGAAAGAAATCTGCGTGCGTTGGCGAGACAGAAATTGGTATTGGTCAGACGTCAGCCTGGCGAATCAACTCCATTACGCCTAGGACATCTGCTGCTATTTACTTCGAGGTCGTTACTCCTATTTATTTGGTGGGGCGGGTGCACCCCTGCAAGCGTCACCCCATCTAACTAGGATGCAATCAAGGTGAGTTATATTGACGCATCGTAGCTCCCTTACAAAAAGGCTATCTTTCATTCGCGACATAGTCCATCAGCATTCAGCGCTGCTGGCTTCATTGACAGGCTACATTCCAAAGGCATCGCCCTCTACAGAAATGGCCTTGTCCAGGAGGCAAGGATAGCATTCGACATCGCATCCATGTTCATGAATCAAGATTCGAGCGCCAACCATTTTCTTCTCTTGATCAAGGCACGTCAAATTCCATTCGCATACTCTCCACTTCATTCTGTATTTCAGGCCATTGCACTCTTCAATGCAGATCAATGCGAGGAAGCAATGTTGCCCATCAAAGAGCTGGCTGCCATTTGTCTGAATACCGATACACTCGCGCGTCGTGTCGTAGAAGTATGTACCATGCGGTTATGCTCCGTCCTCAAACCTGATCTTTGTCACTCCAACATTAGATATATCTACTTGTTGAGCTCGGAACCAAAGCCTTGGCTGACGCGCGTCACGATGAAGCCGCTGATCACTTCACTGCCGCCGTCAACTCCGATGCTTTTTCATCGAAAATCATTCATCAAACATACGACGACTTCGTCATGGTGCGTCAAGATGGTGCGTATCTAACGCTTTTCATAACTAAATGTTTTGTCCAGCTCTTCGGTTGGGATCTCCCATCCTCGTTGGTTACTACACACCAGAAGCGGTGCCAGGCATTCCTTTCAGCAGGTAAATCTGATCAGGCCCTCGAAGCACACAAATACATGATCGACAAATTTGCGAGGGCTAGCTGCCTTGAATGGTCCAACGGTAAGTCTTCATTGATGTCACTTGCAGCTATCACGCTCACCTGCATTTCGCTCAGAATTCAAGGAACGATGTAGCGCGCTCACTCAACAGGATGACCGCATTCTCAGTGTATATACCTCCCTTTCTCCACTCCTTCGATACTGACCGTTATGCAGAAAGAGATTGCTGGGCAAGATCAAGGTGGCTGCGATGCAGAACCCAATTTCTTCCACGGAATGCATCAAGTGCGTGCAACAGCGGATCATTCTTCTTTTCTCTCTCACATCATTCATTACAGCATTCTGAAAATTTCCAGCCACAACCCCAACAGTGCCATAGGCGCCTTAAAAGACTCAGGCTCACAATGACGAGAACCCCTCGTTCAGCTCCTCCACCTGCACCACTCACCATCCCACCGCCGGTCACTGTCGCTACCTCCTTCAAAACTCACTTACAACACATATTCACCTGGCCGCCTCATAATGCAACACCCCCCGTCGTCGATGTTCCTTTTGCAAAGGGTAAAGAGGTACGTCCAGTCAATTTTACTGTCACTGTGTCTTGGATGTCTCATGATGATCCACAGCGTAATGCTGCTGCGGGTGCTCCTGGCAAAGACCCGGACATCATCGCTGATGAAGATTATGAACATCCCAACACTACTCAACAAGACCCTAACACACAACCGCAACAGCAAGCAGTAGCAGTGCACGTAGATCCTGCTGCTAGTATGTCTTATCGGTGTCTTTCAGATATTTCAGTTCTATCGTCGATCTTGTTATGATATTGACGTTGACTTCTCTGTAAAGCTTGACTTGCACCCGGGCCTAGGTTACTGAGTACCTTCTGGTTCTATCAATTTGACCTTCGTGCGGAAGCAACTTCCGCACACCTAACCTGCTGATAGGATGAGGGGGTGACGCTTGCAGGGGCACGCCCGACGCACCAAATATGTAGCCACATCGCAAGCTGCGTTGCTGCATACATGAGCAATGCCTCTACTGTCTTCCGGGTTGTCAGCATGCCTTCCTGCACATCAAGCGGCATATCTTTGAGGGACGCAGTGGGCGGGGGGTGGCGATGGCCTGACCTGCTGGGCGATCGACGAGGTGTCGTAGGACATTAAGGGTGCAGTTCACGAGTTCAAGCAAGGTCCCCAAAGATGCTGGTTTCCCTGGCACCACCTTGGAATGCTGCAGGAAAACGGTAAATAAAGTTCTGCTTCAGAACGCGAAGCTACGTACAAGAACAATTACTGCTTCTTGAACAGGCCATTCTTCCTGTTCACCAAGAAGAACATCATACGCTCGACTGATGCTAATCAGCGTAGACACCACGGAGCTTGACAGCCTAAATAACCCATGAACGAGACGCGCAGTCAACGGATGTTTCTGCAGGTCGGCCATGTCCACTGATAACAGGGAAGATGCGGCGATAGGCTCCAGCAATGCACGCTCTTCCGCAGTCACCGGTTCCAAGAGACTAGCAATGTGATTAGGGTGCGTCAATGCGTAGTTGAATCGCTGAAGGAGCATGAGCATGTGGGTTGTAAACACACTTAGGACCTTGATGACTGCTGGGTTTGGGGAGGTAGTAGGAGGAGCACTCTCCGCAAGTGCATAAAAGAGGCCAGCAACCTGTTCCATCTCCTGCAATAATGGTAGCGTAATCGGATCACCGATACTCCAGCTCAGCACCCGGATGATCTGCTTGCCATACAGCTGTACGAATCCGCAGGCCTCTGCGTCGAAGAAGTGGTGTTGCCGCTTGAGAGCAGAGACGATGGCGGAAACTATGGCAGTATGTCTTGTGTGCTGGGCTCCTCTCTCCAGGAAGCTCAGGCAACAATCTGCCCTGAGCTTGCCGAAAGGCTAATCCCGTTATTACTATATACTGCTTCGTGGAGACTTGATCGGCGCTCATCGTCCAATATTCTGTCTCGTAGTCAGGATCGGGACCGAGCTCCTTTTTAACAACAGCAACCACATTAGTCCAAAACTCGTCATTACCACGAGTAGTATCAATGAGATTTTTGTGCCCATGTTGCCACACGACCTAAATGAAGCGAAACACCGATGCTACGAGTTGGGGATCGGCCTCCCACAACTTGTCCATATGATTGCACGGTCTCTGCAAGAATGCATACTTCGTTGGCTTCCGTGTAAAATGCACAACTTGGGCATACTCACTAGTACGTTATACTACACCTTTCCCTCACATTCACTCGTACTCACATTCATACAAGGATGTCTCAACAAGCCTCCTCATTACGTCATTGTACTGTCTAGCATTAGCTAGTAGCAATATGAAAAAATGCACTTGCCTGCACGGACTATCAATTGCGCGTTCGATCTCACCGCTGAAATTGACCAGTCTCGCCCGGTCATGCCTACAAGGACCGAACTCCCGAAATGGCACCACTTGGACATGTAAAATATTAGGGATTAGTCAAGTGACTGCCTGTTGTATGGTCCAGGCCAGTCACGACGACAAAGATATTTGAGTCCCGAATCCTGTCGGACCTCGGTATCATGCAATTCAACATCCATGTCAATCTTTACCCAACTCTCCACGTCGAGTTTCCATCAACGTACACATCTCCATAGAATAACTCTATCCTGGTGTCCAATCGATGCTGTAACAGCTAATGAAGCCTTCAAACGGATGTGGATGCTTCGATCACGCGTTACATGGTCCACATCCACTAGTAACCTCCACAAAGAATCTCTGTATGAATTCCATAACCGTTTGTCCACCTAAAAGCACAATGCCACGACCACAGCAGGGAATCATTTATATGCCTACCATAATACTTACCCAGCACCATCATCTGCTCAAGTTGAATCGTACATTCACCTCACAAGTCATATCCTCACTGATATTCTTATATAACCAATCATGCCAAAGGTAAGCCTATTCACGCGCATACTTTATGCATTAACTTGAAGACTGACTCTTGTTATATTTAGATCTATGTTTGCTCTACTGGGGGGCCTGGCTGCAACCAAACTTTTGACAGGCGCGTCGACCTCAAGAGACACGAAGCCATGCATCCAAAAAAGTACGTGTTTCTCCTGTATGGTATACAGTTCACCTTACTTATATTCGCTCGCGCAGTAAGTACATCTGCACCTGGCCTGGGTGTAACTTTGCGACACTGATTAAAAAAAGTTATGGCATCCATTCCGATAAACAGTATGCACTCATTTATCACCATCATCAATTCCACCTGATTGAGTATTTCATTTCATTTCATTTTAGTGCGGGCGAGCAACGCCACAACTGCCCTCACGATGATTGTGACTTTAAAACCCACAATCCTTCCCTGCTCACGGCCCACCGCAAAAACATACATAAACATGTTCCTTTGCCGCGCAGTCAAGTTGTATGCCCTGTAATAGGATCATACAAGGCCCACTCGTTGTCCCAGCCTACGGTACAGTCGCTCCCCCTGCACAGCTCCTGCCCTTTGGCTGCCCATACGAACCCCAAGTCATGCAACCGGAGCCTATGCCACCCCGACCCCTGCAATTCCACCCCGCACAATACCAACACCAGCCCGAACCCACTCAATACGAAGCCCAACCCATGCAACCCATGCCCATGCAATTTAACCCCGCCCAATACCAATACCAACCCGAACTTGCTCGTTACGAACCTCAAGTCATGGAACCGGAACCCATACCAACCTGAACTTGCTCAATATGAACCCCAAGTCATGGAACCGGAACCCATTCCACCCCGACCCTTGGAATTTCACTCCACCCAATACCAACCTGAACTCACTCAATACGAACCCCGATCTACTCAATATGAACCTCCCACACCTGACCCCAACCAGTTGTTGGGAGTCATATATGGCTCAATAGATACCGCGGACGATTACCATGTACACCGGATCCGTGATGGACCCCGATGGGTGGACTGAGGGATGCATCATGCGTGTGTCCTGAATTGATGTAGAGATACCCTTCGGAGATGCCGGAGGATGAGTATAGGTGTGATTAGTCTCAAGAATCGAGAATCATGATTTTGTGTTGCTATTTCTTTCTTTCTTGATGATGGTTTCTCTTTGATTGTTCGTTCGCTTATGTATCATGATGGACTCTGGGCACCCTTTCACTCGTTTACATATTTTATTTATCACTTGCGACATTTTCCCTAGAGGACAATACATTCTTTTACATGTAATACCTCAGTTGTGAATATTAACGTTCACTTCCCTCAAATGTGATTTAGGCGCTGATATTTGCTCCACTAGTTCCAGCGTCTCAATAGACTTCAAACATGCTCGCGGAGATTCAAATATTCTTTGTCTGCAGCAATGATATACGGCCCGCATGCGCAATGTCCATCCCAGTACTACAGCAAACCCTCAAAGATGCAAGCACTACCATCACCGGAGACAGACCTACATCAGAGGTCATAGTGGACAGGAAGCTCGGCGAAGGGGGATATAATGAGGTATACTTGATATCTTGGGCAAGTCCTTTCTTCGAAGCCCTTCTTCCTCGTCAAATTCCCATGGTGTATAGCTCTCTGGCTGGGACGACTCCACGACATCTAAGTCTTTTGCTCTGCGCCTTCCGAAATCAGATACTGTCCTGCCTCACCAACTATTAAACGAGGTCGCTTCCATATCCTTGATATCCGCATTTCGCGCTGACGGACCGAACCCGTTTGTCGCTCAAGAATACATCGATGGCGAGCCTTTGAGCAGTATATGGAATCGCTATACCGAGGCGGAGAAGCATTCAGTCGCCTTGAAGATCGCTGAGATAATTGTTGATATGGCGGAGACGCGTTTCAGTGCTATAGGCGGATTTGCCAGTCCCACAAGCTATGCCCTTGGACCGACCGTAGAGGGAAGCAAACTTTTCAAGGGACGCGTGAGTCTTCGTCGCATTTCGCATTTGATTTCTCTGATGATTGACGTATTACATTCGGACAGGGTAAATTTCATTCCAATATATGCTACCCCATCGGTCCATACAAAACCACAAAGGAATACATTCTCGCTTGCTACGACAAAGAGATATACTATTATACCCATGCCCCCACGTCCGATATCGATTCCGACTTTTTCGAACTCACGTCTGTCGAAGATTTTGTGCAGCAGCTACGAGATAAGAAGCGTCAGCTAGAGACTAGCTTTGTCGCTGAAGACGAGCCATTTGTTTTCGTTCACGGAGACTTTCACGGTCGGAATATCATCATGCGTGGTACGCATGTGCAAGCTGTCCTTGATTGGGAGTTTGCAGGTGCGTATCCTTTGGGTGAGCTATTAGGAGGGATGGGTGTCGATGTCCTGGAAGTCGTCGACGACGAATCAGAAGAGGAGAATGCATTTTGGAGCAGGGAGATTGTACGTAGGGTTGAAGAGACGGCGAGACAAAGAGGATGGGATGAGAAGGAATTGGCGCTGTTATTGGGCAATGGAGATCCTGTCCTCGGTCAAGCAAGGATAGAAATGGTTCCGGCCGATCCTTGAATAATGCTCTGGGTGGGTATTTCCTTTGTAACTTTTATCAGTTTTGGACCGAATCCGACACCGCGGTTTTTCATCATATCACTGGTATGGTTGTGAGTCGTCAATCAGTTCTAATATTGAGTGCTGAAAGTTCAATGAATGCAGTTCAGTCAGTCTTCTGAAAACATGTAATCATTAGGAAAGCTCGACATTAGCTGCGGGTTTCCTTGAAATGTACATGGCATACACGCAGCATGTCAAAGTCACGTTGGAAGTAGACTCACTTTCTCAGACACTAGTCATTTCGGTAGGGATGTATCTGAGCTGGGAAATAGCAAAACATACTATCTGACATATTTCGTGCTCATCCCCGTTCTTATTCAAGAGACTAACGAAGCGCTCGTTTCAACAGATCAGTTGGATGGCGGGCATGACCTCGAGGCTGAGCTGGCCTGCACAGCTCGGCTGGTGTCATCGTACTTTTGTAACGAAGCTGAAGGTAAAGTATTTCCAGTGTGCGTTGGCGTGCAGACGAACTTCTGACGAAGTGACCTAGGTATAGGAATGTTGATTGTCCTGGAATACTGTCTCTGATAAACAGTATTTGGTAGCTTTGCGGCATATAGGGCCTGTTCTGCCACTTTCAGATTCTACTGGTGCACCAATAAGTGGATGTCCTCAAGCCTAACCACGACAAGGTGCTCACGTGATCCTCAAACACCGTAAGAGCATCCGCCAATGGTGGCCACTCTCGAGTTTCAAAAGGTCCTTTCCTTTTCCTGGTTCTATGCGTAGTCGCGAGGTGATGGGAACACTTGTACGAGTCGCCAGGGCAGCTACCTCTTTGGGGTACCACTCAACAGCGGTACTCATCTTATCCATATTCCAAACGGCGACCTCAGAAGTAAGAGTTTATTTAGATCCCGAGACTGAATCTGCAGTAGATTTTGCCTTAGACCTCGGGGCGCAACGCCAAATGTGTGATGTTTGGGGTGGTCGAGAGATGAGTCAACGCGGATCATACCCGCACCCAACCCGCGGGCACCAAAATTTCCGAGACTTACTCACACTCACCGGGATCAGAGCATCGGGGGTACGTGGGTTTACCTTGAGACGTAACGTCGGATATATGAAGTTTTGGGTAGCCGAAAGATGACATTGTGTGTAAAGCCGCTCTGTGTTGGACTGAAAAACTGAAGGCTACGACGAAACACAGCTCTTGGCGAGCAGGGGGAATAAGCTTCTCTAGTTTTCATAGTCTTGCATGGACAGGTAGATTCACTCTGAGGAGTTCGTCATATATTTCGGTAAGTTCCGCTCGTAAGTAATAGCCTTATCATATGTCCGATTAGACATGAATCTCGAATCTACTATTCAAACTCAGTGGTACCGTTAGTACCAATAACAAAAATAAAGGCAAGCCGCGGTAGACAACTATTTTTTCGTAAACATCCATTCACCAGCACCTCGTGAGCGTCGGCGACAGTGACCCGGTCGTGTCGGGTTGTATATCGGCAAACATCTAATATTCGGTTTGATCGGGAGACCGGTGGAGCCGTGGGCGTCTGCATATAAGTAGTATAGGCTGGCGTTAGTACTTATTAGACGCTTATACAACAAATCTTGGGCGTCATGCGGCTAGCACCGAACTCGGAAAAATCCAAGGTTCAGTACCACCTGCTCCTTTCATAACTACTTATCACCGCCTCCTTATCAGCTTGGGCACAACTTGGCGGTGTTCTTGGTGATGCTCTGCCAGTGAATTACAATGCACATATACCGCCTCATCCTTCCCAGCTCGAAAAAATGCGCATCCGGAACCGTACCACATGCAACCGAAGTCTATCGTCAAAATCTGACTACTAAACTCGCTCTAATAATAGATACAAATGAGATCATAGTAGGGCTTCAATATTCAATATCCCATCAACTATTACATAATAGATTTGCTAGAAACGACAAACGTAGTACAAGGCGGCGGTCTTGCATGTGACACTCACGGTGTACTTCGGTATGACTGGGTGCAACAAATCATTTTCCAAGAACAAATCTACGACATCGACGGAGTGTTCACTAGTCTGGTTTGTTTTTCTTCTCACTAATCAAGCCAACAGATGGTAGACAGGCAACCAGAACGTTGAACGCAAACTTTGCATGATAGGAATTTAAATGTTGGCCGAAATGTTCGAATGTAAGTGCTGCACAGCACACCTGGGTGTGTCTCAATACTTCTTTCGCGTATGACCAACTGTTGTAGGACACTGTCCGTATATGCGAACGACCCGAGCCGGACAATAGAACTTCGACTTCTCGGACTGCTTTTTGGCCCAGTCTGCAGAAATGAAAAACGTGCGAAGCACTCCAAGCAACGCCAACGCCGAGTGGCGCCAGTGCAGAAAATACACAGGATTGAACGAGGTTTTTGAGCGTTAATTCTAATCTCGTACAGATAGCCAAAACTATCAGCGCCAATCCTTTGAGTAACGGAACAGGATGCACCAGATATAAGAAGCCAGGAAGAGTAGTAGCATTTGTCTATCGTTCAGTCTCGATCCAAGATGTCAACCCTCACGATCCCGAAGCTTGCAGATGAACTCTTCTTGCGACCCATCGTAATATCGATGAACAGCTTGGCCCTGTCGGCCCTTATGTCCTATGTCATGTCCGCCAACGCAGGTATCGCCGACTGGAGACCGGTACGCTCATTAATTTGATACTAGGTCATATTGCTCATGCAATTGTCTTCACAGATAACCATCTGTGTTACATCGGATATCCTTGCCATGGGTGCTGATCATCATCTCAAGGATAAAGAAGAGGAGTTTTCGTCAGACCGCAATAACGCAAACAACCCACGCCTCGCCTCTTGGTTTTTATATGCGCGAACCTTCCTCGCCGCTAGCGCTGTACTCCTTGCATTTGCACTATCTCAGTGTCCAATTTCGACGCTCCTCACCACGGCAACATTCGTCGCTCCTGCTTTGCTCTGGACCACTCTGATCAGCTTCAAGAAGTTTTGGCTAATCTCGAGGCGCCTCCTCGGGAGGTTTAGCAGAGACAGGCAGCAGCCTTCTACCTCTGCACCTGTCCTGGTCATCAAACGCATTCCTGGCATGAAAGCCATTTTTAATGGCATCATTCGAGGGTATGTCTGCATGTTCGCCTTAAACGATGCACGCGTAAACTAATGCTCTTCAGATGTGGCATCTACGCCGTGGTCTTCTCCGTGTTGTCAGGGTCAGGCAATCTGACTAACACGCTGCCGTCTCCATGGAGCGTTGTTCAACTGTTAGTCTGGTCGACCGTCAACCGCTCATGCCACGCAGTAAGTAGACCGCACATGATCGTACAATTTGACCCTGACCATATCTATAGATCATGACGGATGTCCGTGATTTCGAAGACGATATGAAGGCTGGCGTTCACACCATACCTGTCCTTCTCGGTTCTATACTCAGAACGAAGGTCATACTAATGGCATGTCATATGCTGGTTATGTTGGCCTTCATCGAAAACACGTACATCATGGGAAGCTGTCTATTTGCCGCAGCTCTGGTGTGGATACTCTGCGAAGACTCGCCAAAAAAGGCGTTTTTGTTCAGCTCTCATTCGCAGTCGTTGTTTATTATCTGGCATTTGTTGACGAGGCATATTTAGCTCCTATCGGCAGACGAATATTAATAACTTAAAGTACGTTAGTAACATTTCTAGATTGCAAAGTGCTGGCTACGGAAGGATACGTTCATAGCCAGTGACGTAGATTCAATTTGTATATATATACTTGTCGTTTCAAGTTACCTACCCACCTAGACTTTTAATTCAGAGGCATAAGCCCAATTTCCTTATTATAAGCCGAGATCTCCATAACATTAAAATACAATACGTTGCTTGAAGATCTGAGAAAATTGCATCATCGCCCTGTGATATCAGTCGGGATCTGCCATGAACGAAAAGATGAATCACAAACTTTTGGTGGACGAATATACTTAAGTCCAGCTGTGTCTCTACTGAGCGCTCGTCATATCTTGTCAGCGTCTAGATAAAGTTTTATCAGCTAGATATTATGCATGTAGTGCTGCAGCAATATCCACGTCAGCGCCTGCATCTTCAATCTCTTCTCTGGATCCACCAATCGCACGGTTGCTCCATCACCAGCGCCGTATAAACTCACCGTAAGCATCAAACTTCTTTTTGACAAGCGAAAATTAGCGCTCAGTTTTGCTTGGTAGTGCATGGCAGTGGCAGTGCCACAGTGGCGAGTTTTGAAGAAGTCACAGCTCTTGCCACCATCTATCCGGATTCCTAGTTGATCTTGGGTACCGGCAGTAGAATATGACTCGTAACCAGTCTGACTAGCATTGCGTCAATTTGAGATGGTATTGACGTAGTCAGACTGGTCGAACTCGGAGTGATTTGGCAGGCGGAGCGAGGAGTTTGAAATTTAGCAGATGCCGGTATGCCGCTTTGGGCAACATTACTTGTCAACAACTCGTTCGTACAGCGAAAAGTACAGTATCCTCTCAAATACATGTTGTATTCAATCTTGGAAAGACCCTCCATGGCAACTTGGAGAGAAGGTTTCTTTCGAAGCAAGGCACTTAATTTCTGAATGTGTTGGACATGGACGAGCGAGCGAGTAAGCAACTTCACCGTGACGACCCCGAAAGCAATGCATCATATGAGGCATCTGAGCTGGAACAATTTCGGACGTTGACGCGAAAGAAGATCGAGTCGCGAGAAAGCCTCGAGAACTTGCTGGTGTTGTGTTGTTGAGAGGGCCCTCGTAACGAGCAGCGAGCGATAAAGGTCATACAGAACTCGTGGTTGAAACTTAACATAGCGTACAGTCTGAGCGAGAGCAGACGCATAACTTGTGCTATATGATCGGAACTAATACCTCCAGCACGACCGGCACCTATCAAATTTCAAACTCCTCGCTTCGCCCTGCCACGCCACTCCGAGATCGACCAGCCTGGCTACGCCACTTGTGCAACCGTGGTAGTATACGCCAGGCTAAAAATCCATGACCATTTGGTGAGGATTTATTTTTCTATTACATTCACTTTGATAGGGAGATATATGATCATTCATTTGACTAGTGCGTGGATGCGCGTGCTCGAAATTGCATCATACTCGGAACCGGAAGAGGAATGGCAGCGAAGACTTCAGGGATTCATCGATACGTCATGCATCAATACGGCAAAGAGACGGCGTAGATTAGACTGGTCACTAGGCAAATCGACATTTGGCAAGCCCTGACTACCAACCTACGAGCGCTGGAAGTTTCTTCCTTCACTGTAGCCAAGATCGCCTTCACGTCCTCTCAAATGAGTCTGAAATCCTCTAGTGTTGCATCCAGGGATAAGAAATATGTAGGGATCTCTGTGTCTGAAGTTGACACTGGTGCGCAGCTCGTTGCTGGATTAACTTCGACTCTTGAGCCTGATGAGGCTTTAAGAATAAGATGCGCTCTGAAAACTACACACACCTTGACATCGTTCAAAAACCTTTCAATTCAGAAGGAAGATCGATAGACATGTCATGCCTCTGATGTGTGGTGAGTCGGCTACTGTACTCAGTTGTATGAACTGATCGCATCTGATGATTGTTGTTCAGTTCTTTTCGGGTTAGTTGGCTGCGTTCACCACAGACTAGCGCTTACGTGCGCATAGTATCCAAATCATAGACAAGATAACCTTAGGTTCTGCGGCCATCCTTGGAATTCAGTGAGGACTGTGCATCGAGACCAGCCAAACATGGCGCGCTGACTTGTGTTATCAGGCAGGCCACACACTTGACTGTAAACGAGTAAGATAACCTTCAGGCTGTCCTTAGATTCGAAAATCTCATGGTTAACTGACTTCAGGTTCAACTGGTGAGACATGTACACTACTCGAGTTTGCATAGTCCTTACAGTATCTTTCAGGCTTGGCACTGCATTTTATATCGCTTATATTCTGTTCGAGTATCCCCAGAATCTTGCCCTTCAGAGATTCCCGGTCGGGAAGTGGATAAGGTAGGCTTCACATACGTTCTCAATGTGAATATCAATAACAGCATACTCAAGTATCAATATCTTCGTCTGGGCAATTGCACTTGCATGTCATGCAGCGTGCAAAAACTTTCATCAGCTTTTTGTCGTGCGTTTGTTGCTGGGCGTATGTGAGGGGTCGAACACCGCCGGATTCCTGATCGTTGGCTCCAATGTTCTACACGCGGACAGAACAGACGCTACGGGTTGGTTATTGGTGTAAGCTTCCGTTTTCAAACGATCGACGAAGTCGACTAATTTGATATTTGGGAACCTAGCTATGATGCTTGGCATTGGTGCGCTTACTGCAATGTATCATCGATCTTGTCGCCCAAGCCAATAACATCTAGCACAAATAATTTCTGGTTTCATTAGCTTTGGTACTTTGCACATTCACACCTCTGGGTTTGAACCATGGCAATGGTCGGCCATTTTATTTTCATTGTTTCATATTCTCTCTGATAGATCGCAGGCTTATGATAATCACCGCTATAATGACGATGATCCTTGCCATCTTATTTTGGTGAGTTTACGAAGTAAATGTTCCTAGCGGCTAATCTCCATAACCGTCTCTACCTGATAAAGGTTCTTGTTCCCTGATTCGCCTATGAACGCCTGGTTCCTTACTCCCGATGAGCGAGTGAAAGCTGTGCAGCGCATCAAGGCATGCCTGTTAAGTTACGATACCAACTATCATCTTACAGCTAGCACAGGAAAACCAAACAGGGGTAGAAAACAAGCACTTTAAGAAGGAGCAGTATGTATTCGATGCAATTGTAATTTTTCATGTCTGACGTATAGATCTCTAGGATGATTGAAGCCCTGACTGACCCCAAGGCATGGCTCTTCGCTCTCCTCTCGGCTCTATGCAATGTGCCTGCCTCATTATTAAACCAACAATCACTTATCCTCGTTTCGTTTGGATTCAACTATCTACAGACGACTCTCTTGTCTTGTATTCCTGGTGTGATTTATCCTGTGCTTCATCATCCCCCTCATCGATCTCCATCCCGACGTCTTCAAGCCTTAGCGTCAAAGGAATAGATCCAGGGCTTGTACGGCCGAAGGCAACGTCCTGGTATAGGTCCACGGTGCCCGTGTACATCCTCCGCTGAGTTACGTACTCAGTAAGCATGTCCAAAACCACCTTCCATCCGCCGTGCTCATGTTGCCAACACACCGCAATATGATCCCCACCATCCCCACTCAACAACCAACCCTTCGAGCGCGCAGGCATCACGGAGCCTCCAGGAAGGTGAATAGCACGTAGGTTTGTGTATGCGAAGGATGGACTGGCAGCCTGTGCTTTCTCATAGACAGCATTAGGACCGGTGCAAGATGCCAGGGGAATGACCAGCGAGAAAGTAGGCAACTTATCCAAGTAGCAAAATACATGTCAACTACAAATCTCAGTCACCATCATTACTTTCGTCAGCAGGAGGTTGGCCGGACGATGCCGCAGTGGATAGTAGATCAGTATGAATGAATCCAGACGCAGTCATTGCTCGAAGAAGGCGGATGAGCGGCCGGAAGTGGATTGGTAAGCGTATTCGTGTAACATCAAACATGGCGCGACATGCAAGGCCCTGCCGCCAATCCGATTGCCAAAATTGTAGGCATATCCCTGCTATAGATTGACACTCGCTGCGCCCAAACAGCGCAATCCAGATTTCAACCAAAGAGCCGAAGTCGGTAATGAGTTCAACAGGGAACAATTCAGCCATTGCAATGACAAAGCCTAAGGGAAAATGATCTTCAATGTGCTGTTTCACGCAGAAAAATGTTGTCACCTTTGAGTACAGAGCGGAATGCAATAGCATTTGGGTTGGTTACAGTCAACCCTGTCTTCCAAGCAACGGAGGTAACAAACAATGGGGAGGTTGTAAGGAGAGTCAACAAGAGCTTGAAAAGACCGGCTTCAGGACTGAAAGCTGCCCGTGCCAAAGTACATGCGATGGCTCCCATTCCTTAGAGCGATTGTGGTGCGGATGCAGGGAGTCTAAAAACCTGCGATACGATTCTGGAATCTCTTTCAATTGACCAGCTTTTGATGTCAACCGCGACAGAACGAAGGCCCATGCTAGGTATGTGCACGAAGGAGAAAAAAGTAGAACAAAAGCCTGAATTTCATCAATCCCAAACCGAGCACTAATTGCAATTGTGAACTCCGTCGACTTGCAACACAACATATCCGCGAGCGTGACTGAGCCAGCCTCGGCTGCTTGTCGTGACGCCGGTGTGGGCCTTCCATAGGGTTTGGCGACATTTCGAAGTTGTAAGGAACGGGCAGATATGATATCGCACGGTTGATCTGGGGACAAGCCCTCGAGTCTGCCAGACAGGAAAGGATGTAGGTGTTGGTTCGTTCTGCACAGAACAATAGTCAGAGAAAGAAAGTGGCATGGTAAACAGAAATGGCAGAAACATACACGTCCACAAGAGTCGACCACGATGGTTCTCCGGGTATTGCGAAACCTATCTTTCTGTCCGGGCGTTTGTAAGCATGCAGACATCCATGATGCTTAGAGGCCTGTAGACCAGCAAGATTTATGATATAGAAATTCTTTAGCTCCGGTATGAATGTCCGTATAAAATCACCCGTTGGATTTGCCTTGGAGGACTGTGTATGAGGATTGAAGATCCGGAAGTAAGACACTGGGTCTACTCCATTGCCAATCACCGTTGTTGCATGCACGATCACCATCTGTGAGCTTTTCCATGAAAAGCTGCGAGGGCTCGTCAGAGAAGCGCATAAAATGCAAATGAAGAGATGAGCTCACACGCTCTCCCAGCCAACAATTCAACATAAGATCCTTCGACACGAACAGAGCAACAATCATGCACATATGAATGAGTCTATCCTGACAGTCTGATGAATCAATATTCCAAAGGATCGATACAAAACATACCCTTGATGTTTATCTGCCTCATCGTGGCACCAACGTTAGGAACGCAAGTTTTTCCCCCTAGCCAAGCATTCAGATGTTCCTCGTCGATCTCCCACTTGACAACTTCTCCTGAGAGGGTCGACCCATGGATACTCGCAGGTAGTATGCGAGAACATTTGTGCAAAAATCTCGCCAGGCTACTCCATCATACATCAATTATGCGTCCAGGTCATTTGAAAGAAACGGACCGAGTTCCTACAGCCAGCGACCTATGCCCGATGACCGTCCAGCCTCCACTGTCTGGATTCTGAGAAGCTTTATAGCTTGACGGACGTATTCCCTGATAAAAATAACCCTAGGTAGGGGCTCAACCGCGACGTGGGGTCCTTGTCGTCTCTGTTACTAGCCTTTTCGTACAAGAGGACTTGGCTGAATTCTCAGCTCCATCAGCTAGAGGATGTACGCCCTGGCCAAGGTCTGTATGATGCACTGGTTACTGACAGGGTTCAAAGCAACTTTGTACGCCCCGGCACCCCCATCAGCACAAACCGAATTCAAATGGTAACCCCTTGCACCTTCGAAATTCAAATGTATAATAGTATAAGTAAGCACATTGTCAGCACAAGAGAACGACAGGGCGCACGTGACGCGTGACGCTTCGGAGAGAGCCGGTCCAGTGACTTAATTCATCGACTTCGTAACTAGTAATAACCTATGTCTCTCGCTTTCAGAGTACCAGCTTCCTTCCACAGCTAACGATCATGACGATGCAATTAACCTCCCCACATCGACCCCAGCAAATCGCACCCCAAGCCCACTTCTGGTCTCCCAGATGTCCGTGGTACTGCAGAGGACGAAGCCTGCAAACCTGCACTCCCATCCCCACTGTACCAGCGGCAGTAACGATGACGCCCACTTGGTGTCAAACGAAGGCTGGTTTTCAGACATGTCCAACCTCGTGTCTAGCCAGAAATGGTTCTTTTGTGCTATCAGTGCAGTAGTGCTCTTGGTATGGATGCAGGTGTGTTCTTCTGGAGACACCGGGTAAGCATCGAGCGTAGACGAACTGCAGATGAGCTTCCTTGGTACTTTGTCGTGCGTAACATTCAATTTCATCTCCGAGCCATTACATATCACCATGTCCCCCCTTCTTGTCTTTTTCAGGTTTCCAAGACGTCCAATATCCGACGTACATCTGCATTAATCCCCGGTCCTACCCCCTACGTGCGCGCATGCCTCTCCAAAATCGGCTTCTCTTGCGGCAGATATACAAGACGCGTATGTACACAAGTTTCCACGTGTCTTTATACTCAGCTGATGTTGCATTAGCTCTTGATGCTTTGGGCGAGCTGCAGGAGATACCATTAACTCTCCATATTTCGCATAGAGAAACTATTGTTTCAGCGATAGTTGAGATGCAGCCTGCCACTCCATTCAAACCCCCGTTCCCGATACACGAACGCTATTGGAAAAGACGTCCTCAACGAAGATCTACCAGCCGGTGCGTTCCTGTCAACCCACACACAAGCAACCTTCATCAATCTTAATGCAGGCATATATGTGTTACAATGTACAACCTCGCGTTGGGACCCGTTCAAGAGTCACAGGTGATATGTCCAAGCTACGTAAGTTTCTTCCAGACCATACTTGTTGGCTCTCTTTGATTCAAAACAACACAATGGTGCGACCACTATCAATTCACGCTTCACTATATGCAAAGAACGCAATCATGGCTTAGAATTACAGTATTATGAAGTGGTCAAGAACCGCGAGGGGCGAAAAAAAGATGCTTGCTGACGATTGTGAATGTTGTTGTGAGCTGAGGAAGTCAAACCAGTCGTTACTGGCTCTCATGCTGACGGGCTGCCCAGTATACATAAAGCCACCTTCATTGGTAGTCCGTCCGCTTGCGTGACAAGGTGCCTCGCGGTACCTATGTAAAATGCAGCATCCCTTGCCCTCGTGCATTCACCGGCAAGCACATCGTTGTAAGTCCGTTGCTAGAATTCTGTAATGAAAATTGACGCAACGTTGCTGTTTCAGTCTACCATTCAAACCCAAATTCCACGTGAACTGCTCATCAATCATGATGTTTCAACCACCGATCGTCATGCTGAATAACTTTACCCCGTGTCTGTTGGATGTGTTCATATAAATGTGACCGAGAACGGCAAAGAAGGAATGGACTTTACTACAGGCTTTCTAGAGGAGTGAGTTGACACATTTCATTTGGGGCACCTTGCGTGACTACGATAATCCGCATAGTCTATCTGATATCATACCTGTTGACTTTGGGTACAAAAAGACAAAATTTTGGACGCATGTCTTCCTACCGAGGTGAAGTCACTGCTGGCTATCCTGATTTCCCAGAGGGAAGCGCTGCTGCTTGCAAAGAAGCGTCCGGGCCAGTGGACTTGAATGCGCCTGACATCATCTACACTGCCGAAGACGACAAGGCGATCAATCAATTCCACCGCGACATCAGTAAGTCCTGACTTGCCATCCCCATCGTCACGGTAAAATACTGGATCGAATTTCAGTGCAAACGATACGGCACTTGGTATGTGTAGCTTGGAACTTGTGCCATGAAATCTGAGGCAGATCAAGGAGTCGTCGACGCTCGACTAAATGTATACGGCGTGTCAAACCTGAAGGTCGCAGATATGTCCATCTCAGTGTTGAACGTTGGCATGGTGAGTGCTGAACAAGGGATTTTTGATATGCAGTCTAACGATATCCACAGAAAACGTATTCGACGGCGCTTCTCATTGGAGAGCGGGCTGTGATGGTCATTGCTGAAGACTTGGATATCAGTTGTATTTGATATGCATCTTTCAGGAATATATTATGGACACACGCCAAACAAGGCAAACAGCTTGGTCCCCGGCTAGCTGGGAGAGCAGTATTAAATAATTCAAACATTTTATGTATAGATCTGTAGACTATTTATACAGGTCTCAGTAAAAGCTTTTTGGCACGTAACAATTGTTGCCGCGAGAATCCTGCATATGAAAATAGAAAGGTCTCCATATCCTTCAAGCCAACATAAATGCCGCACTGCACTTCCAAACATGAATTTTTTTCGACGACGATCGAAACCAAGAACTGATGGCATACTTAGTCACAAAGCCATCCCGGTAGTGTGGTATGTGATAAAGTTAGCGCATAGTACATGGTATGTATAACGATCGAACACTGAAAAAGGTCCTAATACCGCAGCAGCAAATCCGTGGGGCTACGTGCACCGTATGAAGCCAGACCGTGTGCATCACTAGTTGGAGGTGTAGAACCGGTAGAGGCGCAGGATTGTGCTTTTGCCTGCTCCGTTTTTACCTACAAGGGCTACACGCCCTCTGCGGGAGACTTTGAAGGAGATGTTGTGCAGCGCGGAAGTTTGGTCATCGTAGGCGAAGGATACGTTGTCTGAGGGGTACGTACCAAATTTAACTTCTCTATTTGAGACTACCGATTCCTCGGCGTCAGGCTCATCGATCACTTCAGTAGGCTCATTGAGGAGGAGCAGCTTCTCGGTGTCGATGAGGCTTTGGTTGATGGCGCAGTATACCCCGCCGAAGTTCGACACAGGGAAATAGAGCTGTCAAAGGACATCAGCTCTGCACCACACAAAAAAAGATAAGGTACTCACTAACACTTGCGTGTCATAAGTGATGAGCACCATAAATTCGCTAGTATTGCTCTGCCTCGCTGTGATGCGCGACGCGACGATCAAAGAACCGACCAAGAGACCGGAGGTTACGATGAGGGTTTGCACGAGGTTCAGGAAGTTAAGGGATACTGTGGGTGTGATCAGCGTTTTGATTCAAGATCACACAGAAAATGTTTTGAAACGAAATGGAGTAAAACAGGACACGGTTTTGAAATGAGATGAGATGAAAACACTCACCAACAACTCTCCTCTCTAAACTCTAATAGCCTCCGTGTACCTCTGCGCCCCATGCTCATCCCCACCTAAATACTTGACAGTCTCGTAATTGAAGAGACAATGAGTATGGAACCCACGAGTGACCTGCCCATGCACGAATATCAACACCAACCTCACACGAATATGACACAAAACAAGAGACTACGTACATCCCGTTCATTCATCTGCCTCCGTATCCCAGTCCTATACCTAGGCAAAACGACACTCGCTCAAATATAACAACTCCAACCGCAATGCCTAACGCCAGCTCGAACCCAACAACAAACCCCACAAGAGCTACACCCACATCCACCAGCACCGCGAACCCAATAGGCTCGCCAATACGATTTATAGCGCTTTCTCTATCGAGAACACGAAATGACTTGCTGGTCTTGTGTTTAGTATTTCAGCTAGGTGAGAGAGTAGGGATGTAGTTGAATGAGAGCATCGACATGCTGAGGCCACTGTACTACATCAGTGGGATCCAGAGTTCATTGTGGATGGCTACAAGTCCGCCTACATATTTGGTGCGTCGAGCCCACCCCTGCAATCGTCACCCTATCACCCCTATCAATTTGACCTTCGCGCGGAAGTCACTTCCGCACACCTAACCTATTGATAGGGGACCATCGCTAACCACTCAGATAGATAGACAAGTATGTGCTGTCCAACTTATCCAAGCGACTTACAGCCTGGGCCTTCGCCCGTTGTGAGAGGCAGGAGGGGATGAAGCTTCCTCCTCTTCCTCTTTGTCATCGTCATCTTCTATTAACTGCACTACCTGGGGTTTCTTTACCGACCTGTGAGCAAAAGTCAATACCATATCAAATGGGAAAATCATTAACATGTTGACGCACGCGGCCCGTTTTGGCAGGGTTCGTGTGGGTGCTGGGGTAACATGGTCGTGCGATAAGACATCATCGTCTGAGTCATCGGAACCAGAGACACGCCTGAGCCTGAATAACAATAGGTCAACTGGAAGTTAATAATGAATGAATGCCCACTTACTTGGTTTGCTTCCCTCTGCCCTTGCCCTTTGGGTGTGACGGAGAAGCAGCAGAAGCCACACTTTCATCTGGTATGATGTTGTCCGTGGTATTGGTAACAATGCTTTCTGAGCGCCCATGTCACACAATCAGTTTCAACGCGTATGGACGGTAGCGTAACAGAAATCACACCTTTTCCGAGCACGAGTGCGAGGTATGTCAACCTCCTCGCCGTCGTCCAAGGGAATGATATCATCAAGAAATTCGAACAAGTCCTTCAGGTACTCCAGTTGCCTGTAATCTTCCTCGTTGAAGCTCTCTAGCGGCTCAGCATATCTTTTCGAGATCGCAGCATCAAATTTCGCAAGCGCATTCTTGGCTGCTGCGTCACGGATTGGTCGACGCTGTATGCGCATGATTTTTTGGTTGACACAAATGCTCAGATGAACTCACAGAATTGAGGCTGTGAAGTAGTAATTTGACGTGCGGATTTTGTCGTCATCAACCTTGTCCAGCAAGTATAGCCTCCAAAGAACTTGATACAAAAATTTCTTGTCCTCCTCTGCAATTTTAGCGTTGGTTAATGGTTCGCCCCAGAAAGTTATTGACATCCTTATCATCTTGTCGTCGAACAGTGCTCTTGCGATATCACTTGCCAGGTCAATATGAATTGTCTCGTCCGTTGGTTGCTCTTGCACATCGCTGCATCATTTTAACTAACACTCTCAAAACAAATAACATTGCCTCACATAGCTTTCTGTGGATCTGTCCAATCCACGAACATAGCTGCTATTTGAGCAGGACTGACCATATCCTGGGTTTCGTCAACATTTCGGGTTTCTGGGGCAAGTTGCTCGAATAATCCAATAAACAGCCTTTGCATTCGTCGCTGGTTGACTGCAGAGGAGTAGCAGTACACGGGGAAGAAATAGGCAAGGTGCTGGCGGACTTTTTGGTTGTCGATCGTGTCCGGGGCAAGATATGCAGCAACCAGGCTTTGCAGGACCTGAAGAAGCGTCACCTCCTGATATCGTGCAACAATTTATCGGCACCAACCTTGTCTTCGGAGATCATTCCGGAAAGGACAAGCTTTGAAAGGCCGATACACAGGAGGGCTTGCACCTTGTCCGATTTCTCGGTTTCCAGGACTTGCAAGAAGGATTCGATTATACGCTCTCTCTGCAGAAGCGTGAGCATTGAAATAAGGTTAAAGCTGTTGTTACCCACTGTACTACCCTCTTTTTTCAAGAAGTCGTTTTCGTGCACCATAAGAATGTCGAAGACAATCTGCAGCACACGGATCCTCAAGACTTCCGGGGCAGTCCGAATTTGACCCAAAAAAGCTGGAAAGAGTTGAGAGCCATGCGCTATGAAATTAGTCAGTTTCAAAACCACATGGTGGGCAACATGAGCATACTCAAGCAATAAGACAGCAAAGACCTAAACAGATGAGACCCTTTTCACGAAGTACCAATTCCTTACGCTTGACAGCAGGAATGATTAACTCGCCAAGGATGCCTTCGAGCGTCGAATTTTCTTCAAATGTCTGAGCAACAGTGAGTGATTAGGAAATTGAACATAAGCTATGACGCACTCCGTTAACACGCTCCAGCATCCCTATACAAAGTGACAGACAACGCAAATCAATCGTGTCCATACGAGCTCGTTCCTCGGAAGACATATCTTCTGATGGCTTTGGTCCTTTGGGTGCTGTACGAGTTGGCATGGGTGTTTCGCCAAAATTGGTCTCTCCATCATCTGCAGGCTCCTTCTAGCAAAAATAACGTCATCACGGGAATAAAATGCGAACAATGAGGTGTCCAACTCACTAAAGCTTCTTCTTCGTCGCTGACATCCCTAAGCTCGTGGACTACTTCTACAACAACTCGAATAAGATCCCTCTCGTTTGGTGATAGTATCCGTAATAGGTCCAAACATCTAGCGACAAGTGATTCAGGTAGTGCTTCCTGAGAGATCATATCTCTCACAAGCTGGAACATTTTCCGGCGCCCAATCTCATCAGCGTAGTCTAGATTCACAGCAACCTTGAGCATCTCGCCTATGACAAATTCCTTGTCAATGCGAGCCTCCTCTTCTTCCTCAGTTGGTTCGCCACGAATGACTCTCTCTTGCTCGGCGACCTCCAAGTCTTCTTTGTATGCATTGTAGGCAGCTTGGATGCGGTAGGCAAGGGCAGTGACAACCGGGAGAGAAGCATCTAGTTTTTCCGCGTTTTAATGGCAATGCAATGGTCAACAAAGATGCGAGCGAAAAAAGCTCGCTCTGGGGTCAGGTTGGCCCAATAGGCATCTGTGGAGGTTCCAATTAGCTCATCCGACCGAGATTCTGCAACGGAACATACCATTAAACTCGACGTGGTCGGAAATATCAGCGCGTCTATCCAAAACACTCAGCAGTGCGTCCTCTGCAACCGTGCTCTCCGTAAGATCAAAGAGGCTTAAAAATGCGAGAATATTATCTTCGACGGTCTTGCTTTCTTCGTTCTTGACATGTTCACGAGCAACGTCCACCCATTTTCTGAGTAATAAAGCTGCAGCCTGGTGAACCGCTGGCTCTCGATCACCTAAACCATTGCGAATGATGAACTCTCTCTGAGAAATGGTAAGCACACGAGGATGAACGAGCCCCATTGCAGAGCCTTCAGAAGCGAAGCAATGTTGGATTAGGATAGCGAAATAAACCAGCTTGCGCATGATCGTGTCAATGTCACGGGTTCGACCAAGGACGGCGTCTAAGGTAGCTGAAGACAGAGGAATATTGAGCAATGCGGCTCTACGGACATCTCTATAAGACAAGTGATTAACATACTGTTGACGATTTATGACAAATGAACCAACGCGGCAGGATCACAACTAAGAGTCTCCAGTAGGACCTCAAGAGCAGTGGGTTCTCCTTCTTCCACATCAGATGGATCTTCCGAACCACATAGCTTCGAGAGTGCAATGACAGCCTGGACTCGAACAAATATTTCTTTATCGTGCACACGCTCGAAGAGAGCTGCGCGGAGCTCAGTGTACAACGTTTCGATGTGCCTGGTCAGCCAGGTTTATTGCACAAAATAGGTTGCTAACCTAATTTCACCCAAATGCGCGACCATCTCCGCCAAAAAGTGGACGCAGCGGTAGCGTGCGACTTTGTCCTTGGCTTCAAAGCCGTTTACGAGGGAGGTAAGCACTTTCTCAACGAACCGAGAGGCTGTGGTATCATCGTCTTCATCGTCATCCTCCTTCTTTACCTCAGCGGCTGTAATAAGATGAGGTTTAGCATCAGTGGAACGAGCAGACATCGTACCTCTCTCATTGATATATTTTGTATACGCTCCAACAAACTTGACTATCCGGTCACCCTGCGATGTTCCTTTCTTCACGGTGGCAGCTCTGCATAACATGTCTTTAAATCTCTCCTCAAATATACGCTCACCGGTGAGCTTGATGCTTCTGCCATTGTGTACGGATTCGGCGAAACCAGCAGCATCTAGGTGGAGTTTGTGAAGTGCAACGAAATTTTTCTGGTGATTTGCAGTTGAATTCTGAACTTGGTCAAAAATCTTGGGCACGTTGGACGCGTTTAGGGTCACGTGCGTCGCGATGCAAAACTCTGATGCTTACGTGATGAACACGAAGCACGTGCTCACTGCTCACTATTACCTTTCAACAGATATCAGTCAAGGAGTGTCCGCCATGAGCGTATCGTTCGAGCTTCAAGATGAGCTACAGGCACTTCAGGACATCGCAAACTACGAAATCACAAATGACCAGGATCCCCACAGTAACGATCCCGGCCCCTTATTGCAACGTACGCTAGCCTTGGGTGTTGGCATTCTATTCTTCCTGACCACCAACTTAGAGGCTGTCGGAGTGATTGCTCATTCATCCGAAGAAATCACTGATCCAGAGGTATTTGATACATTCCGAAGTCTTCTCAAGCATTCCGATGCAGTCGCTGGGCGGAAAAGCTTGCGGCCGGGGGCTCACCCAATAGAGTCAATAAGGAGACCGAAGAGCTTGATCAAGTCGCTGGCAATGTAGAGGATGAGATTGGTGAACGGATAGCTGCCGTTCGCGAAACTGAGTTGCTCTATGGAGAGCAGTCGTTGCTGAAGTTGTACGGCCCGTTACTAGTCCATGTGTGCGGTAGTCCACATAAATTCAAGGCAAGTGACGAGTCATTTTCTCTGCATTACTACTGACGCATACAACAGAATTGCACACTTCGTGCTGCTGCAACTCTCTCGTTCAGCAAGTTCCTCTGTGTCAGCTCACAACTTTGCGATCAGCACCACCATCTCCTCTTCAAGATCTTTGAGACTTCAAGAGACCCAAATATCCGTAGTAACATTGACATTGCCCTCGGCGATGTGGCAGTCTCGTTCAGCAACATCATCAACGAGAACAGTCATGAATTATTCTGGTATATTTACAATACCTGACGAATCTCTTTGCAGACGAAACAGATGACCTCTCCAGACGTATTCACGAAGCGACCAAAGTCCTCCCTGGTTTTGGGGGCCTTTTATGCCTTTCGGCAGAACCGAATGACGAACTGCAGTGTGTGCAGGGAAAACTCCGGCGTACCCTAGAGAGACTCGGACCGGCTTGCATCAAGGTCCTTGATGGAGAGGCGAAGGTCCAAAGCCATGTAATAACTTCCCTACTAATGGCAACTTCCACCGCCTTGGAAGATGCCTTCAAGCAGGTAAGCTTCCACTTAACCCATGCACGAAGAAATTGACAACTGTCGTCACAGAACCCAAGTAAGGACGTCTTGACCACATCCTTCGATTCACTATTTTCCCTCGCGCGCATACGGTTTAAATGCAATGATCCTGACACTTATACGCCCACTCTCGACCTCCTCAATCGTACCATAATCCTTCTAGACTCTACCCCCGACCATGTGAATGCCATTCCGGCTTCCGCACGTGCCAACTATGTCCGCTGCATCTCTGGGGCATATCACAATCTGGCTGGCACGCTGTATCAAAGCTCCAAGTACGGGGGCGCAGCGCGTTTTCTGAAGGAAGGATTTTCACTCGGGGCACGGGCACTTCACATGCGAGCGGGTCTTATACAGGACGACACAGAAGATGGCGAACGGGCCGAAGGGTGGAAACAACTCGAAGAACAGATGTTTCGGAGGTGGGAACTTCTTGCAGGGTGCTATTCTAAGATTGGAGACCGGAAGGTGATCATTTTGCATTGCTTACCTATCCGGTGTAGAACGCTAATATTCCTGGGTACTATCAGCTTGCGTATGACGCCTTTGTGGAGAGCGTAAAAGCATTTCCGTATGGCTCATCCGGTCTGGAGCGCCTGGCCAGGTCAGCAACGTCGACGAATGCTTTCAGCGCGAATGCAAGCACCAAGCAGCTTGGTGGGATAATTGACAGACTAACGTACACAGTGACGTGCGAACTTTTTCTCTCTGCAAGTGAAGTCAGCCTCCATACTGCACTGAAACCAGGCGTAATTAGTGACGAGGTCTGACATTCTCCGCCGCCATAGTAAGGAGCGTCGTTTTTAAACCTTGAACTTACTAACTGGTAAACTGCAGTCTGTTTACTGCGCGATGATGGAGATGCTACGATCAAGGATCTGATAGAGCGTCTTATGGCTTTGCCCACTTCCCAAGACATAAAGGTGAGACTTTGTTATAGATGTCGGATTTATAGCTGAGTCGTTCACAGGGAGAAGAGCATCCACTTATGGGGAAACTTACCCTGCATAGCGTCTACGACCAATTCCGTTCGGATATGTTTCTGAGCTCTTTGGCTGAATCTAGTAGGTATAGTGTGCATACCACCCATCAAGAACTCATTATTTGTGTACAGCGATCGCACTACTGATGGGCATGACAAGCGACCGAGCGGTATCGCTTACACCTTCGACTCAAGATATTTTGAGTACTCTGGACCAAGCAGAGAAACTCTTTTGGGCTGACCTTGGACTTACTGGCCACCGGGGGAACGTCCCCCACATCCGCGAAGCGACTATAAACCTTGCACTCATCAAAGCACTTCAGACATTCCTTGGAAAAGAGGAAAAGGATGGACCCATTATTGCTGCGCGCCTTCTTGCAATTTATCTGATGGAGCCTATTTTGACGCTGGACTAGATGCGTCATCTGCGATTACTCTACGCCGTGAAATGCTAGAAGCTATCAAGTATAAATTCCCCAGCGTGCAATTCGACGACCTTGAATGGCCCCTTATGACGCCCAGCGGTTCCCCGCTGCCTCGGAAGAGACCATCTAATCTTCGGTGTTTGAGAACCTCCAGCACTGAGGAAGCATCTGACGATGACGACGACTCGAGTACAAGCATGAAGGCGTACTGGGATTCCATTCGCAAGACGTATGCAGAGCAATCTTTAGACGCTTCCTTGCTATCGAATACGGCCATGTCACAATTCCCGCCTCATTGGACAGTCGTCTATGTCAGCCTCACACCTGACAAGAGTACCCTCTTTATCTCTCGGCAGAATATTTCTTCTGAGCCGTTGATGTTCCGTGTGCCTCTCAAAGGCCGCCGCGAATCGGACGGAGAGGAACACCTCACGTTTGACGATGCGGTAAAGGAGCTAGCTGAGATAATCCGCTTAAGCAACCAAGGGACACGCAACGCGGTCAACGTACGAAATGATGATCCGCAAGCAAGAACTGCTTGGTGGGCGGAGCGTAACGTTCTGGATAAAAGGATGCAAGCGTTGCTAGAAAACATCGAATTTTGCTGGTTGGGCGCAATCAAAGTGAGTATTCTCTTTTGTCAAATACTCATCGACTGAACAATGTTCGTAGACCATTCTCAGTCTTGTCCTACCTATATCAGCCGAGCTCATCACTGACCTCCGTGTCCGTTTTGAGAAGGTGTTGACGCTAGGGTTAAGCACGAAGAACGTCTTGCGTGGATCCACAGATGTCCGATCAACAACACCTCCTGATCGGTTCTCAGCAGACGCAAGTCGAACCCGATCAAGCAAGAACGAAACGCTCGGGATGCGGCCCACGCTCTGGCCCCTCAAGACCGGAACAGATTCCCAAGGAACGCCCTGTGCATTGTGGTCCAGGACGAGGAACATGTGGGGATCGTCTACCGGAGTTGAGTTCACCTTCCCTCGTTTGTTCTTGAAGGCGGCATGGCTTGAGCAAATGCGGAGTGTAGGCTGGGAGGGAGTGATTGGACGACCACCAAGCGAACAGCATGTCTTAGATGCCCTCGCGCGGAAAGATCTAGTAGTGTGAGTGACTCTTGACTAATTGCTGCATCGAATCTTGATGATTTTAGGTACTTTGGGCACGGTGGAGGAGAGCAATACGTGCGGTCACACAAAATCCGTCATTTGCCGCGCTGTGCAGCGACGATGCCGTGGGGGTGCTCCAGCGGGTTACTGAAGGAGATGGGCGATTTTGACAGAGTAGGCTCCCCGGGCCCCTTTAATTATATGCTTGCTGGATGGTACGTCGTAAGTTCATTTTATCTATGCTCCCTACTTAATATCCATCATGCATAGCCCTTTACTGGTGGCGAATCTTTGGGATGTAACTGACCGCGATATCGACAAGTTCTCACAAGCAGTTTTTGACTCCCTGAGATTGACTCCGGCTCGTGGAGGAGAGCAGGGTATGTCAGCAGTTACCGCAATTGCACAAGCCTGAAAGGTATGCAAACTCAAGTATCTCACTGGGGCAGCACCAGTTGTATATGGGATTCCGTTCTACCTATAATAAACAATACGACGCACTTATGCACTCCATGCTCCATTTATATATATATATTACAAGGTTGATGACGAGGGTGCAATATCAAGCTGGACATGAAGCCATTTCGCCCAGGCATGTATGACTGACTAGTTACAAAGATGCGTGACCACGGGGTTCAAATGGTAGCAAGAGAGCAATAAAACCAGTGACGATGAAGATAGCTCCCGAAATCCAGATTGGCACAGATGTCGTGAGGTTCGCGTACAGAGCAATGATCAGGGCCTGTGCGGTAGATTAGAGAGTAGCAAGACGCACTACCGTGATCAAAAGACAAATGAACCCACCATGATGCCAAATATCCTATTTGCAGTGGCCACGATCGCGTTACCAGTTCCACGATCTTTGGTAGGAAACAATTCGGGTGAAAGGGCACATAAGACGCCATGCATGACGTTGCTCGTGTAGCTATAACCACAATTCCAACCAAGGAGCGCATTGGATGTGCATGCGGTGGTGGATGCCAGTATGAATGCGCCTGTTAATACCGTATTGACGACAGGTTGAGTCGGCTGAAGCGTGCAACTTACGCTGAGGAAAAATCTTACCAGTGAATATCGCCAAGGTCCCTCGCCTACCGAGGCACGGAAGCTCGACAATGTAACCTGCCATCGGCGCTCCAGGAACGCCTATCACGCTGAGTATAACTTGCTAGGTAGAACATGAGTTCAGTGAATGGCAGGCAGTAAACCAGCGTACGTTGCAATATGTGATATATGTGGAACCGTCGCCAAAATTTGCCCCTCGGGTGGCCAAGCTAGTAAAGAGTTGGTGGTGAACAAGCCATATTTTGGACCACTCAAAAGTATGTTACGAAGCTGTTATACCTGAGCAAGTCTGAGTAAGGAAGGTCACAAAAACATCGAACAAACCTACAGCGGAAACGCGAGACCGATGAAAGCTGAAGGAACACGAAGACATTAATCAATACTTAAGCAATCGGCTCGTGATGCCGATCGAGAAAATGGCCCAAAATCACCGCAATAGCCTCTTTTTTGGTGCGGCAGGTAGATTTTCGAGTGGATAGAGCCCGTGCAGCAGGCAGCAACTGAGGGAGTGTCGGGGTCTGCAAACTGTTGTCATAAAAGGCATCGTCGTAGTGAAACCAGGCAGGGTCATCACACTGTCAGACTTCATAGCAGCGATATTTGCATGATTTTCGGTGTGAGCGTGTCACGGTGTTCTACAATTGAGTGGTGTTGGCGGGGTAAGCGACGAATACAGGTGTGCGCAGAATACAATGGGTCATAATACAGAGGGTATGATATTGGGTAAGGCGATCAACATCGCGAGGCGGACAATCTGCATCATCAAGAATGTAACACGGATATAACAACCATGGATATCATATACCAGCCGTAGTCACGTCAGGTTGTCTCGGCATCATTTCTGGAGAAGGCGACATCAATCTCCAACCAGGAGGCGTTGCGTTTTCGCCCCGGGAGTAACCTCGAGCCTTCTGGGGCCTTACAGGTGTACTTCTTGCGGGATAATCGGCCTCTCCCAGTATTGGTACGGCCGCAGCCTACAAACGGACATCGAAAGACCATATACTTCTGAGAGAAATCGGCCTGGATCCGCTCCCACACAACTGGGGTCCCGCATTGCGGACACTGTAGAGGAAGTACATTTCCCCATGGACGAATAGAGGTGTGGGCCCATTTGTAACGGGTAATTCGAAGCGGCACCGTGTCTTCAGGCGTTGCGGTCATCAGGAGAACGTCTGTGTGCATACCTAACCCCGACTGGTCAAGCATATTGGGAAATGCTTCACGCAGTGCAAAACCTTCGACGATGACGGCTTGCGCGAATGATATGAGAAAATGGGAGGCCAAGCAAGGATGAAAGTGCTTGGCAGTAAATGCGACTGCGTGTGAAAAAGTATGATCAACGACAGACGAACGCAAGCCCCGAAAACCTTCTGGTTGGGTGACAATGGCGCCACAGCCAAGAAAAAAGAGGGTGGTGCTCTCCGCGCGTTGTATCACTTGCCCCCATGGGCCAAGTAACGAATTCATGAACTGAAATATTGAGCATCTGAGGGTGAGAATGCAAGCAACTAACAGTAGACTTACATCAGGAACGGTGGCTGCAACATAGGAAGATCCATGGGAGTATCCGAGAAACGGATCGCCAGCGGTGTCGTCTGTGTGATCGGTGATCGCGATACACACAGTTTGGTAGTCGCAGTCGTCCATCACATCGTTCGCGAGCTTCTCATACTGTTGGGAATAGGCCATGATCTTGGCATCGGTGCCGAGGTCAAAAGTCACTTCAATGAATCGGAGGCCCCCATTCACAAAGAAAGAAGAAAGATACAAGTTAACCGCGTCGATCGGGCTCGCAGTGGCCTCAAAGCCCACAAGTTTGAAGTGAATCACGAGTACGGGCCTCGCGGATATCTGAGAACGTTTAGAGAGTTGCAACGGTCCAACGATGGGTAGGAATGACGGTAAAACGGGGCTTCCATCCTTGAAAAATCCCTAAACGGTTGTTATGAAGCGAATGACAAGACAGATGTATAAGTAGACTCACGTAAAACGGCGTAAGATCACCAGACCTCTTGTCCAAGAGCGTATGACAGTGTAAGCAACGGAACTTGACGCCCGGTTGCTCAATGAGGTGTAGATGACTGGCCGGAAGTAACATGCATCTAGTACACATAACGCGTGGACAGCCAGACTCCTCGCATGCATAGAGGGAGTCCTTGCCATTACTGGGAGTGCCATCTTGGCAGATCAAGCAAAACTGTGGATATGAATAGAAGATCGTCAATTGAGTGAAGCGCCACTCACATCATTGTGTGGCGGTCCGGAGTGAATTTCCAGGCGAGATTGAACCATTTCTTGAAGGATCTGTGGCGGAGTTGTGTGCCTTTTCCCTACGGACCCTGGGGTTTGGAACTTTGGGCCATTCTTTCGAGGGGCGAGCCCACCAGTCGATTTGGGAGCGGTTTGTTTGGTTCTCGCCATTGTGTGAGACCGTCAAAGAAGAGCAGTGAAACGACCAGCTGTGCGGCGGCAAATCCCGCTGAGAATTGCAGCTCCGTCCGGCCAGGTGCGGCCCGATCTGACTCATCAGTCTTATAGCGGCGTTCCCCGACAGCGCGGATGAATCGATCATATCATGCATCATGCCCAGTAAAAGCTTGTAAGAATCGGCTGTGCTCGAAGAATATGTTATGTAGACTCGTGACCAGTCTGACGTGCGCCACATGAGAGTGGGGAATTTTGACGTAGTCTGACTGGTCGGTCTCGGAGAAATTTGGCAGGCGAAGCACGGAGTTCGAATTTTAGCAGGTGCCGGCACGTTGATGTCAACCGAGATCCGGGCAAGAGCTTCACATGTAAGTAAATGCATATTTCGAAATTCGTGCTCTGCCTTTTGTACTAATCTCTGGGCCGGTACAGCAACGTGCGACCACGAGCGCTTGGAATCTACTGGTTCGTACCTTATGCTTATCGACACATGGCATACATGATATGAATTGACCGGGTGGGCTATCAAGATATTCGTCACGTCGAGTATCCCATCTTTCTGGTTCGGGAATCAACGAGTCCCCAAAGAGTGCCCAGTTCCAGCGTGATCTTCCAGCTGAGGTTCGTTACTTTCAGTCACTACGGAAACGAGAAAATAACTCTACCCTAGCTCGATCGACTTTCCAGGTCTAACCCGACGTAGAAAGTACGATGTACTATTTCCAGACTCAAATTCGACCTGACGAATTTTTTAACTTTATAGACCTGTGAGATCTATTAAATGGACCCAAACTGTACATCAGGTTAGAGAAAACACGTCTAATCAGACCAAATACCAACGCCCGCTTTAGTACCTATAACTCTAGCCAAACTCACCCTCTTGAAAGACCGATTGTACACAACCCGACGTTCGAGTTAGACCCAAACCTACCTAAACCCAACCCTGGAGTTTATATGAGGTGAGTCCCTTCCTTTTTTTTCGCCAAGTCCTTTTGACCAGAACCATCATGGGTCATGTCCAGCCTTTATCGCCTCTTCCAGCCACCTTTAGTTGTTAAACGGTTGCGTGTTTCTCAGCAACGATGAGCTTCCTGGCTCAAGTCCCCGAATCGACTTCTTGGATATGTTCTAGAGGACCGGTTGAGGTGCGTACGTCGTCGATGAACGCTGAAAGACAGAGGGCGCTGATCACCGACAAACCTAGGCACTTTGATGCCTGTACTGGCTATCAAGGCTGCAAGTCAAGTAGTAGTCATTTCTCATGGGTCAGTATCCTAATCTCAGTTTCCATTGATAGTGCTAATATTCATGGTGCATATAGTGAGGTGGTCCCGCGTTGTATGGCTGAGGATGATGGTTTTATCGACTCACTGGACTGATAGCACCACTGGGACATCGTTGGGTTCCCTGGTTGGCTGGGAGCATAGGTGTTGGTTGGTGGGGGACAAGTGCTCGCTCATCATTTTGCACGCGGACGAGCAGAATTCAGCGAGGAAAACGTTTTACTAGAAGCAGTTCTCATCAATGTCTACCTAGAGTATAATCAGACCTGTTTTTGTCTAAATCCTGACGGAAAACAGATGTAAGGATCCTAGAATTCCAATTTGATTCCGCATCAGATTAGGCACCAAAGCAATAAACCAGGCCCTTCAAAACATGTAAATCATGATTCATGTTATGCTCTGGAACGAGCGTCTCTTGCGATCTAATTCTGACATGACATATTTGCTTTGCAGGTTCGAGTTATCATCTGCGTAAAGTTGCTAACTCCACGCTATCTCGGTCCGGCTATTTTGTCGTTTCCGCAGTGAGTATTGCTCCATCCTCCGGTCGGAGTACCACCTCTGCACTACCAGGCAAAGGGTGGTAATACAAATTTTTTCCGTGACACTTTGTCGTTGTATCAGGAGGGGATCCGATCCACTGCAGAAAATAGAGTAATAGCCATTCCAGATATCCTCTCCTACGCGGAAGAAGCTGCACTTTTCGATATTCAATATCAATTCCCAATCTCGCATAAAGAAGTTCGCATTGATGTTAGTATGGAAAGAGAGTATCACACACTAGATATATGAAAACGCTCTGGGAAAGCGATCGAGCTCATGCCAGTTGCTGCATCGGAATCGGCCACGGGCTCAGCGTGATATTCTCGAACGCTAAGAATCAGGCGTGGTCCCAGCACACACATCTGCCCGACCAAGAAATCCAGAATAGATCTGAACTTCCAGAGAATTTTGGTCCTATGGAAATGATAAGCCATGGTCGCATGTAGAGGTCAGTAAAAGATTGACATACCGTTGAGAGTGCGGGAGAGAAATCAAATACGAGCTGGAAGCAAGATATAGCAACAACCCTACTACCGCCGAACCTTTAGTAAGAGGAAAAATAATCACACCATGAGCTCACTTGGACCTTAACAACATCACCAGCTTCAATTTCGTCAAGAGCTTCGTCGCCTGCAGCCACTGAAAGGTCAGAGGGTGATATTTGTTTGGCAGGGGTGGGCCCTACTACTGATTTCTGTCCAGGCTCTGACTTGAACAGTCGTGTTGTATGAGATAGCCCGAACGAATTCCGAGGTATCATCAGAGAACTGGTGAGCAAATTAGAATGACATATATAGCAATACATAGTCCATAATCACAAGCATCGGTATAATTCTGTTATCGACCATCACATTATCATGTTTGACCTTATAAAGGAAAGAGGAGTTTCTGAAGTCCCTAAACCAGCTCGCGATCGGGAAAAGACCCTCGCGTTGCTCAAACTCTAACTTTGAGGGCAGGTGGTGTGTTAACAAACGCTGATGAACAAGCAAGATGGATTTCAATCGCTATGTTGGAGTTACGGACCGCAATTTCGAATTTAAGCTTGAAAGTGAGCACCGTCAAAAGAGTGGCTATGTTTTTACCGATTAGCAATGTTACATTAATTCCCTGCAAATATCACGGTTTAGTTGGGCGAACCATAACCGCCATGTTGGAAGTACCCTAGATCTTGTATACGACAAAAACAATTCAAAGCACCAGCACATTGTGGACTCTGCGAAGGATGCGCTCATCAGGAATGCTGTTAATGAGAACTGCTTAACGAACACATCGACCAGACAGCAGTTGGTTCTACAGGAGTTGAGAGCAGCAGCAATATCAGAATATAAAAATGACGGTAAGCCAATCCGTACCTTCTTCGACGCGTATTGAAAAATTGGTCGTGCGTCAGAAGTGTTCGCAAAAAATTGGGCTGGTGTTAATTCGGTGACCCTATACATGGACCTATCTGCACCATACGAAAATATCATGCAGACACAGAAAAGGATCGCACGCACTCTAGTCCAACGTGGATACCATCTGCGACCTCCAGCACGGGCAGCCACTATCGAACCTGAACACCAAGCAAGCAAGATCAATGAACTCATCGACGACATGATAGTATTCCCACCCAGATATGTTTTCGGTGAGAATGAAGTCACTCACGAGTTACACTTCTTGGAAAACGAAGTGGTGTGGGATGTTCTTCTCAATACTGTCGTGGAACTCGACCTCTACCCCTACATCGTTGACCTCAACAAGATGTTTTGCGCAGCTGCCGCAGCTGTCAAATGTGCATTAATGGAGCTCAGGATGGGGAAATTCCAGGAAATCGACTTTACGTTTCAGGGATTTGAACAGATATACAAGGAACTAATGAAGCATATTGATGAGTACATCTCCCTCAACCCAGAATTGTTGAAGCGCTGGAATGAATATAAACAATGCACTCTCACTAGGCTGAGTCAGATCGCATAACTATAGTTGCCATGTTCTTGTACTTACGTCGATTCATCTGTACTTATAGCACATCAGACATGTAGGATAGTAGCTAAAAAGAATTGAGTAAAACTTATCTTTATCGAATCATGCGCGAGGTCAGTACTTACTTAGAGGATGCTCAACACCAGAATCATGTGTGAATGTGGAAACCGATAGTACCAGTGATAGGACGAAAGATTGTGTCAACAAGGCTCTGTGCGTGACTGATATTGTATTGTGTGATATCTGTCACGTCATCAACTTCAACCACCGCCCAAAGTAGCTGTTCCTCGAGCTCGATAAGTTATGTTGATATAGAAGGATTTTCAGCTCGAGAGATCTGAACCACTCACTCAGGACTGTCACCGTCGAACTGTCAAGGCGCTCGTGCCATCCGAGACTTCCCGCATTGTCTTACCTCCGAGTCACCCGTGGGCCAGTGACCAAACTTGAACTTGAGGACCTCTCCTGTTTATTTGTGACCATTGGATTAATCTACTCCAGTGAGCTTGCAGAAGAGATACTGAATTGTGAGTAATGCGTTCTTATTTGCAGAGAACTGATGAATTTGACATTTGAATGTAAATTCAGCATGCGGTCGCATTCGGCGTTCGCTGATTTCCTGCTGAACCAGATTTTGGCAACACTATGCAGTGTATGTCGTCTCTGTTCTAGACAACCAGTTGCTGATGTATATTTTTTGTCCCCAGTTACACCACCAAGCGTCTTTTGTACAATCAACGCTATCGAGAGGATCGCGACGGCTCCGCTCCAAACGCCCTCGGGCAACTGTGAACAATGTTGAGATTCCTGCGTGGCAGAATTCTCCAGGTAGGCGCTTGCACCGCTTCATTCATTTACATGAGATGAAATGGATACAGATCTCCCAAACTGTTGCGTTCAGAATGGAGAGAGCTTCCTCGCACAGCACACGAAGATGTCTCTCGAGATGCGCCCTCGCAGGATGAAAGGCGTGCGACTGTTGAATCATCGACTCGGATTTCGTTTAGTATCTCTCCGATGTCTTCTGTCGAGTCTCTTCCCAAACCGTCGCGGTCAGAATGGAGAAAGCCTCCTCGCACAGCACACGAAGATGTCTCTCGAGCTGCACCCTCGCAGGATGAAAGGCGTACGACTGTTGAATCATCGACTCGGATTTCGTTTAGTATCTCTCCGATGTCTTCTGTCGAGTCTCTTCCCAAACCGTCGCGGTCAGAATGGAGAAAGCCTCCTCGCACAGCACACGAAGATGTCTCTCGAGCTGCACCCTCGTAGGATGAAAGGCGTGCGATTGTTGAATCATCGACTCGGATTTTTTTTAGTATTCTAACGTCTTCTGTCGAATCTCTTGATTTGAGTTAATAGCGTGACACTTCTCATCGTCATGTCGATATGACAAGGCCTCCTGGTACTTCAACGCCAAAGCTTTCTGGAATAAACAGCATGCCAATTGGTTGTAGAGGCAACCGCCTTGGTGGTTTTGCTTCAAATCCACCACCATCGTATGCGTCTTTCCTGCCTTCAGCGAGGCACTCATTGTGTCCAGAAGTAACGCGGTTTCCTGCCCTGTTTGTCCACCTATTGGTGCGAAGGACGATCACGACAGACACTATCTTCCTTCTATCAACTCAGACTTCCTCTCTGGACCCCCGGTCCGGAATCTGAAGCATTTCGTTCGCTGACGTCGTGTTGAAGAAAAGCCAAAACTGGCCATCGCTATTTGTCGTATTGTGGCGTCGAAGGACGAAGCCGAAAGGTGATGGTCACAGTGTCACCACTACTACTCTTGTATATCTTTAATTTACTGACCGACAACGTTACGATCCACACTATGATGCATTCGGTATGTCTTCGCAATACTTTTCTACTATTTTGTATTTACTGCGATATAAGACTGAAGCGACGCTCATCACTGCTTCGTGGGGCCCGATGGATGTTGACTGTGACGAACATGAAGGGGGGGGTACGTACCTAGTTAGTATGCGTTACGATGCGTATTTTAGTCCGTTTGTTTGACGTTTGTCTGTTACAGGAACCGATGGACGTTTTCGACGAAGGAGAAGTCAATGTTGCGGGGAACGACGCTCAACCGGTACGTGTGTCTCTCGTTTTGCGCCTTTAATTTCTCACATACTTTCATCGCAGGAATGGATGATCGTCGACGAAGACGAGGTCGATGGAGGGGACGCAATGGTATGCAATAATTTAGAGTTCTATCCGTTACTTACCACCTTTTATTGCAGGAAGATATCATCGTCGATGAAGACGAGGTCGATGGAGGGCACGCGATGGTATGCAATAGTTTAGAGTGATATGCGTTACTTGCCACCTTTTATTGCAGGAAGATATCATCGTATACACGTCGCACGAATCTATGATCGTTGATCAAGATTTTTAGGGACTCAGTACGTGATGTGCCTGTACTCAATAGGTACGAAGTGCTGTCGAACGGTCGAACGGTATCGAAACTAATTCTCGTTTGCAGCAACGTTTCAATGTATTTTATAATTTAGTCCAAACGATTCATTGACTTGGTGTGTAATTTCGGTGTACCTACTACCTACGTTCTCTCATCCCATCCCAGCCCCAATATCATCGTCCTACTTGGTTGAAAAAGAAATGGAAAGGAACAAAGAATATCTGACAAAGGTGTGCCCTCGACGTACGAACCCTGTCAACTCCGACACTATTTTCTGCTCGACCACGTTACTTTGACGTTTGGGGATCGAATTGGTTAGTGGATGCTAATAGATATTCAGGCCGTCAAGAGTAAGGATGACGCAGCTTGGGGACCAGCAATGGATGAAGATGGTGCATTTGGAGACCGTCCATCAGGCAACTGGGCTGAATATATTAGTTTTGCTTGATCCAAAGACCCTATGCCAAAAGAAGTAAACCGGTTCGCTTTGCACTGATTAGTAATTTATTCATTCACCATCATATCATTTTCAGTCCGATATTTCGAGTGTTTCAACTAGTGTTTTTGACCATGTATACGGTATACCGTGATACCCCTTGCATGAATCTCCTCGTGGAGATGACATCATAAGCTTTTATTACTTCAATTCGTGTTATGAATGGGATACGCGTAGCTTTGGCATCAGCGAACTGTAAAAAATAGCCTTGTAATTTACAACTTGAATTGGGAAGTGTGAGAACGTTCAACCAGGTTTACTGAGGTACCCTGCCATCTCTTCCCGGCTGTGATGGTCCAACAACAACACATTATTGCAAACTCTCCTGCAAGTACATATTTGATGACCATTGCCAAACCCGCTTTCCGTGATATAGCCTTCTAAATGAAAGCTCGAATGAAGGAAATGACAATGATCGACAAGGCGAACACACCTACAACACTATCATCCCTTACCGGCCATGGTGTTGACTCATACCATGCGTCAGTACTAGATGTCCACTAGAGTTCGCGCATTTTTGGGAAAACATCTATAACTCTACAACACATCCACATAAAAATATAATGTTTTGACGGATGGATAGCCTGACATCGAAAGTACAAGGCCCGCTAGTTTTTTCTTTTAAAATCGACGTGTTGAGTCCAGCGGAGACTTACCGCGCAAAAAAGTGCGGTTTTCCCTAGAGTTCGGGCATTTCGTCACACCATGTCACACGTCTGCCGCGGTGCCGTTTCACATTCCGCACCGTTCGAAAGTGACATTGGTGTTTTTGTGCCGCATTTCGGCACAGCGGAGTTTAGATGTGTGTAGTCTCATTGTAACGCTTTGGATAGATTGTCACGTCCGGGCTGTATTTCATTCACAGCAGATGATTCTGACAAGCATGTAGCCCCGGAGAAATTTATTTTAGCATTCTATAATCATGTATAACCATCATATCACATCCCAGATCTTTCCGCGGTGATCTGACCTTCAGAGGGAGTCATCTATGCACAAAATAAGCCTCGAACACCTATAACTCGACCATGGCACGAGATCCACTTCATTTCTTGCCAAACAAATTACATGGTCATGTGTATTATGTTGGGAGAAACCTATATACAACATACATAAGGATTCCGTGCAGAATTGCGTGTGCTAGAGCCAATGCGCGAACTCTAGGGACGCGCGAACTCGTGGGACTATCTAGTATTAGTAAAATTCCTGGATTTTTTTCGTTGTAATCAAGTTTCAAAGTCCGCAACTATATGCGGCAATTGTAACGCCACATCCAGATTACATAATCTTCGTCTTTTCTTCTCAACCTCCATCGTCGTCGAACGCTTAGCGTTCGGCGTCGACGTCACCAACAAACGCTTAGCGTTTGAGTTTCGCCTCCGGCACGCGGTTGAACGCCTAGCGTTCTTAACTGAATGGATCTTTTCACCGTCGTCGAACGCTTAGCGTTTGACGTCGAGACCGCCGAACATGAAGTTGACGTTGCATGTCGACTATCGTCGACTGCGCGTCTATCATGATCGTATCATTGACTCTGGACGCTATGAACTTGACTCGGACGTTGCATGCCCGACCATCGTCGACTGCACGTCCAGCTCCTTTCAGTGATCCGCGTCTTTTTTTCTCAAAATTCCGTTTGCTTCTACCTTCTATCCAGCGGGACGTCGAACGCGTAGGCGGGGTAGCCAGCCCATGTTAATCGGCGTGCTCTTCGAGCGCTGTGGCCATTGCGATAGCTTCTTGAAGCACGCCTGCAGGCGACGCAATAGCGTTTCGATGTGCCCTCCCCCTCTCCCCTTATTTCCTTTGGGGTTTTTCATACAGTCCCCTATATAATCTCTTTTTTTCTTTCGCGCCCTCTGAGCGGCCGGCAACCAATTCCTAGGCATCCCAGACCTTCTCCCCTGTAGCCCCGAGCTGTATAAGAGGACGGGCGACTGTCATCGGCCCTAGTCAGAGAGTATCGATCCCACCCACCCCCGCATGGGTATCGAGTAAGGAATATTGTCGATCGTCCCGGCAAACGTGTCAGCCATATCACATGGGGATGGCGGACGGGTTAGCGCAAGGCCATGGCGACAGACTCGCAACTTGGCTTTGACGGACCGACAGGGCTGAGGGAACCAGGGGTGGGAGATCCAAACGATCGAGAGAGATATGGTAGCGACCCTGATCGATTGAGGTAGGGACGGTGAGAAAACTCTAATCGACGATTAACGCTACGACGGACAGGCCCTCACGGACCACCTCCCTCAGTTCCTTCAGGAGCTGGACTCCATTCAGCTCCTGTTCGGGTAGTGTTTGCAATGCATCTTACTCGCTTCGGTTGAAGATGGCTGTATCGTATCTGAAAACACCACACTAACGAATAACTACCCACTCGACTGATTCGATATCGCCGGCGTCAAAGTTTGGTGTTTTTCGTATAGCTCATCTGCGCATCAGTCCTTAAGGGAGATCCTTAGCGATTGCAAGCCGCTTCTACTAGTAAACTAAAGCTGCATATGATTCTGTCGGAGGATATAAGCGATCGGCCTCAGCGCACAATCCTGCTGCATGACCGTCAGATCCGACTTGTGCAGGATCATTGTACTCCCTTGCAGTATATCGACGACGGTGTTTGATCCACCTTTGACGGGTTAGGAAAAGATCCTTGTCGCCACTTCGGATTCCCTGAAGACGTTTTTGGAACCATGCCTCCCACTCATGAGACCACTCCCCTTGCCACTTCTCGTACCTTTCAAATACATCTACGGGAGGCCATAGACTACTGCTGTCAGTGGCGCCTAAGAGAAGAGCCACATCGTGGTCGGTCACCATGTCGTCGATGTCTCCACCAATGTGACGTGCATGACCGTGCAGGCAAGCGTCAGTGGACGGGCCCGACAGGGCGGCGGCAAACAGACTTTCAGGTCCATAGTGCAATGCAATGCGCCAGGCAATGCCGCCCATGCTAAGAAACCGACGTGCGAACGGAAGATTAAGCATGGCCCGGACCCGAGCGTGATATTCATGAAAGACATCCCCTTGTGAATACAGCGGTGCATGCCGGACGTTGAGATGGGTGGGGCGAGATACGAAGGCAACTGGCCTGGGAGCAGGAACAAACACCTGCCAATCAAGCCCTCTGGACAGACAACGAATGCCTAGATACCAGAGCGGTACATCCGGATATTGGGCTCTCCACAAACGTAGTCTGACTTCAGTCCGCTTCGAGACTACTAATCGACCGTGAGAGACGACGCGCAGGGAAGGATAGTCGGGGTGCTTGATGAACTTTAAGTCAACACTATCCGGGATGTCAAACTGCCCCAGGCGCTCCATGAACCAGCGAGTTTTTGTTGTGTCAGCGGGGGGGTGGTTCATCTGGTTAAAGCCCGCAAATGATGCGCCTGTAAGAGGCGATGCTGGCGATGAGGCCGCAGGAACAAGTGATGAAGGGGCAGGAGCTGAGGATGGGAGTCCTTGCGTTAGGAAGGTCGCATACAACAGATGGTTATAAACGCACGGGGGTAGTTTAGCTCCTCAGCAGGTTTGAGCCTCATGGACTGGTCTTCAGGCGGTATGATCATACTAGTAACGCGCGCGTCCACATCGTGCATCTGAATATCTTCAATATCATTATTCACGTGCGCCCGAGGGTCCTGGTGGAGCATTTCCAACCCTTCCTTCTCTCGCCGGGCCCTCTCGTGAGACTGGCGCTCGAGCCTGCCGAGCTCCATCCTGACCGTCTCTGCTTTCCCATGAGCAATCCGTTCGCGATCAATCCTTTCCGTTTCCGCCAGTTCCTGCTGCACCTTTTCCTGCTTTTGTTTCTCTAAAAATATTATAGCTTTTTCCTGGATACGACGTGTGCGTTCCTCTGCCTGCGGCTTCAGTGCGCGTTCGCCCAACGGCAAGGCATTGGTATTCGGATGGTTGGCGTGCGATGGTCCGGCATGTCCATGGAGGGCACGTTCGCCCAACGGCAAGGCGTTAGTATTGGGATGGTTGGTGTGCGATGGTTCTGCAGATCCATTAATCTGACTCTCCGCTGTCAAAAAGAACCACCTGGCTCGCTCGCGGGCGGGGTGGGCGACGCCAAGCGTATTTCCAAAGACGTTGTGTTCAATGGTGTTGATTGCAAATAGCGCGCATGAAGTACGATCCTTTTGATGGTCATGGGGTAAGTTAGGTCCGCCATTGCGAAATTCTCCACTGAAGCGCGCATGGAACCACCATTGGAGTTTCTCAACGAATTGCTCTAGCGCGTGCTGTTTGGAATTCAGAGAATCCCCTGCGCGGATTGAGCCTTGCATTGAAAGGAAAGTTGACGCCGAAAGTACTCACCCCATCTGAAAGATCGTGTTTGAAAGTCAATTTCAAACGCAACGAAATGGCCCTTCGTATACACTGGAGCATAAAGACGTCTATGCGTCCTCGCACTCTGTTCGAATTTCTGTAGTTGGCGATGCGGCCGGTTATGATATGAGATATCGTTAGCGCTGCAGATGGCATCGCCGAAACCGGTATCGGCGATGATGGCATTATGTCGTTTCGTAGACAACTGAGAGACCAGATAGGCTGCCATCATATCAACAAGAGTGTCTGACAGCCACTCATCATCGGATAGAAACCGAAGAAGTTGCCTGGTGGTTCTGCCAGCGACCGCGGCTGGGCCGTTTAGTGACGTATTCCAAGGCAGAATGTCCAGCTGCCGCGTTACATCGCGAAAGACCTGATGATGGTAACCCGCTTCCTGTTTCTCCCGTATCCAATCCATTCCCTCCGACCATTCTCTCCTGCTATTGTGTACGCAGTGCAACGCCCACCAGAACTCAATCACCCACAGAGGTAGTCTGGCATCAGGGGTGCGAGGATCGCGCATGGAGATCTTCCCGTCCAACATCGCTTGACCGAACTTCTTGCGGAGCTCCTCAACGTATGGCTCGGGAGGTATTTCTGATCGAATATACAACTTGCCTCCAGGCGGGTCTTCTTGAAACGTTATTTTCTCTGAAAAGGGCCATTGGCCAATTTTGGGGAGGCGAAATTTGATTAGATCTGTTACAGATATATTGTCAGATGGTAGGAGACGTGTTAGAATGTTGGCCGGCACGGTGGTAACACCAATGCAAAGCTGGTGCAGATCATTTGGGAGCGGTCGCTGGTCCGGGAACTTCAGCCCTTGATTGATCCATCGGCCAGCAGCTTCAAAGTTGGAGGTGGGTGTCATGTCCTCGTCGGAGTCCTCGCTATCGAAGTATTCCGACTCATCTGAGTAATGGAGTGTCAGACCTGAGACTGACAAAAGCTGTGAGCTTACCAGGGATGGGTGATCTAGGCGGCCTAGGCGGCCTAGGCGCAGACATGACTGCCAGGTGCTGGCGAGGTTTGCGGGCAGGAGGCCTTCGTTTGATTCCTTTGAGAAGATCCATTGAGTCAAACGCTAGGCATTCAACCGCGTGCCGGGAGCGAAACTCAAACGCTAAGCGTTCGATGATGACGAAGGGAGGAAAAGAACAAGATTACGTAACATGTATGTGACATTATTATAAATGGAAGCAGTCAGTTCGAGAACATCCCTGAATCCGGCGCAGAAAGTCCGGCACGCACTACGGCAAGAACGACGGCAAAGCTGGTGGCTAACAGACGGCACGTCGGACATTGAAATACACTTGGAGGTCGGGGAACTTACCGGTAGATATGCCTTCCCATCATTGATACCGCCCTGCTTGATGTATAGGTGATTTAAAAGTCAGACAAAGTCCGACACCTGGCCGTGCCGGACTGCGGATATATCCGCCGTAGTGCCGTACCACGCGCCACCGTTTCAGTGACCTTCTGGTCAGTTCACTGGTGAGCCGTGCGCGTTTACGAAGTCTATCTGCATCGCGCTCATCCTCGCATTCATAAAAAGCCTCCCAATTCTTCATCACCTCTAAACTCCTTGAGCAGAATGCAAAACGTGCGTAGGATTCAATCGGATCTTCATCTACACCCAAGAGATCAGTTGACAGTGTGACACGCTGAAGGCCTTAAAATGTGCAAGGGCAAATATGGCCCACAACCTCGCATTAGTTGTGCTCAGAATAGACATTTCAACCAACACATGTGTTTTACAATGTATGCCTATGGAGAACACCAAGTCGAGTCTCAAAGGTGTTCTTGATCTTTGCACTCTTACTAATACTCTCCAGGCGCACACAACGACAGAATTCACAAAAATTTATATGCGAAAGTGTATCGGCACGGTATTAGCATCAAGGAGCTGTCCCTGATCGTCGGTGGTGATCCGCATCATGTGCACAGCCTCTGCCTCTCGATCCTTCACATACCCGATCAATAGCGAGGAAAGCATTGGTGATGTTTCAATATGTGGGGCAGGCCAAAATACCCGTAGTAGTTACGAATCTCATTCCTCACGAATACTTTCGAGGCCTGCGACCCTGGAATGCGAGCAGACATCGTGTTCACTGGCTACAAAAGTTGCAGGGCATTACGTTCTTCAGGGGTAGGGCTAACCAATTTTTGTTCCTGTTCCAGCTTAACAGCCAAACGCTTGAGTAGTACTGGTGACACAGTCGTGAGTTTACGAGCAACACTATCAAAGTTTGATTTGCCCACGGTGAAATAGGTCTGGAAATGAGCCTGTCGACGCTGCAATATGTTCAGCAGGACGAATATGAAACTGTTATGGTAACGAAAAGCACGGTCAGACACAGATAAGAAGTACTTGGCTTGTTTCTTGAATGCTAACGCAGTTTGTCGAGACTGGATTTCGAAGCCCCTAAGTCCATAAGGAAAAAGAGTGGGATACCGACCAGGAAAAAAGTGTACTCTGTCATCTTGTGGTCGTAGAAATTGGCTGAAATGTCACAACTCTGTGCAGACCAGAAACCAGCTGGAGTGCCCCAAGTAGAAGGGTTGGGCGTTTGCGCCGTAAGATCTGCAGGGATTTTAGAACGAGCAAAGTGCCACACTGACATTCCAGAAGAGGTGTCCCACAGAAGCGCAAAGACACCGCCCCCCGCATTGTTGAAGCCATATCCAAAAGAACTGCCACAAGGACACATTACTAGATCCCAACTGACGCATGAGAAAGAGATGCAATACAATGTGTCCGCGTCCACAACGCCGCAGCCTGCGTCCGCATTACCAGTACTGTAACAGTCAGTCCCGAGGACCTGGCCAGTAAACAGATCGGCACTAACACCTGACTTTGCGATAGTACAACTTTGGCTCGTGCCACTATGAAGAGTCATTTGGTTTGTCGCCTGGTTATTCACGCCCTCGACAATGTCGATTTCACCCGCTGAGGGTCAGTTCGGGCCAACAATCCAGAAACTGGGCCATGTAGAACAGCCGACAGGCATGTTCAAGGCGTCAATGACAAAAAGACCGCCATTATAGCTTTTCTGAGATGTAATACGGACACTACAATTCATGATGGGTACTCATAAATCATAATAAACACGAGCATTACGCACGAGTCACGATTGCCGCCGGGAGCCACGGCGCTGTTTGAATCTACTGCAAGAACTGTCGAACTATCACAGTCATTGACGTATGCAAGTCCCTTGGACTGTACCTCCGATTTGCTTTGGTAGTTGACATTGCCACTGGTGGGGTCCGAACCCGTGAAAAAGTCCCAATCACTAGATGGTTAATTAGCCGCGTTGAAATTGCGTATAGTATGACAAGCGGTACGTACTTGATGAAATCCTCCCCCTGATAAAAGTCTTGAAATGTGTAAATTTTGTTGGTAGACTGTCTATGGCCAGCAGTACGGCGGTGACGCGAGTGCGCATGCGACGGATGGTGAGCACCAACCAGGGTGGTCAACGAAAGAGCGGCTAGAAAGAGCTTACAGAGTGTGTACATCGTGAGGCAAAAGAAAGTAAGGGAAAGCAGTTGTCCAAAGGATTAAACGAAAGGAAATTTAAAGAGAAGGACGTGGAAAGTGGAACAAAGAAACGCTGAAGGAACGTTCAAGGGATTTAAAGCATGAAAAGCAACAGTTTTACGAACCTCATTGCTGTGGGCTGCCACACTGCATGACTCTACTCGGCCGGCCACATTCGGCGACCTTATCATCATGTCGCTAATTATGCTAAACATGATCCTTTTGTCCTCAATCCAATCATCACTTCGTTATATTCCAAGACTGATCTCTCTTGCCGACGTCTTCATTAACAAAGCGTGCAGTGGAAATGGCGTAAATCAGTAGTCAAAAAGTGAAACGCACCATATGTGTGCATATATGTGCTTTATCATAGTATGCTTTAATGCTGAAAACCGAAGCGTCTGGAAAATTTCAAGCTAAGAATAGACTTCCACTGTCCAAGTTAGTATTTAGAGATTCGGAAGTATTCAACACACGGTCCACCCTGGCAATTCTCGGAAATTGCTCTCCAGAGAACGCGTAATACTCTGGGCGTAAATTCATCATCTGTTCTGCTTCTTTAAACCATCTCGTGTACATTGTTCATTGCGGAGCAGGGACGTACGAAAGAGACATCGGTACACTGCAGTTGTAAGGAAGTTAACTTCAAGTGTAAGTCATTGACCCTGGATTTCGATAACCCTATCTGCAACAATTGCTCGCGAATGTATCTCACAGTTGTCTGAGACGGCCCACTACTAGTAGTGTGGACGCTGGACGGCTTAACTCCACTATTGTAACTTGCGTTCTTCCAAAGCCAGGCGGCTTGATCTCTTGGCAATAGTCCACATGGCCATACTAATTGTAGTCTGCGTTGTCTTTGGCATGTATCAAAGTTGAAGCCTGCTGTTTCTACTTCGTATGCTTCCTGGACATCTTGACATCACCAAGCTTGGTCATTAAGATAGCAGCAGCGTGCAACGAATCAGTCTGCTTCGTTGTCAACAGGAGCTGAACATGCTCACAGAGATGAGGGATTGAGGTAAATACTACTGGTAGACGGCCACGTAATTAAAGCCCGAGCGAAATGGCATATTGACATGCCAGCGGAATTGTCCCACAGAAGTGCAAAGACACCACCTTCTGCATTGTTGAAACCATACGCAAAAGAGCTGTTACGCAGAAACATCAGGTCACGATCGGCACACAAGAAACACGTAAGTACGATACAAACCTTGTGTCCGTGCCTTCGATGCTGCAGCCTGAGTCCGCGTGTGTAGTACTGTAGCAGTCGGTTGCTACGATTTTGCCTGAAAACTGATAGGTACTATTTGTCATTTCGTTAGTGCAAGTTTGGTTCGTGCCGGTATGAAGCGTCATCTGGTTTGTGCCCTGATTATTCACACCCTCGACAATATCGATTTCACCTGCCATAGGTCAGTGTGGCCCAACGGTCCAGAAACTGGGTCACGTAGAACAACCTACTGGCATGTAGGAAGCGTCAAAGATGAAGAGACCGCCATTGTAGCTCTTCTGAGATGTAATACGAACGCTGCATTCGTAATAAATACTCGTAAATCAGAATAATCACGGGTATTACGCACGAGGCACGCTGACCGCCGGCAGCAACAGTGCTGGTTGAATCAACTGCAAGGATAAACGAGTTGTCGCAGTCATCGACATACGCAAGTCTCTTAGACTGCGCGTCCGACTGGCCTTGGTAGATGACATTTCCACCAGTCGGATCCGGGCCGATGGCGAAAATCCAGTCACTAGATGGCGGAAGACGATTAGCCAAGACGCAAGTTGAAACTAGATAAGTGATACGTCCTTGAAGAAATCTCCCCCTCGATAAAAGTCTTGTATCATGTAGGTTTTGCCGATAAGTTGTTTGTGAGCAGCAGTGCGGTAATGATACGAGTACCAGTGGTGGCTACCATCAACCAGAACGGTAAATGAGAGAGCCGCTAGAAACAACTTAGGGAGAGAGTGCATAGGATTGAAGCAAAAGAGGAGGAAATTCCATGCAAAGTCGGTGGTTGAACAATACTAGTAGGGTCGTGGTTGAAAAACATTCACGACTCGAAGGCTTCTTGCACTGGACTGCCATCGACAACGTCATTATATCTCGGCCCCGCTCAATCTCAATTTTTCCTGTGCTGTCGGTCATCCCCTCTTGCCGATGAGTCTGCAGCTTCATAACTCAATCATAGCTTGCGATAGTAACGCTGTAAATAAGTGGAGTCAAAACAAAGCATTACTGAAACTGAGCTAGCTGAAGAGTATACCTGGAGCTCTATCACTGTGGCGCCGAAGTAAGGTTGAAGTCGCTCAAATTGTCTAAGGCGGTTTGCACATCTCCAGCCTAGTCTAAACTGACCCAAGACACAATCAGGCCGCCGCTGCCTATCAGGTCTAGGTGGCGGTAGTACGTTCACATATTGTAGTACGATTCGAAAAGAATCAACTACCGCGGATGGGGTAAGAAATGAATTGCTCTGCGTTTGATCATCAGTCCATTCACCATTGACTTGTTTCTTAGAAATATGTTGTCAAACGGTACGTACTAGTGTAACCGAGCGCACAAAGGTGAGGCGACTTTAGTGACTTTCGAGAATTGCATGAAGCGAGCAGCACAAAGAATATATTTCCGCGGAACCTTGTTCGTTGACAAAGCACGTATGATGTATGGTCGATTCCCGGCACCCACGCTTAGAAGGAGTCGAATAGATGTTGACAATGTCGACGTTGATTGTATAGTAGTACGATGCGAGGCAAAGGACAGGAAAGCAGTGATTCAAAGGATTGCCTAGTAGTAGTCAGCGGGTAATGTGATCCATGCTTATGAGGTCTGATTCTTAGACTCGTGGTTGACCATCGAATTCTGAAAAGACGTTCAAATCCACGAACCTCGTTACCAGCCGACCTTCAAGACGCCTTCAATGACCTAACTCGGTACTGGGCCTGACCAATTATCCTCGATACAGTCAACAACCCTTTGTATTTCGAGAAAGCGACCGGCTGCCGTTTCTGCTTGTCGGTTGTATGTAGGCTTTTAGACGGTGCGATGTTGTAGGCTTGCACTTAGCGCTCAAAGAAGTATTTTCCCACTGACTAAGCTAATAAGTTAATAACTCAAATGTTGGAACCCGGAGTCCACAACTCAGCCGTACATCATGCATCAAATACCGCAAACTAAAAGTCCTGTCTGTTATCTACTGGCATTTTCCACCTTGATTGGTCATTCAAATTGATATTGGGTTGTAGTATCACAGTGGAAAACACGTGCTGTGCTAAAGTGTAGTCTGCGCTGACAAATTAAGTTTCAAAGTCCGCAATTATATGCGGCAATTGTAACGCCACATCCAGATTACATAACCTTCGTCTTTTCTTCTCAACTTCCATCGTCGTCGAACGCTTAGCGTTCGGCGTCAACGTCACCAACAAACGCTTAGCGTTTGAGTTTCGCCTCCGGCACGCGGTTGAACGCCTAGCGTTCTTAACTGAATGGATCTTTTCACCGTCGTCGAACGCTTAGCGTTTGACGTCGAGACCGCCGAACATGAAGTTGACGTTGCATGTCGACTATCGTCGACTGCGCGTCTATCATGATCATATATCATTGACTCTGGACACTATGAACTTGACTCGGACGTTGCATGCCCGACTATCGTCGACTGCACGTCCAGTTCCTTTCAGTGGTCCGCGTCTTTTTTCTCAAAATTCCATTTGCTTTTACCTTCTATAGCGTTTCGATGCGCCCTCTCCCTCTCCCCTTAGCCCCCATTCGCATTTAATTTCCTTTGGGGTTTTTCTACAGTCCCCTATATAATCTCTCTTTTTCTTTCGCGCCCTCTGAGCTGCTGGCAACCAATTCCTAGGCATCGCAGACCTTTTTCCCTGTAGCCCTTCTAGCCCAGAGCTGTATAAGAGGACGGGCGACCGTTATTAGCCCTAGTTGGAGTATCCACCCCATCTACCCCCGCATGGGCATCGAGTAAGGAAGATTGTCGATCGTCCCAAGGCCTTTATCCTCCCCAAACGCGTCAGCCATATCGCACAGGAAGTCTCTCCCTGAAGATTGCAGACTAGTTAGCGCAAAGCCACGGCAACAGGTGACATGTGACAGGGCACCAGTAATCATCATAAACATCTTGAGAGTAGCAGAAGCGGGAGTTAGGTAGATCTACGAGCAGTGACCTGGCATAATGGAAGGCAGCGGCAGCTTCCCGTCGTGAAATTGTCGATAATCGCGTTGCCAAGTGACCGTCAAAAAAAATTGAAAAATGTTGCGTAGGCCTCCAGTCCAGATGCATGGTTGTGTTCCTCCGCTGTAGCAACCCAGTACCAAAATATCTTAATACGTCGCAGAAAGCCTTGTGCGGCATGTCCTGATGCCAGTCTGAAGTTCTCTACAGCAAGTGACAAATCAGCAAGGTCGTGTAGAATCCGGTAACGAGACTGGTAAGCCACCACAACCACAAGTAGCTGAGTGTTCTATCTAGGTGTAGTGAAGACAGAGCCGCCAATGATTGTTGGCAAAGCGTAATGGCCTCCTCGACATCTTCATTCTTCTGAGTTTCCGTAAAACGAGAGCAGAGCAATGAGCTCAAACCGAGAAGAGTTGTGTGACGCTCTGGATGGTCGAGCCGCCTTAACCGAAAAGATTCGCGATACCAATCAAGGGCCTCGTTGAGATCCTCGCTGACATGCGATTTGTCATATCTAGTTTTGAGCGTGAGGGCAAGGTTGTTAAGCGTGGTGTCACGACCTGGATGCCCAGGTGGGCGCAACGTCAGTGACTCACGATAGAGGCTGATAGCTCGGGTGATGTCATCAATGTCGCCGCATTTCTTGAAACGGGCGATGAGGGCGAGCCCTAGGTTTTTCAATGAGTAATCACGAGATTCTGTCCAACAAGGCGCAGGCGCAGTGCTTCTTCGTCCAAAGAGATGACCTCATCAAGGTCATTGAGCTTGCCTCGGTGTCAGAAGCGCGACATGAGTGAGTCAGCCAAGTTGTCCAAGTAGGTATCACGGTGAGCATGTCCCTCGGGGCGCAGATACACGGCTTCGCGACCAAGTTGTATGCTCGTGTCAAGATCATCGATACTGCCGTGCTGATAAAAGCGTGTTTGAAGTGCTTGTGCAAGCCTGTCGAGGGCTCTGGGATGGAGTTGATGGCCCAGAGGATAAAGCTCGAGGACGACTCGTCGAAGATGGATGCCCCCATCAGATACGTCTATTGGAAGATTGTTGCATGCGCTGATCACATGATCGACACCATTCCCTGCTATGATACTACGAAGGTAGGTGCCATCTGGACGGAGAGGCAGTAGTTCATGATAGAGTTGTACGGCTTCGCGGATGTCGGCAGAAGTTCTTTTCTTGTTGTGGCGCCAAATCAGCGCTTGGGTCAGATTGTATAGAGATAAGTGATGATCGGGATGGGGCTGCGGACGCAATGCAAGGGCGTCGCGGAAGAGGGAAGTAGTGGCATCAATGTCTTGAGAATAATTTCGAATGTAGCCTTTGAGGCAGGCCCACGCGAGGTTAGTGAGGGCCGTGGCATGGTCTGGATGGCTGACTGGACGCTGATCCAGAACCAACTGAAAATGCTCTACAGCGTCGTTCAGGTGAGAGACTGTCTTGCTCGTCGCTTATGCAGTAAATTGTGGGTGACCCGCATCTGTGTCTCGAGCAATCTCGCAATCTACGAGGGACTGCAGTTTGCGTTCTGTCAGCAAAAGCTAACAGGACAGATACCAGCGTCACTCACATCAATCAGTGCTTCGTCCTGATCGTCGCATGCATGCACAACTGGTAGCCTTCAGCTTAAGGGAAGGGTGGACACCGAACGCGGGTGGGAAGGATATATCTACGAGACATTAGTGTATGTGCATAAACGAGAAGCGAATCACTCACCAAATGGCTCATTTCTATGATCAAGTAGCTCATCCCACGACATCTAAAGTTCGCCGATGATCTCTCCACCGCCTAGCATTCGACTAAGCTCAAACGTCGCCCTGATCTCCACTGACAACGCAGGTGAAGAGTATGATAATCTATAAACCGATAATCAGTTCTCGCATCGCGTCAGAAAGTATCTATGGACTTTACAGAGTGATAGTATTCTCCCAAGCTACAGATTCAACAGATGATAAGACACTGGTGGCTGATTTCCAGCGCCTCCTGGAGTCGACATTGATGGATATGTAGATGCCAGCAGGAATGCGGCAGGAGGGAACCTAAAGATTATTTCCGCTGATGACTGTAGATATTGTGTGAGAATGATAACAGATACGAGGGTGGTTCAGAGGGACTCGCCTTCAAGTCTGATATATTGGCTTTCTGAGCTACCGGCATGATGGTGTGATTGGAGGACGGGGGCAAAGATATGGGGAATGTGGATAGAGAAGGGAGGTTGAGGGTTCAGGTCATGCCACACGTGTATTTCCACATTGTCGAGGGCTGTTCGACACGATATTGACGCTGGTATGATTGCACTAAGCGCTGGGTATGGAGATCACCGACCAGGACTAGCGGAAGAATCTAAGGTAGACAATGTCACGACCAATCTTCAGTGAAAGTGGCCAGCCGAGGTCAAAGGAGTGCAAGTCTCAGAGTAGTTGAAGGTAGTGCGAACAATGTTAAAACCGATGAAGACGGCGCGCTAAGAAGAACCGAATGATTGTATACGACTCATCCAATTGAGCTGATAACGAAGGGAGGATGATCTTGCCTGGACAAAGGTATGAGAAAAGAATGTCAACTTGAAAAGCGAGGATGCAACCAACTTGTATGCTTATTCGGTGAAGGACGATCGACGAATGTTCAGGAAGCTGTGACCGCTGCCGGATTCCCCACATATATCAAACCAAGTACCATGGGAGAGAAATACTCACTATATCATTGGCGCCGGGTGAACAGGCCAGCAGGCCCGTCGTGTAGCCTGGAAGCCTTGAAGGTGATAAGAACACATTAGTACATAATGGCGTGAGGGATAATGCAATGTACAGGGAATCCCCGAATATGGGGTGAAGATGGAATGCATTGATTGACTCAGCATCGAACCACTCGTGGTTCCTTGAGGTGGCTAGACTCGTAACCAGTCTTTACTACGTCTGAGATGTTGTTAAGTGTTTGACGTAGTAAGACTGGTCGATCTCGGAGAAATTTGGCAGGCGAAGCACGGAGTTTGAATTTCAGCAGGTGCTGGTGATAATATTACTCATCATACCGTGATGGTCACTAGTAGAGTACTCTAGTGCGTCTAGCTAGACTGTGTGCTACTAGGTTAACCCCCTGCCATGAGTTTGTCGTGTGCTGCTCTAGAAGCTATCAACAATCTACCAGTGGACTTTATGAGACCCTTTCAACGAAACAAAGCCAACAAACTCTCGAAGCTTTCGCGCAACTCGACTTTATTTCACAAGGAACACAACATCCTAAATTATTTCAGCTCAAATGCATGATATCATTACTTTCTGCAAGGAATGGGATTTTTTTATCTTGGTCAAGGCTCGAAGGGTCGACAGTCCAAATCAAAGGTTCAACAGGTGGCTGTTGTTGGGGAATGGGCGGGTAGAATACATCGAATGGTATCATTTTATCACCTTATTCAATATCCAGTACAGTTGCTTGATGTGCTGTGATGTATACAGTACTTTGTACGATGTGAATGAAGGACTTGTGTTGTCGACGCCGCACGCATGGAAATCTAAAGCGGCACGACCGGCACCTGCTAAAATTCAAACTCCGTGCTTCGCCTGCCAAATTTCTCCGAGATCGACCAGCCTGGCTTCACCACTCGACTTGTCCGTGGTAATAAGCCAGGCTGGTCACGAGCCTATGAGGTGGCTGCACTTGATTTCAATGTTACCCACGACATAAAAATTCATCAATCCTACAAGTTCTCCCAACAAACGTACGCATCGTAACCAACCTAGACCGTAAACCGATCAAACCAACTCACGATTCCCCTAGCGCTCTCCTCCTTCGCCCAGCCTGCATCAGCATTCATTCAATGTCTTGCTAATAAGAAACGAAACCAGGCTACTCACGTTGCGTGTCAATAGCAGGATCACCCCGTACAACAAACCCATGTTGGACGCCTGAAAACACCTGGAAATAATATGTGGATTTGCGAGCGACCATGATGTCTTCGGCACGTCGACGCGAGGCCAGTGGGAATGTGTGCTCTTCCTCTACATAAAAGAATAATAGTATTGGGAATCGGCTTAACGGCGATCATGAACATCTGTAGGAAGAAACTTTTACCTGCGCATGAGAAAAGGAGAGGTCCTGCGTTGATGCGATGATTTGTGTTTGGTTAAGGCACCTGGATGATATGTTAAGCATAAGAAGCGTACCGTCAAGTTTCGTTTTCATCGAGGAATGCGGGGTGAGCCAGTGCTCCTACAGTTCTCACGTGGGCATCTTCTTGAAAGCTGTCGAATCACTTACCAGCAACTACAGCTCCATCAGAACAGAAGTCCACGACGAATGAGGCTCCAAAGCAATACCCTGATTACAGGAATTCAGCGTCGTTTGGCGCGATTCTTGTATTGACATACCGACAGCGCAGTATTTGGTATTCTCCCTCCCTGTACGCATTTCGGTGACTCAGAAGTGACCGGAAACAAACCAACGTACCGTATTTTCCTTTCACAGCATCTAGCCAAGCGGGGAACGCATCGATAGCAGGTTTGCGAGAATTGTCGATCCACGCCTGGCGATCACAATCAGGCAAGTGGTTCGGCACGGAGTCGCCAAAGAAATAATCAGCTCCAAGTACGATATAGCCTTGTTCCATTCAAATCTCATCATCGGCTCACAATGTACAATGTTGACAATGGGACGCACCACAGGGCGCGAAATAATCTTGGATTATTGTTAACGAAAAGCGGACCCCATACGTCTGCTAGGAAGAGTATCACTTTCTGTGTGGCAGCAGCAGGATCGGGGATGTATGTTGGGATTTCACCGAGGTCCTCAACGCGGCCAACGGGTGTGCCTATGTGTTTTACACCGGAGAAGCAGCAACTACCAGGGGCGGAGGCGAGTGTGGGGGTCATTATCGATATTCTGTGTAGAGATGAACGCCTGGTCTTCGTGCGACCTTTATATCTTCGGAGTAGAAGAGGAAGCTTGGGCTATGAACAACACATGATGTCCTTTATGATCGCCCGACCTCAAGAGCCATGTGGATGCATTTCAACAAATGATTTCATGAGGGATAATCATAGCTAGTTCCAACCTTCGAGAGTTCACGGAAAGCAAACAAGGTCTGTCCCTGAAAACTCATTTGAAACAATCCAGAGTAAGGCCACAATATGAGGATGATTTACCGAAACAGTCTGATTTCAAAATAACAGCACATATCACTTGCTACTCGTAAAGCGTTTGAACCATCCTACCATCGCACGTTGGCACTCTTCCTTCGCCCACCCTATCAGAAGCAAGAGCATTGAAAATTCAAATCACTGAAAAAGGCGACAAATACTGACTTTCAGTCTCGATTTCTGGATCTCCCCTTGTTCCAAAGCCGTGCGATACACCGCTGGATATCTGAAAACAGTATGTTGCCTTCTTCTCCACAAGGATGTCTTCAACGTGTCGTCGGAACGTCGCTGGGGATGCAGAGTCCGTTTCTATGGGGTGGTATGAGTGAAGCACGCTTCAGAGAACCAGAAGACATGTCTACCTGCGCAAGAGAACAACAGGGGCACTAATTGCATAGCTTGGTCAATGCTGTCATTGAAAAGCATAATATGGAACCTGCCTTTTCTGGCTCTCAGAAGCTCCTCGGTCAAGCTCGTAGGATGGGCCACAGCGGCTAGTAGATGATTTTGCATTCAGACACCAAAGATAGAAAGATATGTTACATACCACACGATAGTAGCTGCAACCTGAAAGACGTAGGGCGCGCCAAAACAGAAACCTTGATCCAGTATGAAAGTAGCAATCGTGAGACTCGGCCTACTTACCGACGGCACAGTATTTCACATTCGTTCCTTTATATCGCGGCTTATTATTTCGGTATGCCACGTATGCTGGGAAGGATGATCAAGGATCGTACCAAACATTTCCTTGACACCATCCACCCACTTTGGGACGCTAGCCCTCGCTTGCTCGACGGATTTTGTTCACCATGTTGAGCGATCAAACCCAGGCTTGTTGAGATGCAGATGAACAAGATCACCAAAAAGTAATCTATTCCAACCACGGTGAAACCTGCCTTCCTGATCAATACGCATACTAAGAAACTATACACACAGAAACTTGCCCTGGGAAACGTAGTAATCTTGAACCAGTTGAGCATTGATATAGAATGGCCCAAAGACATCCGAGAAGCATAGGATGACAGTTTCTACTGTGGACGCAGCGGAAGCTTGCGGAGCAGATAGGTATGTCGGTACGCCAGCGATGGTAATGCTTTCACCCTTGGGTGTACCACTGTGTGCGACTGAAGTGAAACAGTGATCTGTCAATGGGCCTGCGAGTGTGGACGACATGGCTCTTGGCAAGGAGATGAGGCCTTCAGGCGTCAAGTGGGCAAATCATGTGGTTTCCTTTCGAGCTTGTGTCCCACGCCGCGATTCTCGGTAACTCTCCACACACCCAGCGTCGGCGTCCCATGCAAAGGCTGATACTATGTTTTGATAGTGGGCGTTTTTGCTAGTACTGGTTACCCTGCCAAGACGACACTTACAGCGCTTTAAATTTCGTTTAGGGCCAGCCGCAGGGACAAACTCAACCAACGCACGCACGCCCACCCCGCGCCATGTCACGTGACTTCTTGCAGAGGTGAATCGCGACAAGATATCTCCACTTGCCGCTAGTAAGCTTACACTACTTGCATTGTAGGCTATTTCACTGACGAGTACGATAATTGCAAAAAATGCTACGAGGCACCTACTTTTTCAACTTATAATTGCCAGTTGTGGCAACGTCGAACTTGAAGTTGACGGCGAGTTGGTGTCACCGTTCTTACGACCAATCCTTCTAAGTTTTGGGGAATTTACCCGGCGGCAAGCAGTGAAACAATGTATAATTTACTGACGGCGCTTGTGTCGCTTGGTGTTTCAAGTAGCTTATATTCTTCAGAATGCCAAGGATGGTCCTGCAGTAAGGTGCGTCGCAACTGATTCAGTGACCGATATCTACTAGTCTCAAGTTTGAGCCGAATACTTCTTGTATATAACGTCTAACCAGTGTTCACAGCGTCGTGCATCCCTAGGCATTGGTATTTGCGTCATGGCTTCACCAGGTATCCCGCTGGATACCGCCGCGGCTGTCATCGTGTCATCAGTGCTAGAAGGCATTTTATATGGTGTGTATTGCAATGAGTTTTCCCGTCTCATGTCCACCAAGCTAGCGTTCTTTAGGCTTTTCAGTTCGCATGTTTGTAGGTACTATCTGGATAATCACCTACAAACGTCGTACATGCGACCTCAATCGGCCAGCTGTTGTAGTTGCCACCCTAATGTTCTTACTGAGTACTGTGGTTAGCGTCTCGCCGCTTGCATCCAGTGACATTCGCTGAAGCTTCCCAAGCACGTGGTCGTAGGTATCATTCGTATCGAAGATGGACTAGTGAAGCATTGTGACACGTTTCCAGGCGGCCCAGTGGCGTTTTTTGCAGGCATTTCCGAAGAAACGTTTGTAGTCAAGGATGCGATACTCGTCTTACAAACTATGCTTGGCGACGGTGAGGTGGTGGGTTCAAATTTTGATCTGCAAGCTATGCAGTCTTTGCACAACATATACAGGCAAAATGATACTACATCCTTCTTGGCTGATAACTCAAAAGTGCATACATTAGCATAATAATCAAACTAGCTTAGTATATATCGTGATATGTCCTATTCAACCAGCTTCGGCGGCCACTAAATACCTCACGAGATTATAGGGAGCCTTACCTTGGAGTTCTGAGCTTATCTGGCACACGGAGAATGTGTTTGGCTCCAAACCTCGATGTTGAGGATATTTTGAGAGCCTGATCTCGGGTTAAGCATGCAGTACATCAGAATGCAGAGGTAGTAGTCGATGTATAACCTACGGTCTCAAAAGTCTATAAGAGACAGGCGGACAATATACATGCATTACAAATTATTAAGCTGACGAGAAAGAACTTATCTCAACTATGATGACAATCGGTGGAGGCCGTGGCTAAAGGGTGTCATTTAGTCCTCTTCCTTGAAATTCGATAAATTAACCACAAACCATGTCAATCTGTACAGGACGAGTAAAATCCGCTTCATCGTCAAGATGTTTACATATATTCTCCCGGGAAGCCTGGAGTTCCTCCACTTGTGGCACCCTAATGTGCGGCTCCGGTCGGTAGAGGAATTGGCGCGTATGGTGCGTGTTGACAGAATCGATATTGTTCGCATTGCCCTGCAAGGAGTATCGCGCATTCAGGAGTGCGAGAAACGAGCCGACGTATACTTGAAATGGTAGTAGTCAGCACCGTCCTCAGAGAATGCGTGGTCATACATTTAGCTACTAAAAATCTAACGCCGAGAAAGATAAAGTTGTTTGGCATTGCTGCGCACTGCAAACGACCCTTAGAGACAAGGTAGACAATAAGATTATGTAGACCTTACTGTGACTATAGTTGCCACTGAACCTATACTGCACAAAACCTCAATCAAGGTATAGTATAGTCTGGATGGACGAAATACCTTGTGATACAGCCTGTATTAACGGTGTAAGTTATAAGCTTGTTGATGAAGGAATCCATCCTTAACACTCAACATCAACTTGAATATACCTAGATCCTGACAGTCGACGGATCGTTCGTTACCTGAAGAACCCAGTGCGGGGGGTAGCGAGAAAATACCACATTTATGATGCAATAAGGATATCGACAACAGTAACCGTGCTCAAAGCCGCGTACTAGTATGCCGCCCACTCTACTCTAATCAAGTCCGAGAGCTGATGACACTGATACCTAATCATGGTTAGCACCTCGCGAGAAATTGAGCAGATGGTTCACTCACAATACCCAAACAAGGACCGGGTCAAAGTGAAGATGATGAGTCAACGGTAGCAACACCATGACCAGTATGCTAAAACCCTCACCGATGCTCAACTGTCAACACCTAAAAGAATCTCTCGATCGGCGCCGGCTTTGTTCAATCTGCGCTGACAAATCAAATATCAAAGTCCGCAATTATATGCGGCAATTGTAACGCCCCATCCAGATTACATAATCTTCGCCTTTTCTTCTCAACTTCCATCGTCGTCGAACGCTTAGCGTTCGGCGTCAACGTCACCAACAAACGCTTAGCGTTTGAGTTTCGCCTCCGGCACGCGGTTGAACGCCTAGCGTTTTTAACTGAACGGATCTTTTCATCGTCGTCAAACGCTTAGCGTTTGACGTCGAGACCGCCGAACATGAAGTTGACGTTGCATGTCGACTATCGTCGACTGCGCGTCTATCATGATCATATTATTGACTCTGGATGGACACTATGAACTTGACTCAGACCTTTTTGTGAGTATATATGAGTAGATTCCCATCTTTATTTGACCTCCTGAAGTATAGCACATATGCAAGAAAACATAAAATATGTTCCCATTTAATTATTTCTAGGTGGACAGACTTGGAAAAATGATTCCCTTGCATTATATCATACATATATATACTAAACTACTTATATATGCACAGGGATATATTGTGGTATGGTGGTGAAGCTGCAATGATGTGGGGGTGTGTGAGAATAATTGAAATTGTGGGGTGTAATGGGAGTGAATGATATATCATCATGTGTGGGACATTGTGATAAGCTGACTCCAGGGATATATCACCACTGGGTTTCAATGGGAGTAAAATGATATATCATAATATTGACAGTATAGGCTGATGTGAGAGTGCAGAGGGTTGAAGCCTTTTTGGCTTCAACCCATGAAAGGAAACAATGGAGACAGCTCCTTGTGGTTGCTCTACTACGGCGCGCACCAACAAGGATATACTACTAAGAAGAAGGTGCGGTTAAGGCCGAATGAAACGAATCAGTGCGAGACTCCAGTATTACACAAAGCGCGACTTATGAGGTGCCACATGCGCAGGTCGACGAGCCGCAGTTGATAGAGAATGAAGGCCACCAAACCAATATCCATATGCTCATCCAATATCGCTTTGAAGATGTCCTCGAGATGTATTTCCACCGCAGGGACCTTCCTTTGAGGAGACATTTCCTGGGGACCGCCATTATTCACTTAACGGGACGCTGAGATTCCTATTAGTTATCCCGCCGGATAGAAGGTAAAAAAGCAAATGAAATTTTGAGAAAAAAAGACGCGGAACACTGAAAGAACTGAACGTGCAGTCGACGATAGTCGGGCATGCAACGTCCGAGTCAAGTTCATAGTGTCCATCCAGAGTCAATAATATGATCATGATAGACGCGCAGTCGACGATAGTCGACATGCAACGTCAACTTCATGTTCGGCGGTCTCGACGTCAAACGCTAAGCGTTTGACGACGATGAAAAGATCCGTTCAGTTAAAAACGCTAGGCGTTCAACCGCGTGCCGGAGGCGAAACTCAAACGCTAAGCGTTTGTTGGTGACGTTGACGCCGAACGCTAAGCGTTCGACGACGATGGAAGTTGAGAAGAAAAGGCGAAGATTATGTAATCTGGATGGGGCGTTACAATTGCCGCATATAATTGCGGACTTTGATATTTGATTTGTCAGCGCAGATTGAACAAAGCCGGCGCCGATCGAGAGATTCTTTTAGGTGTTGACAGTTGAGCATCGGTGAGGGTTTTAGCATACTGGTCATGGTGTTGCTACCGTTGACTCATCATCTTCACTTTGACCCGGTCCTTGTTTGGGTATTGTGAGTGAACCATCTGCTCAATTTCTCGCGAGGTGCTAACCATGATTAGGTATCAGTGTCATCAGCTCTCGGACCCTAGTGTTCAGTACTAAGAGTTCCAAGTCCCACCGGACGGCTACATACCAACCATGGGCAAGGACCGACGTATCCTTCCTCCCCCACATGAACTTATCCGCAACATCTCTTTACCGACACCGTCACAACCTGTCGCTGGCCCGTCCTCAGATTCTGTCAGAACGTTCGACTATCCCCCTCATGCCTCACCGGAGTCACAAGCGTCAACGAAGATGTCTATATCTCAATCCTCCACCATACCAGCGCTTGAGATTATCGGCCTGCCTAATATGACGAGCCGCGACAAACGTCGAGAGCGCAACGGTCTGAGTATCATTCATGAAGATGCAAGCATCGTAGCCGATTATGAAACCGTGACTGGATCTGATGCAGGACGCCATCGCCATCGCAGCGAAAGACACAACGAAAGAGACAGACAGTGAAGCTACCAAGCACTCATGGAGAGACCCATCAAAGCAGAGGCTTGCTGACGAGCTGAGATGGTCTAACTCAGCCGAGCCTGAGGAATGGCATCGATATGGTGCAGACAAGGTTTGCTTCTATACTACATGAAACGCAGTTTGATTTGACGAGGGACACAGACACGCATGCAAAGTCCCCCCGTCCTCGCCCAACCCGCTTTCTCCTCTAAATTCAGATGAAGCTAACACACCTGCCTCGGCATCAGCGACATTCAAGGACGGCATCAAATAACCATCGAGCCCCCGGTAAGTGTCATTACTCTGCCCTAGATAAACGTCAAAGCTAAGCCTTGACAGTCCCGCCTTCCCTCTGATGCTCCGTCAAGACGTGCGTCCATATTTGGCCTACTCAGTCCCGATCACGCCAATCACCCGCTCCCTGTATCTGTGCTTGTTTCACAACGCGCCCCACTTGTTCCTACATTCCCTAACACTCCCGTCTCAGCGCCTGTCTCGTTGGTAGGGTCCATGTATGACATAGGACAGCTGCCAACCGGTGCACCGCCTCCAGGGGGTCCTGTCATTCCGTATATGAATGAGAGAGAAGCACCCTCGCAACGTAGTTCACTTTACGCAGCCGCCCAGGCTGAAGGCAGGCGGTCACAGACCCCCCAATCTTACGTGGCCTCCCCAGTCCCCACTGGTGTTTCCTACCCCGCACCGCCTATTTCCAGCCAAACGGCTCCGTACAGGGTGGAGGCAGTTCCTCGACGCATGAACGCCGGCCGAGTCTAAGCCAGATGGTGGGAATGACACCTGGCGCACATCCGCGGTCTCTACGACCAAGCGGTGGCGGGCTTCGCGTTCGTCCCACAGACAACGATCAAACGCATCAAGTAGCTCGCACCAGTCGTTTACGCATTATGACCCAGGGGTGTACAGTATTTGGCGAGTAGCGAGTCATTGGTTTCTCGGACGGACGCGAATACGGCTGCGAATGGGGGTGGGCTGAGGAGAACCTCATAGATGCCTATTACGTTCCCTCCATTTTGACATAGGAAAACGACTTGGACGGTTTTTTGTCGCTCGGACTGTCTTTCTTGTTGAATCTTGAGCATGATATCTATTGTACCACGAATCACTAACACCGAGTAATCAACTAACTAGTAGGTCTGCATATCCGCCACTGTTGTCTTCACCATTGCATTTCAATATGAATCAATTATATCATCATCAGGACGTATATGGCAGGGAGATCCCCATCGAGAGGGTTATAGACGCTTCCATCGTTCGTGCTCGGCTCAAGCCTTATCTCCACCAGCCCCAGCGGCGCGCCAAAGCTCGTTAGTCCAGGTGTGATCGTGCCGCCTTCAAGGTCCACGATATCGACAGCCCCTTCTGCAAAATCCGAGCATTGATCAACACACACCGCTCGGCCATTTCCACGCCCACTGATCCCACCTTCTCAGAAATACGCGCCACCCCAGTCGAGCCTCCACCTTTCATGCAAAGCCCCGAGACGTTCACAAATAACGCCCCTTTTACGTTCCGAGGTTCAAGAGGGGGAATACCCTCATGCGCGACGGCTGCCACCTTCTCAGAATCGAAATCGGGCGTGCGTGGGGACGTGGTGGGCCCCTTGGCGACCGGGAAGGGAGAGCTGAGGGATACCATCAATGTAGACCCGAGTGGGCGTTGCAGCAAGTGAGAGTGGATGGGAGGACCAAATCACAGTATCTAGTTCCGATTAGACAATTAGACGGATCTTTCATATATTCAGACTGCGAGCATAACGTACCGGCATCATATCCTGCAATCCAACCGAAACCTAAATTCTTCATCGAACTTATATAGTAGTCTCACATACCTGCTTTGAGCATTCCACTCTGATGGCCCATCCCCATGGCAGTAGCAGGAGTATGATACGTACCGGAGAGGAGCGCGAGTGCGGGGTCAAGGCCATAATAGTGCGCATGGGCGGTTTCGTTCAGGAGGTAGCGGGAGTTGACAACCGGGTGGTCAGACTGCAAGTACAAGTTAGTTGGAAGCGAGATCGAAGTTTCATGATGGAAGTGAGTGAAAACAACATGTGTTAAGGATAGAGCGAAAGATCAGTAAATCATGATCATTATGTAAAATATACATACGAGTTGCGTGATTTCAGACACAGGTAGTACATGTATAGAAGAGCACGTTGACATAGCATAAATAAAGAAGGAAGTGAGGTGAAGGAGGACATTTACCTTCATAACAACGTTGATTCCATGCTCCGCCAGCACACGCAGTGCGAACTCCGATCCTCGATATGCGTTGCGTTTCTTCCTTCATGCAAGATCAACCGCATCAGCAGATTTGCAGAAGTCAATCCATACATACGTACTGGAAGTTGGATGCAAAGAGTGCTATAGCAGGTGTGCCTCCCTGGTGGAAAGGAATGACATTAGAGGAAGTTATGAACGTCCTTAGAGCACATCGACAAGGGATTCCCATTGCAGGTCTTCAGGAAATGCCTTTCCCGCGAGGTCGTCCCAGGAATTAGACTCTGCTTTGGCGCAGAAATCGTCTTGAGCGTCGCGCAACTTTCGGGCATGTTCCTCTTTCCCTGATCCGGCAGGTTCAGAAGGTTATCGATGTTCACAGCGTGGGTGACCGCTGAGCGCTGATCGGTCGACCCCTAGGATCGTAGATTTGCATTTTCACATTGAACTCTGTAGCGTGGCCGAGCTAAATGGTGCGTTCATTTGCTACTCGACGATAGCTGACGAGGTTTGTGTGCGGTACGCTGAAAAGTCAAGACGCTCACTACTCGTTCATGGATTTAATTTAGGGTCGAGTGACACTCCTTGAATGGGCTCTAGAAGTCCAACTTGACAGTTGTCTACCGTACCGCAGCGTTCCTCGATCTCGCACATACTCTAACGTTGTATTCGAACATTCGGCTTCGTTGTTAGTGGCCGCTTCCTCATTACAGGGCTCGGTTTGCTTCCTACGACGAAGACGGCAGCATTATTTGGGAGCCTGATGGTTTGCGTTCCAGTATCATGTCCGAGGCATCCTTATCTGACAATCATTCAGGGAATGGCGTTTCTTTCCTTTATGCCGACTGCTCGACGCTCGAGCTGATTTCGCCGGAACGTTGGGTTACGATGGATGGGTGCGTTTGCTCTTGATCGTAACCTCTTTGCTGGGGGAGATCTGGCCATTGCTAGCGAAGACGAAGGCTATTTGCATGCGACCCTTCCGGTGAGTTACCTCGGTCGTAGCACGATGAAACTGTAATCTGAGAATTTCAGTTTGTGATTGAAAGATCTCGAGTCTAGAGGATGTCAGCATTTGTTGCGCCACACAGAGCTTCGCTCGACCATCATGATTGTTCGGCGCACGAAAGACGAGCAATTCATTCCTCAAGCAAAATTGGCGTCCGGTGAGGTTCGTATTCTATTTGCATCGATGATGTATCTTATTCGATCAGCAGGATTTACGGATGGATCCCTATCAACACTCGCACAAGCTGTTCTCAAACGACTGCAACTTTTGCAAGGGCGGTTGACACGAAATGCGCAGCACGCTGCTGGATTGAATCCAAAAGCCCACCGGCGAGTTTTTATGTACTTGCACTGGGTCCTCCATCGATAACTCCGTTAGAATTGTGCGAAATGACGCCGCGTCCAAGCCTTTGTCGAAAAATGTCCTGGATGGCCGACTGCTCACCGAATTACAAGGCTTGGGTATCAGTCGCCAGAATAAAATCGTGCGACAGATTGACACAGAGAGAGCTCTTGTGTTGCATGACCCGTCTTCTCTCATCGTTCCACGGTAGTGAGAATTTTGGTATCTGTTGTTCTGACCTGCAATATATCGCAATCCCATCGATGTTGACACTGGAAATCTGCCATCAAATCAGTGCATTATCCACTCTGTAAAGTTCATGGAGACTTTCTGACACGGTGCGAGAAGCAATCTTGGGATTACTCACCTGCGTGGTCGGTGGAGATCAAGCCATCCTATGAGCTTGGTCAAATACCAGGCGGTGAAAAGATCGTCGAGGAACTTCGGATGTCGTGGGATGAGCTACTTAATCATGGAGATGAGCCATTCGGTGAGTGGCTCGCTCCTTGTTCATGCACGTGCGCCGACGTCTCGTAGATTTATTCTTCCCACCCGCGCTCGGCGTCTACCCTTCCCACAAGCTGTTGTACAGGCTTGCGACGATCAGGGCGACGCCCTGTTTGATGCGAGTGACACTGGTATCCGTCCTGTTAGCTTTTGATGACAGAATGCGAACTGTAGCCCTCGTAGGCTGCAAAATCACCCGAGACACAAATGCGGGCCACGCACAATTTGCCGCATACGTAAACGGTGGAGACATTGAGCAGCGGTACGCTGAGCGTGATGGTCAATTTCAAAATGATTGATACCTGCATAAGATGCGCCTCGATGCAATTGCAATGGAGCTTCCTTCATCAGAAGGGTCTTGGTATTCCCGGATATTCCATTGGCTAGGGCTTCTTCGAAGAGCAACGCAGTACCGTTTTTGGTATATGTGGAGTGCGTCTGTGCTTCTAAGGGAAGTCCTTCCAGATGCCTGGTCACGCATTCCCTTCTCAGATAAGGCAGCCGGTCCGCGAGGCCAGGCCCTCACCAGCTGCAATAGGTGGATAAGCCCGCGCTTCCAGATGCCTGCAGAATCGAACTTCCGGCTAGAGATCGATCTCTGGAGAGCTACCCTCGGCTTCCGCGCTTGGCTGGGGTGGGCCGTCAGGTGCCAGCGCAGTCCGCTGGAAGATTCGGTCCGGAGACCAGGATGAGCCGCCGGAACTACGGATAAACAGGTTATAAATGGGCCTATACCCTCCCAGGGCGCGGGGCAGTTTTTTTTACTTCTCTGACTTCTCAGCCCATGGCCCCAGCCAAACCCGAAGGCAAAGGCAAAGGCAAACCCAAACCCAACCAAACCCAAACGTGCTAACCAGCCCCAGGGAAGCGAGGAAAATTCCGAACAGAAAAAGGTGAGTTAAAAGCATCGGGCAGTGCTGCGAGCCTTTAACAACTCGGCCAATTAAAATCATCGTCGCTAGCTTCCACGATTGCCGCTGGATGCAAAGGTTGCCCAGCCCCGCCTGGCTCGACTTACTACGACAGGCCCCTCATTCACTCGCTTCCGGTCCTCGCCAAAGCAGGAACAAGAGATTTTCAAGCAGGCAGCCCATCGGGCCCGACTATTCAAGGCCCTAGCACCGGTTTTCAGGGCTCCTGCCACCTTGCAGGAACTGGAAGGACGCCCCAAGAATTCGGCTGAAGGCATCAAAGCTGCACAAGCCGCGGTCCGAGAGCTGGAGGCCGCACCTACTCGCTATAGTTCCGCCCGTTGGATAGACCGACTGGGTGTCCCAATTGCCTACTATTTATCGTCCCGGCTCCGACCAGGCAGCCTGATGGATGGCGAGGGCGGCGGCGAGATGGAGGTGGACTGTGAGTATGAAGATGGTAGTGAAATGGAGGTGGGGAGTGAGAGTGAGATCGAGGGCGACAGAGACAGCGAAGATGAGGATGAGATCGAGATCGACGATGACAATGGAAGCGAGATCGATGGCCAGGACCCCAACCCGGCTACTGTTGAAGATCCTGATGCGGTGAGAATGCTTTATTTTACTCTCCCAGTGAGCTGGCTTAATTACTCCCTGTAGGCCGCGTTGAAAAGAAGCCAACCGTTAGAGGAGCAAAGCAGGCTCTGCGAAAGACCTGAAGATTTTCTTCCAACAAACGAAGGTAACCTTTTCAGAGACGGCCTGCTGGTGGGCGCCCCGCTTGACCCTCACGCTTGGTGCAAACTCACTTAATTTACAGCCTGGGGCCACGCAACGAATGCTAGAAGCCACACAAATGCTATCATCCTTCTGTCAGCCAGTGTTCCACCCTAGAGACGTTCGCCATCGACCAGATGATGAAGGGCCTGACGTTGGTGAAGGCCAAGATCCTAGGATCTTCTACTACAATGTGCCCTCTAGTATATCTGAACCCGCCGTCCCAGAGGTCCTTCCCTCCGGCCATCGCAGGCCTGGGGTTGAGGTGCCCGCTGCCTCTGAATTTCCACTTGGGGAACGCCGAGGGACTACCCACCTGGTTCATTCATGGCCTGCGCAAGGCCGCCCAGCAGCCAAATTTGGCATGACCCCTTCAGTGGATATGGTAGGCAAAAGCAGCGTTCAAGCCCAAGCTGTGCTTTGGTACTATCAGGCATCGGCCGGTGTGGCCCAGGCATTGGCTGGGATTTTTTCTGTTTGTTTCCCTAAATTTTATCTCAAGTACCAGAGGGCTTTTGAAGCAGGAGTTTGGTTGACGTCGGACCCTGGTCCTTGGCTAGGCCGCGCGGTTGTATTTAAGCTACAGGTATACCTGCATAGAGATGGCCTAGACGCCGGGCCTTGCGCCTGCTTTCCAATGGGCTTGTTCACAGGGGGGGAGGCCTACTTTCCAGATATACAAGCCAAATTAGCGTAGGTGGCTTTCTGGCCGGCACAGAAGGGCTGATTAATTTGCTTTTAAGATACCGACCTGGCGATGTATTGATATTTATGTCAGGCGCTTTATACCATTGTGTCGGTCAATGGTGTGCGCCTCCAGTCACTGAAGAAATGTTGCAGAAAGGCATTTCCACAGGGCGGGTAAGCACCGTCTTCTTTTCTCCTCAATCCAGTTTAGATGCGTTGGAGGGAAAGCCGCCACTTTGGGCTAGAAGGACTATGGGAGGAAAGGTCTGCGATGCCTATGAATTTGGTCGCGAAAAAGCTGAAAAGTTGCGAGCGGCTCAGAGAAAGAGAAAGAGAAATGGAAAGGGAAAAGGAAATTAGAAAACAAAATTACCAAAGATATATGCGACTGTATGAATTTAGCGCCCTATCAAGAATCGCTTACGCCGTAAATCAGTTGTTCTCGTTGAACCCTGGTCTGCGACCCCTAATGCTGAATCTTGATGACGAAGCCGGTAGCTGCGATCGTTCAAGGGACGCGACAGACGCGTGTCGTGCTAGTGGATTATTCTCTGCATCAAATTCGAGACGGAGGTGCGCAAGTCCGCCGCCTTGAAGCTCGACGGTGACCTCAGCAACTGTCGACCGGCCGACTTGTATGTGCCGCTAGATCTAATCGAATCCATGAGCAAAATCGTACCACGGTCAAGAAGCCTTAGCGTACGTCAACCTCGCCTTCAGCTAATAGCTTATCTTTCCCGCGCGTCTTATGGTCATAAATCGAGAGACACAATCTTGACATGTGTGCGCTGGCGGAAAAATCTAAGGATTCATTCCTAGAATAAAGGTCGAGAGGCGAAACTATGAACCAGGAAGGAAGGTCTTACCATTCTGGCGATGATGTCTTATTACTGTGCTTTATCTTGAACTCCTTGTCATCAACGCGCAGAACCTTTGCGAGTGTGACGAGTTTATACGGATCCTCCTACAAAACGCTCGTTCATAAGAGAAACATAGAATAGACGCAAACGTCGCACTTGAAAAGCCACAAGCCAGACACTCTTCGCGGCATCTCCGATCAGGAGAAGATTCTCCATCGAGCAGAGCGATGTAACGCAGACGCCAACTAAACGTTCATCCAGATCAAGAGCGCGAACAAAAATTCTGCAGGGATTATTAACGCAACGTTGCATACAGAGCAGCCTGTTTGCCTTCCGGCCCATAGATGACACAAGATAACCATTTATGCCGCACATAGCTGTCGCAGGGCCTTTCGCGTCGTCCCTCACTCGCAGCTTCAATTTGTACCATCTGTTCGGCGTCCAATTAGCATCGGAAACAACTTCAACAGCCTCGAAAATAAATCGGCCGAAGAGCATGGTGGACGGTGAAACATAACATACCGCTCCCTTTACAGCCAAGTCTTCTCCTCGGTTGATCGTCGTTTCCACAGCAATGCAATTCTTGCTCCCACTTTCCGTGCTCGTTGTTTCAAGAGAGACACAAGTTAGGGCGTCGACAAATTCATCGGATGCAAATTCGTAACTGGCCAATGCATCAACGCCGCTGCCAGTTACGATCAAGAGCAAACGCACCCATCCATCGTAACCCAACGTTCCGGCGAAATCAGCTCGAGCGTCGAGCAGTCGGCATAAAGGAAAGAAACGCCATTCCCTGAATGATTGTCAGATAAGGATGCCTCGGACATGATACCGGAACGCAAACCATCAGGCTCCCAAATAATGCTGCCGTCTTCGTCGTAGGAAGCAAACCGAGCCCTGTAATGAGGAAGCGGCCACTAACAACGAAGCCGAATGTTCGAATACAACGTTAGAGTATGTGCGAGATCGAGGAACGCTGCGGTACGGTAGACAACTGTCAAGTTGGACTTCTAGAGCCCATTCAAGGAGTGTCACTCGACCCTAAATTAAATCCATGAACGAGTAGTGAGCGTCTTGACTTTTCAGCGTACCGCACACAAACCTCGTCAGAATACAGGAGGAAATCTCCCTTGGACTCCCAAAGAGAACACGCAGTGAATGCGTAAACGACAGTATGTCCCGAGGGTACCACCCCTAATCCACCCTTATCAGTAGCTATGATCCAGCGTGGCCTATCACCCGTGAAGAAAACGCCGTCAAGGATACACTCCATATTTTGGGAAGTCATAAATGGAACAAATGTTCGCGAGATTCTCTTACGCTCTGCAAGCGCAGTTTTCTCCGTTTCCTAACTCTCTAGATTTCAAAGGTTTTCGACACGACTTTGTAGAACTTGACCTTCAAAAATGCAGTCCGTAGGCTAGGTAATGGACGATCTGCTTTTTTTCGGTGGGAGCAGGCGCCGACAAGGCTTCATAAATGGCCATATTTTCCGAATGCGAGAGAACCTGTCGCAAATCTTAATAGATGAATCACAAGACTGCTGATTAATTACAAACATATGAGGAACCAAAGACGTCTAGCCTAATGGTGCAACGAGAATTTGATCGATGTCAATATCCTGAGGCTTTATGGGCGGCTCTTGTGGTAAAGACAATGCAGCAGGAGAGTAAGTATATTCTCCAGTGGTCGAGAATACCACAGTCGACTTCGGTAGTGACCAGATCTATAGAAATCATATTAGCTAGCTTCATCCCAAAAAGTCAATGCCTGACGAAATCAGACATACCTTGTCACCCATTGGAGACATATCCTTGCATCGAATCTTTCCTCGCTCCGTTTCACCAATAAAAAGACCGATAAACTCGTCTTCTCGCAGGATAAGTACAAAGGGATCGCAAATACTGCATGATTTGATTTTTGCCCGAGGCAAACTACCGTCCATATCTTTGATGACTCGTCCTTCATCACCGCCTTAATTCCACCTTATTATAGTCACCAACGCAAAAAGTTCGTAGGAATATCATACCGGGCTCCAGCACACGGATAGCATTCGTCATGACATGTAATATAGTGGTGCGCTGGAAGAATGGAGCTGCGCTTATAGTTGTCCCGGGTATGCGAGTCGGAATAGCGACATCGGTCTTTGCGGCTCGGGTTGCTGTCTGCGGGGGTTTAGCGAATAAAACGTACCAAAAAAAAATCTACTACCCGCGAAACACGTAGTGTAGGATTAGCGTCTGTGCTAATTATTATCGCGTCAATTTCAGCTGAAAATGGGCCCATAGACTTCTCATAAGAGAGACCATTGGCACGTTGGGACTGGCGAACGGGAAGAGGCCATATTCCTCGTGCTTCTCCAAGTACATGCAGTTTCCGCTGGGTGCGTCGGAACTTGAAGGTCACGCTGTGCTTACATAATATTGTCAGTTGAAACGGTGGCAGTCTGTATTATGTAAGGTCATATCAACTCGCCTGGGAAAAGATCGCACTGTCCAACCGAGGACATCCAGGAAATGGGAAGTCTGTGTGAGGTCTGCGCAGACTCCGCGTTCAGGTCTGCATCTATGTCTGTGTGAAGTCTTTGTCAGTGTTACCCAGGAGTTACCGGGTGAGGTCTGTCAGCACCAAAGGTCTGTCACAATCTTACATAATCATTGATCATAGATGGCGGGAATGACATGATCAGACGGGGCGGGATGCAACGAGAAAGGTGGTGGGCAAACGAGAGAGATGGTGCAGAGGCTTTAGATAACATATCAATCCAGGATTCCATGCTAAGTCCTCAGATAACACACTTGCTGCTGCTCAAAGAATTGCACACATCAGGAAAACTACCATAAGTCATTCGATAAACGATAAACGATTTTCATTGGCTCGAGGGAAAAAGCGCGAGCCACTTATGTAATTAAGCCCACTCTTCGTCTGAATGTAGCGCGTGATCATCTTGCAAAGATATGTGCGGGCGCCACGCATCATCTACTAGGCGCGGTCTAACCAAGGCAATGCGAACACGACCACTAGTCAATATTTCAATGTCCGTGCATGACGCACATATACATACGTCAGTACATTCCTTGCGATTATTTTTCTCGGGAGGGAGGACCGATGAGCGTATAAATAGACATGCTAATAAACACACCAGTGATTTACTACGAAGGGGAAGACTAGTCCGACGACAAGGATACAAGATAATGCTACATCGTTCATGATCCTGACGACCAATGCATTGCGAAAGTGTCCATGAGAGTGTCTAGTGTTTATAAGGAAGGATGAGAGCTAGGAAGGACATCATGATCATGATCTGCATTTCTGCTTCTCGAAGAAGCCATCGAACGAGGGTAAGCTGGTAGCTCTTCGCTTGGCTCTCGGGAACAATCACTTGCAACTATGTGTTCAGCCCGATTATCTCCATTATCATGGCAATAACCATCTGGAGAATGGGCACAAGACGGATGCAGCTTTTCTAGCTCGTAGAACCGTCGGCGCCTTGCAACAGTGGACGGAGAGGTGCTACTATCATTGAATAACTGAAATGGTATGGGATCGACACGGGACGGGGTAGACGGAGATCCATCCCTAGAATTCTGTGTGGTACAAGAATCGAAATGTTCAGGGTGGATGATGAATGTGCCTCTACCGCTCAGAGGACTCGGAACGGCGATGTTGCGCTGTGCAGTTGAGGAAAGATTGAAAGGGGTCACAGATGATCTTTGTCCTGTGCGAGTTAATCGCACTATGATACAGGTTAGTAGGAGAGCTAGAAGCGCGACTCCTGCCACAGTTCCTCCAATGATGGCGGCCATGGTTATTGGGGATGCAGATTCGATTTCAACAAAGATTGGTTCAACCGACGGACTCGGGAACACGTCAATACTTGTCAATGTGAGAACTGGTGCTCATCGCGGGTGTAAGCGAGTAGGATGTTGGCGCGAGTGTCTGCCATGACAATGAGATATTTGGCGTGAAAGTTTGAGGTTCTGCTGAGAGGCAATCTCCTCCATCCATGCTGGGATTGTGTAGTCGATGAGACACGGGAAGACCATCCTCTGGCCGACCTTTTTGTGCTAGAGTTCAAACAACTATCGCACCAGAGACGGCCAAACGTTTCAGAACTTTGGGCAGTGCCAAAGTAATCATCGGTCGATCATGAGCGCTTGAGCTCCGTTGTTGTAGCTCTGCATCCTCATCATCTGAATAAAACAGCGGAGCGGAAGCGATTCTGTCTTTGCGAAGATGTTTCTGAGATGATCCGGCAGCCGGAATAGCTGCACCCTCAAGCAAGCCATCAAGAGGCGCCCCGATAACCGGCAAGTTCGAAGGACCTGGTACTGCATGTGTTTTGACTGAGCGCCTCTTTTCCGGGGACATCGGTTTATATTCGGGTTCACTATCAGAGTCTGTTATTTCGATGATTTCTTCAGCCCATAGACTTGGTACTGGTGGCGGTCGCGGTAGTATCCTTCGCTTTTGCGACCGAGGCTGCTGACTTTGATTACGAGTTACTCTGGATGTCGTAGGAAGTAGTTCGGGGGAAGAAGGGATGTCAATGACCTCCATGACGGTTGGACTTTAAGTGCGAGGAGCCACAACTGGCAAGTCAGTCGGGTTTTGCATTTATGTCTGAGCATAAAAATATACATATTGTCGTCAAAGGCAATTAAATTGCTACATTGTGGATTGTTCAACGTTCAGATACGGTCATTGTTGACTAAGCCACGCGCTGGGTGATTCCACTGGCAGATGTTGGTGATGGTGATATTCAATATCACCGTGACAGCACACCTTGATGGTAGTACCCAAGTATGCGTGTTCGAAATACAGGCATTGTCGATTCAATGGTTCACAGGTATGTCCGCCACATTGATAGTACCAAAGCTTCATTGCGCCGCAGGGATGCCGCTCAATGGTCATGAACAAAGCAGTATCAGTGTGGACCAAAGGTCATTCCCGGTAGCGTCTCCTAGGCAATTTCTCGTCCAGCGCAAATATTCGGATGTGGAGACCTAACTATTCCAGCACTCGCTCGCACCACCTCACCATGTGACGAGGAAAGCCCCCGTAACAGGATCTTCTCTCCCGAGGGCCACGCACCCCATTCCTAGAGCTCATTATATACGCCTGCAAAACATGAGGTAAACATGCGTGCTTTTCTAGGTTCAATATTCATTCTTTGTTTAATGTTGCTCTGTAGCGTAATCGTGGAAATGCCACCAGCAGGACAAGGTATTCAAACAGCAGCCACCACCACCACCTCGTCAGCAGGGCCGCACTTCCGCGTCGAACATATTCCGGAGACTAGTTAATTAACGACTCCGAGTCTGGCCAGATACTTCCCGCGTCTCTCATGCACTTGACAAGCCTGTCTGCAGGCCCAGTTACTTCCTGCTCCCGCTAGGTTTCCTCTCTGTCAACTGAGCTTGAATGATTTCCTTTGCTGTGTATCAGAAGTGTGGAATTTTTCGACGCTCCACATGGAATCACCCTCGTCACGGTGTGACCGGCCTGCTCCACCAATCAAGCAACTTCGAGGATCACGCTTGCGCTTACGCCTTCGTTCCTTTATTTGCTAGACTCAAAGCTCAAAACTATTATTTAGACATGTCTCGTACCGGTATCACCTACAGGTGCAAACCCAAGGACACATCAAAGACACTGCAAGGCATTGCCAAGCGTGATCATATGGATCTTGTTTTGCAATAGTATTAGCAAGATCTATTCCTTAAGTGGCACATTTAGCGGGCGATCAGGTAAACACATCATTTGCATGACGGCAGTCCTGCCACCTCTAGCTTTGCTCGTACGTGGCATGTGGCACTATGGGAGATTGGATAACAAATGTGGCTGTCGGGTTTGATAAGAACACCGAGGACATACCAGCACCACCTGATATATTCGAGCGTGGACCGATCAATCAGCGCCATAATGCCATGGATGCCCGAGCCAGTTGCACGAAAATGAATAGTGGAATACAGCAATTATGATCTAGACTGTGATGATATCAGCAACGAGCCTGACTTTGGCTCACACACGACTCAGGGGATAACGACAGGGCAATACTGCTCAAGCGGATGCAGATACAATCCCATCATCAGCGTCCTATGCACTATGGTTCCCAGATCTTGGTAAGTTTTGGGTCTCGGCTGCACCACTGCTGCCGATCCAGGAACGCTGATCGGACAAATTTGCATACAGGAGGCCTAGGAGGGCTCCAATGGCTGTCCATCGACTGCCACGGCGGCTGACTCTTCAACTGGTCTAGAAGGTTGGCTTTGCAAGTACCACGGGGTGGAAGGGCCAGGCAATGGGGAAAGTAAGTCACTAAATATGGCAATGGATAACACAAACTTTTGCTGTTCGTGGCGTGGGGTAGAATCTTCCCTGACAGCCTGCTCAAATGCAGTTATTGAAGGTGCGGTACTCTGTGGCACTATTGTGCGTTTTGTTGGTGAAACGCTTGCGCCACGTTGGTAAGGTGACTCAACCCGACGTCTTTCAGTTGGGATCTCAGGCAACGGGGTGTCACCGAGATCATCGTCGGTACTGTGGGAAAAGCCCACCACAGCACGCTTTAGTGAGGGCCTTTGCTGGCGTGACATCCTGTGTTTTGGCTTTCATGGCGGACTTGTATGGAGACTTCTGTGGCGGGGTAGAAGGGCGAGTACGGTGTTTCGAAGGCGTCCCAGGAGAATTCATTTCTTGTAGCTGAGATTTGATGCGGCCGGCGACTATATCACATTCCTTTTCGAGGGCCTTTATGACAGATTTGAACGCAGGTAGAGCCATGGTTTTGACAAAGTGGTTTTTCTTGCACCCCTTGAACAAAATAACGCGAGTAAGGGATATTAAAAAGATATATCATGCAGACCTTCATGATCTGACATATCCAGTAAGATACGGTACAAGTCACCATACTGGCTTGATGACGGGTACGAAATACATCAACCTTGAGGATACTGCCTTCTGCTTCGCACATTGCAACCGAGGCTTTTTGTGACACTTCGTTATTATCCGGTCTATGAACAATTATCAGATGCCAAACAATAGTAATGGGGAAACAGTGCACCTTCTGATGGACGCCGCGTCTTGTTCTTCCACCGTGGCGTGCACCTTTTTGATGGAAGCAGCACTTGAAACACACACTATATATGCTCCGGAGAAACATATGAGAAAGCACAGCCTCAGGTGATTCTCCGACTTGCAAAAGCCAAGACTGGGCCTGACTCTGCGTTTCTCGTCGCTCATCCAAGTGCACTTCCAGGCATCCGATTCTGCGTGTACCTCGCGTCCATCAGAAGGTGCACTGTTTCCCCATTACTATTGTTTGGCATCTGATAATTGTTCATAGACCGGATAATAACGAAGTGTCACAAAAAGCCTCGGTTGCAATGTGCGAAGCAGAAGGCAGTATCCTCAAGGTTGATGTATTTCGTACCCGTCATCAAGCCAGTATGGTGACTTGTACCGTATCTTACTGGATATGTCAGATCATGAAGGTCTGCATGATATATCTTTTTAATATCCCTTACTCGCGTTATTTTGTTCAAGGGGTGCAAGAAAAACCACTTTGTCAAAACCATGGCTCTACCTGCGTTCAAATCTGTCATAAAGGCCCTCGAAAAGGAATGTGATATAGTCGCCGGCCGCATCAAATCTCAGCTACAAGAAATGAATTCTCCTGGGACGCCTTCGAAACACCGTACTCGCCCTTCTACCCCGCCACAGAAGTCTCCATACAAGTCCGCCATGAAAGCCAAAACACAGGATGTCACGCCAGCAAAGGCCCTCACTAAAGCGTGCTGTGGTGGGCTTTTCCCACAGTACCGACGATGATCTCGGTGACACCCCGTTGCCTGAGATCCCAACTGAAAGACGTCGGGTTGAGTCACCTTACCAACGTGGCGCAAGCGTTTCACCAACAAAACGCACAATAGTGCCACAGAGTACCGCACCTTCAATAACTGCATTTGAGCAGGCTGTCAGGGAAGATTCTACCCCACGCCACGAACAGCAAAAGTTTGTGTTATCCATTGCCATATTTAGTGACTTACTTTCCCCATTGCCTGGCCCTTCCACCCCGTGGTACTTGCAAAGCCAACCTTCTAGACCAGTTGAAGAGTCAGCCGCCGTGGCAGTCGATGGACAGCCATTGGAGCCCTCCTAGGCCTCCTGTATGCAAATTTGTCCGATCAGCGTTCCTGGATCGGCAGCAGTGGTGCAGCCGAGACCCAAAACTTACCAAGATCTGGGAACCATAGTGCATAGGACGCTGATGATGGGATTGTATCTGCATCCGCTTGAGCAGTATTGCCCTGTCGTTATCCCCTGAGTCGTGTGTGAGCCAAAGTCAGGCTCGTTGCTGATATCATCACAGTCTAGATCATAATTGCTGTATTCCACTATTCATTTTCGTGCAACTGGCTCGGGCATCCATGGCATTATGGCGCTGATTGATCGGTCCACGCTCGAATATATCAGGTGGTGCTGGTATGTCCTCGGTGTTCTTATCAAACCCGACAGCCACATTTGTTATCCAATCTCCCATAGTGCCACATGCCACGTACGAGCAAAGCTAGAGGTGGCAGGACTGCCGTCATGCAAATGATGTGTTTACCTGATCGCCCGCTAAATGTGCCACTTAAGGAATAGATCTTGCTAATACTATTGCAAAACAAGATCCATATGATCACGCTTGGCAATGCCTTGCAGTGTCTTTGATGTGTCCTTGGGGTTTGCACCTGTAGGTGATACCGGTACGAGACATGTCTAAATAATAGTTTTGAGCTTTGAGTCTAGCAAATAAAGGAACGAAGGCGTAAGCGCAAGCGTGATCCTCGAAGTTGCTTGATTGGTGGAGCAGGCCGGTCACACCGTGACGAGGGTGATTCCATGTGGAGCGTCGAAAAATTCCACACTTCTGATACACAGCAAAGGAAATCATTCAAGCTCAGTTGACAGAGAGGAAACCTAGCGGGAGCAGGAAGTAACTGGGCCTGCAGACAGGCTTGTCAAGTGCATGAGAGACGCGGGAAGTATCTGGCCAGACTCGGAGTCGTTAATTAACTAGTCTCCGGAATATGTTCGACGCGGAAGTGCGGCCCTGCTGACGAGGTGGTGGTGGTGGCTGCTGTTTGAATACCTTGTCCTGCTGGTGGCATTTCCACGATTACGCTACAGAGCAACATTAAACAAAGAATGAATATTGAACCTAGAAAAGCACGCATGTTTACCTCATGTTTTGCAGGCGTATATAATGAGCTCTAGGAATGGGGTGCGTGGCCCTCGGGAGAGAAGATCCTGTTACGGGGCTTTCCTCGTCACATGGTGAGGTGGTGCGAGCGAGTGCTGGAATAGTTAGGTCTCCACATCCGAATATTTGCGCTGGACGAGAAATTGCCTAGGAGACGCTACCGGGAATGACCTTTGGTCCACACTGATACTGCTTTGTTCATGACCATTGAGCGGCATCCCTGCGGCGCAATGAAGCTTTGGTACTATCAATGTGGCGGACATACCTGTGAACCATTGAATCGACAATGCCTGTATTTCGAACACGCATACTTGGGTACTACCATCAAGGTGTGCTGTCACGGTGATATTGAATATCACCATCACCAACATCTGTCAGTGGAATCACCCAGCGCGTGGCTTAGTCAACAATGACCGTATCTGAACGTTGAACAATCCACAATGTAGCAATTTAATTGCCTTTGACGACAATATGTATATTTTTATGCTCAGACATAAATGCAAAACCCGACTGACTTGCCAGTTGTGGCTCCTCGCACTTAAAGTCCAACCGTCATGGAGGTCATTGACATCCCTTCTTCCCCCGAACTACTTCCTACGACATCCAGAGTAACTCGTAATCAAAGTCAGCAGCCTCGGTCGCAAAAGCGAAGGATACTACCGCGACCCGCCCCAGTACCAAGTCTAATGGGCTGAAGAAATCATCGAATACCAGACTCTGATAGTGAACCCGAATATAAACCGATGTCCCCGGAAAAGAGGCGCTCAGTCAAAACACATGCAGTATCAGGTCCTTCGAACTTGCCGGTTATCGGGGCGCCTCTTGATGGCTTGCTGAGGGTGCAGCTATTCCGGCTGCCGGATCATCTCAGAAACATCTTCGCAAAGACAGAATCGCTTCCGCTCCGCTGTTTTATTCAGATGATGAGGATGCAGAGCTACAACAACGGAGCTCAAGCGCTCATGATCGACCGATGATTACTTTGGCACTGCCCAAAGTTCTGAAACGTTTGGCCGTCTCTGGTGCGATAGTTGTTTGAACTCTAGCACAAAAAGGTCGGCCAGAGGAT